ACGGCGATGCATTGTTTGTGTTTAAAGTCTTTTAATCATCTCCATGTTTGCGGCTTCGAAAGTTTCTTGAGCTATGGGGATCTTCCGGAAGAAGATGGGAAAGCCCCTCAGCGAGGAGGGGCGGATAAAACGCGCAGCAATTCGGCTCCGCAGGATCTACAGACTGTATGGAAACCCAGAGGCCGAGGTGGAGGCACTGACGACCAGGCTCTTGGAGGCTGACAACTTGCTCGAGGTGCGGACGACTTACGAGATCATCTGCACGCAAACTCACACCCGAGACAACCGCGAGCTCAAGAACGTGACGATCCAGGCATTTGGAAAGTGGGGTGGCGTGGAGGAAGCCCGCCAAGTGTTTGACGCCATTCGCCACCCAAGGAACGAGGCATACCGGGCGATCTTTGAGGCCTACGTGAACAACGGGCATTTGGAGGATGCCCGGCGGGTCTTCTCATCTCTCCCTCGAGCAAAGTCGTCGTGGTGGATCCAGATGATGGCGGCGTACGCCCGCTACGGCAAGGTGGCGGAGGCGAGCGAGATCTACAACTGGATGCCGCACAAAAAGGCCCTCGGGTGGAGCTTGCTGCTCATTGCGTACGCGAGAAACGGCCTGGTTGACGAGGCCAGCGAGATGCTCCAGAGCGTCCCAGCCTCGGATTCCATTGCCGCAAATGCGGTTCTAGCAGCATTCGCTCGGGCAGGGAATGTGGTGGCAGCGAAGGAGCTGTTCGATTCCATGCCCGCCAGGACTTCCGGGAGCTGGAACTCGCTCGCGCAGGCATATGCCCAGGCAGGGCATCTTGCCGAGTGCGTCAAGGCCGCCAACTTGATGCCGGAGACGACGCGGGGGACGTGGGTGGCCATGATCAGGGCGTACGGAGACCACGGCATGGTGGCGGAGGCCCGTACAGCCTTCGACAATTTGCCCCGGGTGACTGTCGACGCATGCAACACCCTGATCGTGGCGTATGCCCGTAACGGGCATCTGGTTGAGGCAAAGGAGCTGTTCGACGCGATGCTGGTGAGGAGCACCGTCACCTGGGCGTCCATCATGGAGGCGTGCACCATGAACAATCTCGCGGGGCAAGCGCTGGAGATTTTCCACTGGGAGAATTGCTCGGGGCAGCTGATGCCGGATCAGGTGGTCCTCTCGGCGGTTCTTAGCGCGCATTCTTGGCTCGGGTGCCTAGACGATGCGGCGGGGATCATCCGCGACATGGCCTCGGACTACGGCATCCGGCCGAGAGTGGAGCACTACTGCGCGATCCTGGCAATGCTGACGAGCCGATCAGAGCTGGGAGATGCCGAGGATCTTGCAGCAAGCATGCCGTTCGTGGCCCCGGCCTCGGCGTGGAAGCTGCTCCTGGACGTGTGTAAGATCCGTCGGGACAGCGCCCGGGCAAGGCGAGTGGCGGAGGAGATAGTCAGGCTGGATCCCAGCGGTCGCGCAGAGCCATTCATGGTAGTAGCCGGCCTCTACTTCCGCGAGGGCCGGCCGCAAGAGGCCGTGGATCTCATGCTGGAGAAGGGGCTGGCCGGTCAAGATGTTGACCTTTTGACCCGTGGCTAGTCTTTGACCGAAGGATATCCTCCCAAGCGTGGAATGACTATATTTACTCTATTAAGCACTGGCCGTCCCAAACTGGAGGAGTGAACGTTGTAATTGTCCTATGGATAAAGAAGCCTGCCATCTTCCCAAAGTGGAGGAGTGGACGTCATAATTTGTGGAAGTTGAGGGCTCGCGTATGCTCCGAATTGTAAGCCCTATAAGATGTATCTTCCAGTAGACCCCAAGTTGTGACAATGCCCTCTTGTGAGACGTCAATGCAAAAACAAGCTTAATAAAGCATCCAATTTTAAAAAACTTCTTAAAAACAAGGAAAATAATTTATGACAAAACAACCATTTTAATTTTGACCTTTTCTAATGGTTCTAAATGCAAATTGAAAAATCATTTCTAATAATTAACACAAAGATTCATTTATAAACCAATGTAAAATCCCATAAACCAATATGAATATGGTATAAAACAATGTATCAACAAGTTGAGGCATAAAAATCAACTCAAAAGAATCCAAAAGGTTGTCCCCTCAAAAGTTGATCCTTTCCTTGTAAATGAGAAACTAAACATGCAATAAAACCACCCCATTTTTGTCCTTCCAAAACACAAATAGTTTTAATTGCTTAAAAACCAAGAGTGACCATGTATGAACAACGTTCCAAACCAACATCAGGATGTTAGTTTAAAATGCTGGTTTATCCAAACCACTTCCACGGCCAAAAAACCAACCTTTTGGAGGTGATGTGAGATACAAAATCAATTGTATCTCTAGCAACTCTGGCAAATCAGGACACCTTGGTCCAGCATAAATCAAACTGGCGATGGCCCCCTTGAGCTTCGGAGGACATTCCCTGCAAAGAGGAGATAAGAGATTAAACCTGCTGCTTCTCTCGTTTCTTCTGCTTATGAAGCACGAGCACTGCATCATCATAAATTCTTGCAGGATTCCATGGTCCAACTCTCGCAGACTTACAATCTCGAGATCCCGGTGGTGACAACAGTGCTCAAAGGAAAGAGCTCACCTATACTCCCAGCAGTGATCAAACGGAGGAGCTCGCCTATCCACCCAGGACCAAAACACGTTAGTGCATTCGAAAATGGATCTCCTCCAAGCATTGGCACCAAACAAGCTGTGAAATCTGGAACTCCTTCAAATGGAAAGATCGTTCCGGGCCCTCCTCCAACTCGTAACACATTTGCAGGCTGGCTGCATTCAAGGCCACAGATTCATTGCGTCAATAAAACGAAAACATGTTAAACGGCACTAAACACTAAACTCTGATTCTTTGTTAGAGAAAAACAGTTTATTTATTGGGTCACTTACTGAATCAGTGACGATGGCCGGCCTGCAAATGGAGGGAGAAGTGGAAGAAAGAGCCCGAAGTTACCATACCTCTAGATCCTGTGATCATGCAAGAAACACAAAAAGTGGACGCCCCTTGGCATGCTTTGTATCCTTCTTGTAAAATAGTTTCTTGATCACAAGACTATAGAACTTAGGAAAGAGAGAAAACCACTTTCTTGTCTTTCAATCTATTTCTTTAAGAGCCACGCAAACAAACTTTTGTTCGGTTGCTTCAATCCAGTTTTACAATTATCCTGCTCATAGATTTTTCTTCTCTAGTTCCTTGTTTCAATCTTGTTTTTTCCTAAAAAATCAACACTGTATAACTAGAAAGATTTCCTTACAGATCAAACTACCTCCAGTTCCAGATTTCTGCACACTATTTTGCTCTGTAAGGGAAAGACCAAGGACACGAGAGAAAAGAAAGCATACCAAAGGACCTCCACTTCTTGCGTTTCTTGCAAGATTGCAGGATCTACAGGCATGGTAATTTCAGGCTCTTCCGGTTCTTCCACTTCTCCCTCGAGGGCATCCAAGAGCTTCTTCCTCTCGGCCTCTTGCGCCGCCTTGACCGTGGCATCCTGCTCGGCCTTGAGCTTCTTCATCTCTAGCTCCCGCTGTTTTCGCTCAAACCATGTATCGGCATCGGCCCAAACTGCAAAGATAGAATTCCAAATCAACAAGGTAAGACGAAGCTGTCGTGGAACAAATAGCAAAGAAAAATCAAAGAGACAAGAAGAAAAGTAATAGTTTAGAGAAAGAACTGACAAACAAGTGAACCAAAGGCAAGAGAAGTAAAACAACTGGCTTCGTTTAGGAATGAAGAACTAAAAGAAAAATCTTCAGCAAATCCATATACTCTATGAAGATGAAATCTAACGCAAAAAAAAAAAAAAAACGAGAAAGAAGGGAAATGGAAGAGAAAACTCACTTGGTTGAGATGCCCAGCCCTGTTCTCTTCCCTTGATCTTCATGGGCTGCGCGTAATTCACCGTCAACAGTTTGCGAAAGAGCTCCGAGTTGTGCATGTTGTCCATGGCCGCCGCCGCATCGTCCCTTGATCCAGGGGCATTGTCACGTCCTTGATGTCGCCAAACGGATTCAAACCCCGTGGAGAACCCCCTCGTTCACATTCTCGTTGTCCAAAAATCTCGGAAGAAACAATGTGATCAATAACAGATTCTCCATGAAACTTTAGGGTTCCAATGAATGCGACCACAAATGGCCAGAGCACTGCACGGGAGCCTAATGACGTGGAACACCATGCTGACGACATATGCCTAGACTGCATACGGCCATACGAGCCGGATCTTTTGGGCAGCATCGGGGAAAGAAGTAGCGAGAGTTGGACTTGACTTACACGGGCTGGAAACTTCCTCCGTTTTGCTCTACAACTTCCATACGTCGCCTTGTTACTTTCGTTCGTAGGCGAGGATTCAAAGTTCAGGAATGTTTTTGTTTCACCGGGAGGGAACGAGACTCTCGTTCAAACGAAAGAGCGTGTTTTTGACGGATGATTTTTCAAAGTTTTTCCGGGACGGATGGAGAGGAATAACCGTGTATAAAAGCCATTAATGAAGCTGGGGGAGAAGAAGCGATCCCATTGGAACGGGAAGAGCAAAAGTTGCGATCCCATTGGAACTGGAAGTCTAGCAAAAGTTGGAGAGAGAAAGCGATCCCATTTGAGCAGGAAGAAGAGTTGGAGGAGATCAAAGCCAAAGCACTCGGAAGTGTCGGAGCATGGAGACTCGTCTGATCTTCCAGCTGCTGCTGCTGCTGCTGCTCCTGGCTGGAGAGATCCACCAGGAACAAGTTGGAGCTTCCGCTGCTTCTCTCGTTTCTTCTGCTGATGAAGCAGGAGCACGGCATCATCGTAAACTCTTGCAGGATTTCACGGTCCAGCTCTCGCAGGCTTACAATCTCGAGATCCCGGTAGCGACAACAGTGCTCAAAGGAAAGAGCTCGCCTATACACCCAGCAGTGAATAAAGAAAGTATACTCCCAGCAGTGATCAAACGGAGGAGCTCGCCTATCCACCCAGGACCAAAACACGTTAGTGCATTCGAAAATGGATCTCCTCCAAGCATTGACACCAAACAAGCTGTGAGATCTGGAACTCCTTCAAATGGAAAGATCGTTCCAGGCCCTCCTCCAACTCGTAACACAATTGCAGGCCGGCTGGATTCAGTGCCATCATCGCCGATTCACTGCACAAAACCATGTTAAACGCATGATCAACCAAATAAATAAACTCTGATTCTACTAAGAAAGAGAAAAAAACAGTTTCAGAATCAAGAAACTATTTTTTTATGTAACGAACAAATTAGATGGTCACTTGTGGCGCTGCTCAATCAGCTACAATGGCCACCCTGAAAATGTGTTATGAGTTGGAGGGAGAAGTGGAATTCTAACCGGAAGAAACCGAAGTTACCATGCCTGTAGATACAGTGATCATGCAAGAAACACAAGAAATGGATCTTTTCTCTCGTGTCCTTGCTTCTTATAAAATAGGTTCTTGATCACAAGAAGGAAAGATTTCAATTGATTTCTTTAAGAGTCATTTGCTTCAATTCAGTTTTATAAATTCGCTCCACTATCCCGCTCATAGAGTTTTGTTCTCTAGTTCCTTGTTTCAATCTTCAAGCTTTTTCCTCAATAACCGGGAATCACTGGCTTTGGAATTCCGTTCGATCGAAGAAACCTCCTTGATAACCTTCTTGACTGGTGAATCTTCAGGGTTTGTGCGAGGACTTTAGACGTGCCTAGAACTATACCGTGTGTATAAAATAACTCTCAAGGAAGAGCTCATCCCCGCAAAGGTTGGAAGAAAAGATGGTTCTAAAGCAAAGCAAAGGTAATGGCTCTTGATTGACTGAAGCTGCCGCTGCTGCTCTTGTTCACAACAACACACAGCGCTGCTTCTCTAAGATCTGATAGATCAGAATTTGCTTTTTCTCTTCCATACAAACTTTCACATTGTCTGTTTTCCACAAATTTCTGCTGTTCTCCAGCAACAGTGGAGCTAGTCAACCTATACATCCACAACTGCCGTATTATATACATATTGCGTGGCACTCGGTCTATTACCAACAAAACAAATTACAAAGTTTTTCTTGGTAAATGAAGTTTAGGTACTAATATTCTGTTGGTGAAAAAATTCATTGATGTTGGTGCCAAAATTGAGCTAGGGTTTCGTAAAGGACCACGCCACTTTCATATGTTTGAATAAAAATTATTTTACAAATATTGGCGGTATGGTACTCTTTTAACTTCTGGCCGTGGGTTCGAACCGCGGGGTGCTCAGATACGGCATCCGGCCGAGCCAATTAGATCATATTATAAGAGTTATGACGATCGAGGGCCCACGCAGGGCATTCGACCACTCTTGGGCAAGATACTTGCAGCAACAGTATCAATTGTTGTAAAGGTCACATCTAAGTTCTTGCTACTCCTTGGAGAGCTTTGCTCCCAAAATACAAAAGAGAAGATGAGAGAAGGCTTCTCTTTTTCTCACCCGACAACTCCTCCTCCCTCGTCTCGATGAGCCATGACCGAAGGATATGCTGCACCAATTCTTGCCCTATCCCACATGCCGAGGCGTGGAATAAGGGCACAAGAGCAGTATATAAGATAGGGCCTGGGGAAGAGATCCATACTTACCTGGACGGGGTCTATTGGTGATCATGAAGGCCAATGGCCTAGGTTCGGCCTTCCCATTGCACTACGGCTTGGCCGGCCTACCATCTTCCCAAAGTGGAGGAGTGGACGTCGTAATTTGTGGAAGTTGAGGGCTCGCGTACGCGCGGCCCTCTCCAAATTCTAAGCCCTAAGATGGATGATTCTTTCATCTCTTGTCTTCTCGAATTATTGCTCTCCTTAGAAAAATCATCCATCAGCTGTCAAGAACACTCCCCCCTGCGATGGCGGCTCGCTCCTCTCGAATCCTCTGCGGATCGTCGGCATGCCACCGTTGAGCAGGCTGTGTCCAATCGGCTCGGGCTGCCTCGTTTGGCTGCTGCATCAACATCCCCGCCACAGGCGGTGCATACGATCCAGAAGGTTTCGATCCAAATTCTCGCTGGGATACCATGGAAGAGAATTTCTTGTTACCTCGTTTCAGTGAAGCCTTGCTCTTGCTGGAGAGCGGTGCTAATCTCCATAGCCTGTGTGTGTGTGTGAAGAGAATTGTCCTCGCGCTTGGTTGTAGCCGCACAATCGATTGAGAAAAATGGCAATGCTTACATGCTCGCGATGTGTATGCTTCTTGGGTTTAATTGGATGCTTCTTGGGTTTAATTGGATGCTTCTTGGGTTTTTGGAAGCCGTCTCGTAAACAGCCTCCCAATCCTTCTTGGTTTTAAAGGGCTGCTCGCGAGAGCGCCCGACTTTTTGCAAGGGAACTGGGTCTCCTTTATATACTGATCAAACTGCAGATTTTTACTCTCCGGCATGTGGGATAGGTTGAAGTGGGTTAGAATATTCGTTTGTCCCTTCAATTATCCACCTTTTGTCTTCTCGTATACATCACATTGTATCGATTGAATAAGCCTTCCTTTACGCAACCTTTATTTCCTCCATTTTAATCTTTGCATTTGTGATGGTTTAGGAGGCCCGCTCAAGGGAGTTCTGCAAAGTAAGCAGCGTCAACCCAAGGCCAGCCTATAAACCCTCCAAAAATAGCTCACGCACGGAGGCGTGGCAACGGGCATTGACCCATTGCTTTGTTTTCCTTACTCATTAGTTTAAGGCAAGGTTTCAAATTCTTCCTCGCCAGCTTATATACGCTGCTAAATACCCGATTCCAATCCCCGGCGAGTGGGATATCTTTGCCCTCGCAGCATATGCTCGAATCTAGCCTATCGTGAGCTTGGAATATTTACCGGCATATACTTTAAAACTTTGGTGTGGCGCTTTTATGTACACACGAGGCCCAGCCATGGCTGAGAGCTTCTTTGCGAATGGAACTGCGATGCCGAGGAACACTACTGCCGGCACTGGCTCCTCCTTCCTCCAGGGCACTCCAAAGGTACGCTACAAAACTAAAACTCCACTACTCGAGCAAGCGTCTTCCATGCCTGAAAACTTCGGAGGATTTTACAACGAGTTCTTCGACGCTGGCGTCCGCTGCAAATGCAAGGATAGAAAACGAGTTAGATCGAGAGGAACAAGAACAGACGGCACTGCTCGAGGCTCTCAAGCAGTGGAAGACTCAAGTTGCTTGGACGAAGTTTGAGACAATGACGAAGAAGCTGGGTGTCTTACCGGATAGAGTGTGTGTGAGCAGGCTTGTAGCACAGCTCTGCCACCAAGGGACGGCGGCCAGTGTGTCCAAGGCACAGCAGATAATGGTGGAGCTCCGGCAGAAGAGGAAAGTGTCCGAGCTCGTTGACTGTGATGCAATGGGATTGTTAGTGATGGCGTCGGCGAGAGTTGGGACTGCTCACTACTCGCTGGGAGTACTAAGGACGATGCTGGAGCTGGGATATCACCCACCTGTAAAAGTTTGGAGCGCATTGGTGTCGAAGCTCGGGAAAAACGTTGATGACGCTCAGCTCGCTCTCAAAGTTTTTGACGAGGTTTGCCAGTGCGTTGCGGAGCAAGGAATGATCCAGCTGCACAGAAAGATGGAAGTTGATGGGAAGATTGTCGACGAGAAGCTTACCAAGAGTGATGAAGACAAAGCTCTGATCGCTGTCGATGAGACAAAGCTAACGAGACGTAGCGACGAAAATACGTTTGGTACTGGTTCTGGCTACACTGAAAAGAAAGAAGCCGCTTCAACACTCCTCGTAGTGACTGCTGAAAGAGAAGAAATCGACGACTTAGAACCAGAGCAAAGAGAAAAACTCACAAACATACAACTCAAGGAGGAAAGGCAAGCACTTAAGAGGATGAAACCTGACACGGGAGCTTTCAACGCAGCACTCAACGCCTGCGCAAACATCGGCAACTTGGAGCGAGCAGAGCAACTCTGGGAACTCATGCCAGCATTCGGAGTAAAAGCAAACACGCTCACCTTCAACGTCATGATCAAGCTGTACGCTCGAGTCGAGAAGCTGGACAAGCTCGAACAAATCCTCCACACAATGGCCGACGCAGATGTCGATCCGGACGCCACCACCTTCAACTCTTTGGTGGCTGCCTTCGTCGGCCTCGGCGAGCTCAGCCTCGCCGAGTCGATCGTCCAGAGCTTGCGAGGAGAAGGCGAGCACCAAACGAGAGTCCCGGCACTGCTGCCAAAGCTCCGAGAGCACAGCGCCAAGTTCCAGCCCGACGTGAGAACGTACACCACCCTGATGAAAGGCTACGTCCAGCATAACCGGGTGAGCGACGCCATGCAGCTTCTAGTGGCGATGCAGCAGGAGAAGACCTCGGCGGCGATGCCAAACGAGGTGACTTTCACCACTGCCATCCGAGCCTGCGCCAAGATGGGACTGCTAGACGAGGCCCGGGTGATCCTCCAGGAGATGGCGACGCAGAAAGTAGCCGCCAACGTCGTCACTTACAACACACTCCTCCAGGGAGTGTGCGTCTTCCCAATCACGGACATGAAGCGAGCGCTCGAGATCGTCGAGGACATGAAGGAGGCCGGAGTGGAGCTCGACGTTGTCTCGTACAACACCCTGATCAATGGATATCTCGAGGCCGGAGACAACGAGCAAGCGCTGGCCGCCTTCACGAGGATGAGAGAGGCCAAAGTTCCGGCCTCCAAGGTGACGTATGGAACTCTGATGAAGGCCTTTGCTCGGAGCGGCCGGACGGAGCTCGTCGTCAAGGTTTTCACGCAGATGGCGCTGGACCCGAGAGTCCGAGTTGACGTCGTTGCTTGGAACACGCTGATCGATGCATACGCGAGAGCTGGCCTGGAGCAGGACGCGACGAGAGCGCTGGAAGACATGAAGAGCCGCGGCTTCTCTCCCACCAACGCGACTTACAACACGCTTGTCAAAACTTACGGGCGATCCCGGAACTTCGGACTGCTGATCCTTCTCTGGAAAGAGATAAACGCTCGATCAGTGGAGGAAGACAGTGCTGCGGTGAGAGACAAACCTTTGGTGGTGGGAGCTCTCAAGCCGGACGCGGCGCTGCTCGACAGCCTCATCGACTCGTTCGTGCGAGGAGGATACTTTCAGCTCGCGCTCCAGGTGGTGGACTGCATGGATCGGCAGGGAATCCACTCGGGGCGAGCCAAGGCCAAGTACAAGCGATTGTACGTGGAGCTTTACGCGAACCTCTACACCAGCAGGCACACATCCGAGAGGAGGAAGTCCAAGACGGCCGAGAGAAGACGCGCTGTGGAGGCGTTTAAGTTCTGGGTGGGACTTCCAAACAGTCTCTACAAATCGGAGTGGAGACCTTTCGAGTGAGAAAAAAATCGTAACTTGACAAGCTTTACCTGGAAATCTTTGACGAGGCAGCGAAGAAAATTAGAAATCGCGCATGGAAAGCTTTGCAACTTGGAAAATCTCACTATCAGCTTGTTCTCGGACAGCGCTAGACGATCTAGCACCGATCCTTGAGTGCTACATTGTACCTGGCTGATCTTGGAGCGCCCGATCGATCGCCGCGCCCATTTCTCCACACAAAAAAACCCTCCACAATGTGAGGAGGTTTTAGGGCTCCAAAAGAATGAAAAAGATTATCGTGTGCTTGTGCGTAGGAGCCGGAGCTGCGTGCTTGCTCGCCCTGAGGAAGCTCGTCTCGATTAGCGCAGTGGACGCATCAGGTGTGATTCTTTCTTCGATTTCTTGCATTCTCTCATCGATCGATCGATCACTTTAGCCGAGATTATCTACGTCGTCGCGAAATCCAAGGAGCTTGTTCCTCCTGGAAAGCTCAAGCTCCCTGAGAAGGCTGCTCTCGTCGCGTTGATCCCTCCAGGAAAGCCAGCCACTGGCTCCTTTCGCGTCGCGGATTTTGTGAGTCGATTGAGCGCCACTATCTATGGCAGGCTCTTATACTATGGACCGCGCATGCCTTCTACACAGACATTCCTTTCTCAGTGAGTTTATTACTCGCGTTTTTAACTTGGTTCATCGAAAGCTTACTGTCGTTCTCTTGTCCAGGAACGCTCATTCACTCCCGATTGGAACCGTGTGTGTTTCCGACGTTCAGTACCAAGGAAAAGGTAGCGAGGCTTTTGGTTTCTTCTTCTTCTTCAATCTTTGGCTTTGTGTTTCTCCAATCCTTGGACAGGTCGAGCAGGAAATTCTTGGGTGTCTCCGGACGGATGTTTGATGTTTTCGTTTACGTTGCAAATGGAGAATGGACGAACAGTGCCTTTTGTCCAGTACGTTGTCTGCCTGGCCGTTGTGCAGGGAATCGAAGCGGCTGCTCGAGCTAAAGTAAGGCCAGTTCACATTTGTTTTCTAAAAAATCTAAAGTTCTACTGTACCTGATGTTTGTTCTTTAGAATGCGACGATTCCGGACGTAAGGATCAAATGGCCCAACGATCTGTATAGTGGCAACTTAAAAATTGGAGGAGTCTTGTGTTCGTCAACTTATAGCTCCAAAACTTTCTACATCGTTGCTGGTAATTTTCTTTTTCTGTTGTTTTTTTTTTTTCCTGGACTTCTACATGGCTAAACTCGCTGGTCAAAACTACAGGGGTTGGCCTCAACGTGGACAATGACGAGCCAACGACGTGTTTAAACTCCGTCTTAGCCCGATTGGATTCGAAAGCGACTCCATTTGCGAGAGAAGAGCTGCTCGCTACGATTTTGGAGAGCTTTGAGAAACTGTTTACGACGTTCACAACACAAGGCAAGTTTCTGTTTACATTTCTCGCCCTCTACTAGAATTTATGCTTTGTATTGTGAACAGGATTTAGTGCATTGGAACTCATGTACTACGAAAAGTGGATGCACAGGCAAGTTTTTTCTTTTAAGAAAATGTTCTAGCCGCTATCACCATTTCTTATAATTTGTGATTCTCAGTGGACAGAAGGTGATTTTAGAAGACGACAGAGTTTCGGTAGTGATCGAGGTAAGAACCCCGGGTTTTCTTTAGATACTTTTCTTACGGATCATCAACAGGGTTTGACTCCGGCTGGTTTCCTCCTCGCCTCGGACGATGCTTTCAACAAGTACGAGCTTCATCCAGACGGCAACAGGTACCTCTTCCTCTACAAAAACCTCTTTCACAAATCATTCACTCATCTCCCTTCGCAGCTTGGATTTCTTCAAGGGACTCGTTCGAAGGAAGCTCCCTGGCTCAGCGCAATAAAAAGTCATGACAATGTTTTTGGATTTAAAGGCGGATCGTCAGCACGTCCAAGCCACGATTCTCCAAACTGTGGAGGAGGATCAAACTCTCGAGCAGCGCGGTTGGAAACTTTAGAACACACTCGGGGCTCCGCCGGTTGGAGATTCGTTTCCTGTGCAGCAGGAATTTGATACAACAAAAAAAAAAGGTGGAGTTTTTGCGTCTTGGAGAATGTGTATATATAACAACATGGACAAATCTAGACAGCCGGTTCGTGGTGGTAACGACAATGCGGAGATTGAGTGATTATTCGTTGGGCAAGACGATGGAGCCTAATGGCAGCGCACGGGCGCTACTAAGAATCTCGCTGGGTTTGCGCTTATGCCAGAGGGCAACGCGCAACCAAACAAGAGCAGGGAAGAGAGCAAGAGCGAGAGAGAGAGGGGGGGGAAGCGTGGTTGCATAGTAGTCCCGGCATTTTGACAAGTGCGAATCAAGACAATCCAAAAGATGTTAAATGCCCAAGCTCGAACTGTTCCTTTCGGTATCTCCACCAGGAGACCCACTCGATCGAAAGAAACCCCAAAAAATAGAGAAAAAAAAAACACGACTGTTCCTTTGATCGTGTTGGTGTTCTCCTCTCTCGCATTTTTTTTCTCTTCTTTTCCTTGAACGAGTCAAGTTTTCGTGCGAATTTTTGGGAAAGCGAACGAGATCCAACTGTTGATGGACTCGAGGGTCTTTCCCTGGGAGGTTTCATCGCTGGATACAGGTGATGGGATTGTTAGTTTGTCACGGTTTTGGGGGAATTGGAGCAGCGCTCTTGAGATAGCGGAGTAAAAAGGAGGGACTTTTGCGCGGGTACAAGGATGATGGTGAGAAACACGAGCGAGGAAATGATCATCCGGAGTTTGATAGACGGCGGCTCCACTGCTACTCACGGTGCTGCTGCTGCTATTGCGTTTGAAAACATGGGCTTCATGCCTCACAGGGCCAGCAGCGAGGAGCTCTTCAATAGCTGGATTGCCAATTCAGAGGTTTGATCTTCCTGGTTTTCGCGAAACCATCTTTCTTAACTTTGGATTTCTAGCAGGGTGGCTTGCCCCCGCACACTCGTCCATCTCGCAAGTAAGAAAAGATGGAATTCACCTCTGATCTTCACGTTTTGTGTTTTGTTTTTGGTTCTTCCCTCGAAACTCATCAGGATGTCGTCTGAACTTGCTGCTCTACTCGCCCAGCAACAAGGAATGGATCACGGCTTGTATCTTCAAAGCGATCACAACGCAAAGTCAAGGTGAGATCAAAGTTTCGATTTTGATGCGATTTACTAATATTCCTTCTTCTTCTTCCTGGTTTTTCGTTTGAAAGATCACAGCAGCAGCAAGAATATCCATCGTTGCAGGTACTACTTGCTTGCTCTGATAATTCAATCAAACTCAATCCATTTTCTATATGTTAGGCACTAAGCTGGTTTCAAACTTCTCAACCCATGACTCGAAGCCGTTCCACAGAGCTCAGGTCATAAAAGAAAACTTCCCTCTCGTTTCTATACCAAAAAGAAAAGCAAAAATTCAGGAAAAAAAAAAAAACTAAACTTTGCGGAAACAAATCATTGTTTCTTTGCAGGCGCCGCTACCTTGAGATGCAAAGGCAAGATTTGTCGTCGGGAGCAAAGCCAACCGAGCAAAGTTTCCTTCCGTGGCCCGATAATCTCCCCCAGCATGATCACAACTCGTCAGTCTCCACAGTCTCCACGGTCGTAAACATGCTCAAGGGATCATTGGAGAAGAAGAGAGTATCAAAAGAGCTACAACACCACTGCCAGGCCGAGCAACACGAACTCCATCAGCAGCAAAACGCTGTCCAGGACGCAAGTTTCATGTTTCGGCTGGCGAACCCGAGCGAGTCCTCGGGTGGCAACGACAACAATTCGTGCCCCGCTACTCCAAGCCAGATCCATCTCTTCCACGATCAACAGGCGGGCCGAGCGATAAGTGAGTCGAAATATCTCCCAAGTTTGGGTGATGAGCTTGTTCTTAGCGCGATTTTCTTCTCATTTTGTGCCAGTTTTTGCAGGCAATAACGACTTGCAGACTGAAGATCAACACAAGGTCTGGTTTTTCTCTGGTGTTTTTTCTTTCTCTTTGTGACTTAAGTATCATATTGCAGAAGCAGCAACCACAGCTCTCGCGAGCAGGATCGATCACATCTTCTGGAAGATCTGGTATTTCTTCATATATTTATTTGTCAAAGTCTTGCAGCTTTTGATTTTTGAGATTCATAAGCTTCAAATGTGACTTTTCAGGTATGGAAGCTTCGGACGTTTCGACCAAGAAGCGACGAGTAGAACGCAAGAGAATGTAAGACATTCCATCACTAAGCTCCGCTTAGAGTTATTCGATTCTAAAAAATTCTTCTTTTCTGGAATTCCAGGATGGTGGAAGCCAAAGGAAGATCGTCAGTCCCAGCGATGCCTTCCGACATGCAAGCAGCGATCAAGCGCTCGGATGCACTAGAAAAGGAAGTTCGATCTTTGAAGCTCAACCTTTCCTTCATGAACAGGTGATTCACAAGGCTCTAGCGTAGAAAAACTTCGCTCAAGCTTGAAAGTTTGTATCTCTACAGGAAGGATTCCGAGCAGACAAAGCGAATCGAGGAGCTGGAGAAGCAAAACGAGGAGCTCTTGCGAGAAAAGAGCCGACTAACCGAGGAGTTGGATCAACTAATCTCTTCGAGATCAACATGGTAGAAAAACAAAGTCATAACTCACAGTACAAAAAAACGTAAATATTGCAACAAGAGAGAGAGAGATGGAGAGGAAAAAACAAATCTACGAAGAGACGAAGAAACCAAGCACTAAGTCTTTCCTTACAGCGACTTTGAAACAAAGAGAAGAAAATTATTCCACGGCTTTGTGGGAATGACGTGCCGGAATATTCGTGGTGACTAGACGGTGGCGGAAGGCTCGGTCCCTTGTCTTTCCATTGCGCGTCCCGCGGGGTGTTTAGAGTCCTTTCTAAAGCGGTGATAGCTAGGGCTCGCGCCCGGGAGCTCCAGCCGCGGACAAAGCGCGAGCGTTTCTTGCTGATTGATCATCCCGCGCTTTCTCCATCGATCGATGCGTCGTTCTTTAGTTTAATGTTTATCGCGGCGGCTTTGGCGGATCTAATCTTCTCGCGGCGATGTTCGGTGGGAGCGGCAGCTCCAAGGCGACGAAATGGTGAGTGTTCTTCTTTCTCGTCTTGGGATTTCATGACAATTTCCTCCATGGCTGCGCCGCAGCAAGACGCAATTGCGACTGGTGGTGTCGCGGATCAAGATTCTACGCAACAAACGCGAAATCCAAGTCAAGCATTTGCGGCGGGATGTGGCCCAGCTCCTCCAGAACAAGCAGGATGGAAATGCACGCACTCGGGTATGGAGACTTTGGGATTTTTTCCTCTTTCGTTTTGGCCTTAAGATCTCTCACAGGTTGAGCACGCGATTCGTGAACAAAACATGGTCGATGCCTACTCGCTCATCGAAGGATACTGTGAGTTTCTAGCGTCAAGAATCCAGAGTATCAGTGGAAAGAAGTAAGACCCCACAATTATTGGTTTCCTTTTGCGCGTTTAACACTATCTTATCCCTTTGCAGGGAATGTCCTCCGGAGCTCAAGGAGGCCATCGCCAGTTTGATTTATGCTGGACCGAGGTGTGCGGATTTGCCGGAGTTGCTGGAGATACGGTCGATTTTCAGCGCCAAGTATGGGAAGCAGTTTATCGCTACTATAGTGGAGCTTCGTGTTGGTTGTGGAGTTGGCAAGAAGGTGAGATTTTTTTTTTCTTCAGGGAGAGTATCCAGTAACTGGTTTCACTTTTTGTTTGTACGTGTAGATTGTGGAGAAGCTATCAACACAACCTCTCACTGCAGCCATGAAGCTAAACTTCATGGCTGAAGTTGCGAAGGAGCACAACGTGAATTGGCAGCCCGCGGACTTGTCTCTTCCTGCCGAGGCACCTGATACACCTCCGAAACAACAACAAAAGCCTACGGTAAGCACGCTTTTCTTCTTCTGTTTCAATGCCTATGCCTATAATCTGCTCAAATGTGGTGTCACATCAGCAACCGCAGCAAACCAACAGTAGCAGCTCTCCAACGTCGCCGCTTGACAAAAGACCTGTTATTCCTGCCGCTCAACCGGCCGTTCAGCCGGCCCGTGCTCAACAAGAGTCCAAGTCCGATTCTGACGACGATGAACCTGTTTCAAAGCCTTCGGCATCTCGTCCCGTTCAAAAACCCGGCCATCAGCAACAGTTCATTCCGTTCGTTCCACCAACTCCAACGGCAACAGTGAGTAGCGTTCCAGATCCTTACGCACAGTACACAAAAGGGATTGTCAATCCTTACGCTCACAAAGCTGCACCGCCCCCACCACCTCCACCTCCACCGCCACCGCCACCACCACAGCAAATGACTGATGATCCTTACAGCGAGTACAGGAAGCAGTTCAGTGGGAATCATGCCTACGCAGACGTTGCAACTGCCGCGGAAGCCGCTGCTCAGTCTGCTGATCATGCTGCTGCGGCTGCTCGAGCTGCTGCAACTCTTGCTCACAAGCATCTCTCGCGGGAGACTTCAATGACTTCAGAAGCGGATCAGGGAAAAGCTCGGGTCAGGGAACTCGACTTGGTGGCGAATCTGGAGGATAGAGTAGCATCCTACATCAGAGCCCACGCAAACGATACGGACTCGTCGGAATGGGAAACTCCGACTCCACTGGCAAAGCAGCAATCCTCGCCAATATTGAACCCAAGCAGGAACTTGCAGAGAGAAGCGGAGCTAGCTGAAAGACATGGTTCAATCAGAAAGTCGCATACCACTGATGGGATTAACATGGAAGAACATCAAAGATGGAGGCATACTGCAGGCGATGAAAATGACCTCAGTCCAGTGAAGCAGAAGGCGGGTAGTCCTCTTGGAATGCGAACTGACCATTTCGACAACAGCTTGTTTAGAAGTGAGCCCGCCGAGAAGAGAGAGGAGGCGGGGAGTCCTCTTGGAAAGCCAGTGTTTGATCACTTTGGCGGTACAGAGGAGAATCGGAGCTCCAGCGTGATGTCTACACCAGGATCTTCTTATGACCATCGGCCAGTATATGATCATTCGAGGCCAACAAGATACGACGAAGAGCCCGAGCAAACTTTCAACAGAAGAGCAGAAACATTAGCAACTCGACCTTTTTATGATCATCAGCGCGATGAGATCAAGCTCAAGCCAGTTTATGATGAAGCTCCAGCGGTGGTTTCCAGACTGGATTCGTTCACTTTAAACATGGAGACGATGCACGGGAGCGTCCTGTCCAGGACCGAGAAGCTGTTTGAGAAAGAAGACTCGGATCACTCGTCTCCAGCGCCGAGATCGAGCCGGCGAGCCCAATCAAACTTCCGGAGAAGCTTTGACGTTGATGATTCGGGAGACGAAGAAGAGTCAAGCACCAGCTTTGAGAGTGAAGCCAAATCGGCAGCATCGTCCATTCCCGCGGCTCCATCTCAAGAACAACAGCCACCATCGTCGCCATGGCGATCGCGACCTCCTCCAACTCGCCCGCCTCCAACGCTCCATCTCCAGCAAACCGAGAATCTCGATCCCAGTGGCAAGCACCTGGATGTCCAGAAGCAATTCCACGGCCACAGCGAGCAGTCATTGCCGCCACCGCCATCGATGAGGACGCACAGGCTCGGTGGAGCAAGCGTTAGAACGCGACGCAAGTAAATATGTGTAGCAAATTTGAGATTTTTAAAATTTGAAAATTAGCGCGCGACCCCCTGCATTTAGGGTTCTTTCTCTGCTAGAGGAGAGAGGCGACCAATTCGTCCTCGGCGTGAGTGATGACGACCAAATCGCTTGTTGGGTAGGCGATGCAAGTGAGCACGAAGCCCTGATCGATGTGCTCGTAGCCCATAAACGCATTTCCGCCCTGATCCACGCTGCCCATCTCTAGTTTTCCTGCGCAAGCAGGGCAAGATCCTGCGCGGCAGAAGAATGGGAGCTCCAAGTTCGCATCCTCGGCGGCGTCCAGGATGCTCTTATCGTCAGGGCAAGAGATCATCTTCTCACCTAGGGGCATTTTCAACAAGACTCTGTATGCTGTCGCTCGGATCGCAAAAGAGGGCTTTAATCGCTCCCTGCGGCTTTGGAGTTCGATCCCAATGGCAGCTCTTCGGCGAAGATCGAGGCCCAGATTGGAAAACACTGTTCTAGGATGATCGCCCAGTGCCAGTGCTGCCATGAGCCAAATGAAGGTTGGGATTTTTTCTGGGCGTGTTCTTGACCATACACGTGGCAATCTGCCACGTGTACCAATGCTGAAGAACCCTAAAGTTTTTGCCGTAAAAGCCCTAAGGTTTTTGGCGCAGAGTTCTTGGAGAATGGCGGTGCCGAATCCAAAGACGGCGCTCTATGTCGGTAAGCGCGACTGCTCCGGTGTGTTTGATTGCGTGTGTTTCTTTCGCGATTTTTGGACAACAGGAGGCTTGGATGAGAATGTGAACGAGGAGGTTCTCCACGCGGCTTTCATTCCATTTGGCGACATCAAGGACGTGACAATGCCGCTGGATCAAGGCACGCAAAAGCACCGGGGCTTTGGATTCGTCACGTATTTGGAGAGGGACGATGCAGCGGCTGCCATGGACAACATGCACAACTCGGAGCTCTTTGGCAAAGTGTTGACGGTGAATTACGCACAGCCCATGAAGATCAAGGGAGGAGAACAGGGCTGGGCATCTCAACCAAGTGAGTTTTCTTCCATTTCCTTTCTTCCTCGGTTATTTGTCGTTAGATTGAGGTACACATTTATTTGGAATATCTTCCTTTATGTGGATTTAGACTCCTTTTCATTTTCTTCACGAGTTTTTCATTCTTATAAGAAGCCAGTTGTTTTCTCTTCTCTACTTCTCTTGCGTTTGGTTCACTCCATACTTTGTTTGTCAGTTCTCTCTCAACTATTACTTTTCTTCTTGTCTCTTTAATTTTGCTTTGCTATTTGTTTCGTGAGAGCTTCGTCTTAACTTGTTGGAATTCTGTCTTTGCAGTTTGGGCGGATGCCGATACGTGGTTTGAGCGTCAACAGCGGGAGCTAGAGATGAAGAAGCTCAAGGCCGAGCAGGATGCGACAGTCAAGGCAGCTCAAGAGGCTGAGAGAAAGAAGCTCTTGGATGCCCTCGAGGGAGAAGTGGAAGAACCAGAAGAGCCAGAAGTCACAATGCCTGTTGACCCTGCGATCATGCAAGGGACGCAAGAAGCAGAGGTCCCTTGGTATGCATTCTTTTTTTCTTGTGTCCTTGCGTTTGGTGTCTGATCTTTCCCTTACAGAGCAGAACAGTGTACTTCTCTTCTGGATTGTCTGGAACTGCAGGTAGTTTGATCTGTAATCTTTTTAGTTATTCGGTGTTTGATGAATGTTGTCAGGTCTTCCACGTTCCTATGAAAAAAAAAAAACAGGAGCATTGTATGCGTGGCTCAGAAGTGAAGGTCAGTATGGGTCGGCTGGAAGAATGACGACCTTTGGAGGACTAGGAGGACTTAATGGACTTGGAGGACATGCACTTCTCACGGCAGTTGTGGATGTATAGGTTGACTAGCTCCTTCTGCTTCAGCCACTGTTGCTGGAGAACAGCCGAAATCTGTGGAGAACAGACAATGTGAAAGTTTGTATGGAAGAGAAAAAGCAAACTCTGATCTATCGGATCTTAGAGAAGCAGCGCTGTGTGTTGTTGTGAACAAGAGCAGCAGCGGCAGTTTCAGTCAATCAAGAGCCATTACCTTTGCTTTGCTTTAGAACTATCTTTTCTTCCAACCTTTGCGGGGATGAGCTCTTCCTTGAGAGTTATTTTATACACAAGGTATAGTTTTAGGCACGCCTAAAGTCCTCGGGCAATAGGTTGTCAAGGAGGTTTCTTCGATCGAACGGACAACCAAGGAAGAAATATCTAGTGGAAAGAATTTATAAAACTGAATTGAAGCAAATGGCTCTCAAAGAAATCAATTGAAATCTTTAACGCTAAAGTCTTGTGATCAAGAAACTATTTTATAAGAAGCAAGGACACGAGAGAAAAGATCCATTTCTTGTGTTTCTTGTATGATCACTGTATCTATAACTTCGGGTTCTTCCGGTTGGAATTCCACTTCTCCCTCCAACTCATAACACATTTTCAGGGTGGCCATTGTAGCTGATTGAGCAGCAACGCCATAAGTGACCATCTGATTATAAAAAATAGTTTCTTGATTCTGAAACTGTTTTTTTCTCTTTCTTAGTTTATTTATTTGGTTAATTATGCGTTTAACATGTTTTTATGCAGTGAATCGGCGACGATGGCACTGAATCCAGCCGGCCTGCAAATGTGTTACGAGTTGGAGGAGGGCCTGGAACGATCTTTCCATTTGAAGGAGTTCCAGATCTCACAGCTTGGTTGGTGTCAATGCTTGGAGGAGATCCATTTTCGAATGCACTAACGTGTTTTGGTCCTGGGTGGATAGGCGAGCTCCTCCGTTTGATCACTGCTGGGAGTATATTTTCTTTATTCACTGCTGGGTGTATAGGCGAGCTCTTTCCTTTGAGCATTGTTGTCGCTACCGGGATCTCGAGATTGTAAGCCTGCGAGAGCTGGACCGTGAAATCCTGCAAGAGTTTTCGATGATGCAGTGCTCCTGCTTCATCAGCAGAAGAAACGAGAGAAGCAGCGGAAGCTCCAACGTGTTCCTGGTGGATCTCTCCAGCCAGTAGCAGCAGCAGCAGCAGCAGCTGGAAGATCAGACGAGTCTCCATGCTCCGACACTTCCGAGTGCTTTGGCTTTGATCTCCTCCAACTCTGGACAACGTTTGTTCTTCCTGCTCAAATGGGATCGCTTGCTCTTTCCAACTTTTGCTAGACTTCCAGTTCCAATGGGATCGCAACTTTTGCTCTTCCCGTTCCAATGGGATCGCTTCTTCTCACTTGGAGATACCCCAGCTTCATTAATGGCTTTTATACACGGTTACTCCTCTCCATCCGTCCCGGAAAAACTTTGAAAAATCATCCGTCAAAAACACGCTGTTTCGTTTGAACGAGAATCTCGTTCCCTCCCGGTAAAACAAAAACATTCCTGAACTTTGAATCCTCGCCTACGAACGAAAGTAACAAGGCGACGTATGGAAGTTGTAGAGCAAAACGGAGGAAGTTTCCAGCCCATGTAAGTCAAGTCCAACTCTCGCTACTTCTTTCCCCGATGCTGCCCAAACGAAACTCGTCCACAGTAGCGTGTCCGGCTCGTATGGCATGTGTAGAATGAGATCCATGGCGAGAGATGGCGGATCGCTACTCATACCATACGGCTCGTATGGCATGTGTAGAATGAGATCCATGGCGAGAGATGGCGGATCGCTACTCATACCATCCGGCTCGTATGGCATGTGTAGTCGTGGATCTGGCCACACTGCCCCATGGCGTTGACCATGCAGCTGTAGTGCTCCCGTGGCGGTCAGACCAAAGTCAAATGCCATTGACCTCCACCTGGCGCTGCCGGGGCTCCCCGTTGACTTATGGCGACCAGGGTGGCGGTCATCGTGATGCAGTTGGGTGGCACTATGAGGAGCATCTCGTGAAACAGGGAGAGCGCCTCTTGGGCCATTCGGTGGTTAGTAAGCGCCAAGCATTGCGTTCCTCCATGTTGTCAAACAGATTCTTCGCCTGCTAGCACTGTGAATATGCAGAGAGCATCGTGTTCCAGGACGTGAGGTCCTTGTGTGGCATTGTATGAAACAAGAATTGAGCGTTTTCAAGATGCCCAATTTTGGGCATATGCCGCGAGCACTCACAACGTTGTAGCGGTTAAACAGGAACTGACTCTCCATTCATGGACACAAGCAAAGAAACCAGAGAAATCAAGAGAAATCAACCTCTGCACCATAACACATTACAGGACACCCGGCGCGCTCACATCCAGCACCCATCACTTCTCTCCTCCAATCCTCTCTCTCCAACCAAGAACACTCGCTCGCGTCAACCTTCGGTTAGGGTTCGACTAAACTGGACACAAGCTTGCAAGGCATATGTCGTTAGAATGGTACTAGGCTCCCGGGGCAGTGTCGAAGCAGTCCAGCCGCACTCTGGCCATTTGTGGACATTCATTCGAACCCTAAAGTTTCTTGGAGAATGGCGGCGCCGAATCCAAAGACGGCGCCGGTGCTAGCGTGTGTTTGATCGCATTGTTTCTTCCGAGAATGTGAACGAGGGGATTCTCCACGGGTTTCATTCCGTACATCAAGGACAATGCCCCTGAATCAAGGGACGATGGGGCGGTGGCCATGGACAACATGCACAACTCGGAGCTCTTTCGCTAAGTGTTGACGGTGAATTACCCGCAGCCCATGAAGATCAAGGGAAGAGAACAGGGCTAGGCATCTCAACCAAGTGAGTTTTCTCTTCCATTTCCCTTCTTCCTCGTTTTTTTTTGCGTTAGAGTATATGGATTTGCTGAAGATTTCTTTTCTTTTTCTTCTTGTTCTTAATTCTTCATTCCTATACGAAGTCAATTGTTTTCTCTTTAATACTTCTCTTGCCTTTGGTTCACTAGATACTTTGTTTGTCAGTTCTTTCTCTAAACTATTACTTTTCTTCTTGTCTCTTTGATTTTTCATTGCTATTTGTTTCACGACAGCTTCGTCTTACCTTGTTGATTTGGAATTCTATCTTTGCAGTTTTGGCCGATGCCGATACATGGTTTGAGCGACAGCAGCGGGAGCTAGAGATGAAGAAGCTCAAGGCCGAGCAGGATGCCACGGTCAAGGCGGTGCAAGAGGCCGAGAGGAAGAAGCTCTTGGATGCCCTCGAGGGAGAAGTGGAAGAACCGGAAGAGCCTGTCCTTGGTCTTTCCCTTACAGAGCAAAATAGTGTGCAGAAATCTGGAACTGGAGGTAGTTTGATCTGTAAGGAAATCTTTCTAGTTATACAGTGTTGATATACGCCATAAGTGACCATCTGATTATAAAAAATAGTTTCTTGATTCTGAAACTGTTTTTTTTTCTCTTTCTTGGTCTTGTGGTCAAGAGTCAGAGTTTATTTATTTGGTTGATTATGCGTTTAACATTGTTTGACGCAGTTAATCGGCGACGATGGCGCTGAATCCAGCCGGCCTCCAAATGTGTTACGAGTTGGAGGAGGGCCTGGAACGATCTTTCCATTTGAAGGAGTTCCAGATCTCATAGCTTGTTTGGTGTTAATGCTTGGAGGAGATCCATTTTCGAATTCACTAGCGTGTTTTGGTCCTGGGTGGATAGGCGAGCTCCTCCGTTTGATCACTGCTGGGATTATAGGCGAGCTACTTTCTTTATTCACTGCTGGGTGTATAGGCGAGCTCTTTCCTTTGACCACTGTTGTCACTACCGGGATCTCAAGAGCCTGCGAGAGCTGGACTGTGAAATCCTGCAAGAGTTTACGATGATGCCGTGCTCCTGCTTCATCAGCAGAAGAAACGAGAGAAGCAGCGGAAGCTCCAACGTGTTCCTGGTGGATCTCTCCAGCCAGGAGCAGCAGCAGCAGCAGCAGCAGCTGGAAGATCAGACGAGTTTCCATGCTCCGACACTTCCGAGTGCTGTTGCTTTGATCTCCTCCAACGTTTGTTCTTCCTGTTCAAACGGGATCGCTTGCTCTCTCCAACTTTGCTAGACTTTTGGTTCCAATGGGATCGCAACTGTTGCTCTTCCGATTCCAATGGGATCCCTTTCTCTCACTTGGAGATACCCCAGCTTCATTAATGGCTTTTATACACGCTTACTCCTCTCCATCCGTCCCGGAAAATCTTTGATGACGTGCCGCATGCTTGCCCGTGCCGCGTGCTGCTGCCCGGCTGACGGGCGCCCGTCCGTCGTCCGTCATCCAGAACTGGGGGAACGGGAGTTCTTACCGCGGGGTACAAACTAGACCCTTGGATATGTTTCGTGTGCGCTCGTGGCGCGGTTAATTGAAGGGAGTGTCCGTCAAAACGCTGCTTCGTTCGAACGCGTTCCTTCCCCGTGCAACAAAAACAATTTCCTGGACTTTGAATCCTCGCCTACGAACGAAAGTAACAAGGCGACGTATGGAAGTTGTAGGGCAGAACGGAGAAAGTCTCCAGCCCGTGTAAGTCAGGCCCTTCTCTGGCTACTTCTTTCCCCGATGCTGCCCAAAAGAAACTCGTCCACAGAAGCGTGTCCGGCTCATATGGCATGTGCAGAATGAGATCCATGGCGTCGTGGATGTGGCCACCCTGCCCCAAGACGTTGACCATGCAGCTGTAGTGCTCCTTCGTGGCGGTCAGACAAAAGTCAAATGCCGTTGACCTCCACCGGGCGCTGGCGCTGCCGGGGCTCCCCCGTTGACTTATGGCGACCAGGGTGGCGGTCATCGTGATGCAGTTGGGTGGCACTGTGAGGAGCATCTCGTGAAACAGGGAGAGCGCCTCTTGGGACATTCCGTGGTTGGAGTAAGCGCCAAGCATTGCGTTCCAGGAGATTGTGTCGAGAGAGTCCATGTTGTCAAACAGAGTCTTTGCCTGGGAGGGGTCGCCGCACTGTGAATATGCAGAGAGCATCGTGTTCCAGGACGTGAGGTCCTTGTGTGGCATTGTATGAAACATGAATTGAGCGGTTTCAAGATGCCCAGTTTGGGCATATGCTGCGAGCATGGTATTCCACGTCACAACGTTGCGCTCCTTTGTTCTAAGAAACAAGCTTGCAGTGGCATCGACGTGGCCCTTTTGGGCATATGTCGTCAGCATGGTGTTCCACGTCACTAGGCTCTTTAGCTCTTCCGGGGCAGTGTCGAAGCAGTGACGGGCCTCATCTAGCCGTCCACTCTGGGCATTTGTGGTCAGGATGGCGTTGATTGACACCGAGTCCCATTCCTGCATAGAATAGAACACAGAGACTGCCATCTGAAGATCCCGGTTCTGGGAATATCCGCACAGGAGAGCGTTATGGGAGACAAGATTCCTCTCCTGCATTGAGTCAAAGAGTGCTTTAGCCTCTCGCATATTCCCGTCTTGGGCATATACCGAGAGCATCGTGTTGGATGAAATGAGGCTGTGCTCTTTCATCCTGTGGAACAAGTCTTTGGCATTGTTGAGCTCTGCATTGTGAAGGTAACCAGAAATCATTGAATTGTAGGAAACAATGCTTCTTTCTTCCATGGAATCAAACACAAGTTTTGCCTTTAGAGTCTGCCCGGCATGGGAATATCCAGATATAAGAGTGTTGATGGACACAATGTCGTGGGATGGCATCGAAGCAAATAAGTATTCTGCCTGGTCAAGATAGCCACCCTCAATATATGCGACTAGCATTGTATTCCACGCATAGAGGTTCCTTTCACACATTAAATCAAACACTTGCTTGGCTTTGTCCAGATACCCATTGCTTGAATATGCGGTTAGCATGATGACCCATGAGACAAGGTTATGCTCTGGCATCTTCTCAAATATTATTTCAGCATGCGTGACAGACGCAGCTCTACTGTAAGCATCTAGCATTGCAGACCAAGAAATGACATCTCTTTCATACATCGAGGAAAAAACTCTCTCAGCATCGGCAAGATGCCCACAATGAGAATATGCTGATAATAAGGCATTCCATACCACCAGGTCATGCTCTGGCATTTTGTTCCAGATTCTTGTGGCATCATCAACTTTCTGGGAATATGCCACCAAAATCACAGTCCATACAGAGAGATCGCTCACGGGCAATTGGTCGAAAAGAGCTTTCAAGTTGTAAAGGTTGTCACTAGCATGTAAGGTAAGCATGAGAGTTGATGATACAAGATCTCTCTCAGGCATCTTATCAAAAAGAGACCTCGCATCTTCAAGATTCCCGGATCGGGCATATGCCCGAAGCATCGCGGTCCAGCACCTCATGTCACGCTCTTGCATGGAATCAAACACCAGTTTCGCCTCTTTAATATACCCTCTTTGGGCATATGCGTTTAGCATGGTTGTCCAGCACACAACATTCCATTCGAACATTCTGTCAAAGAGGTCTTTAGCCTGGAAAAGTTGGCCGTGGCTTGCAAAGGCTGCAAGCATGGCGGACCACGAATGGAGATCTCTCTCGGGCATCTCCTCGAAGATCCTCTTTGCCCGAGAGAGATGCCCGTTTCGGGCATATGTAGTAAGCATGAACGTCCATGAGAATACGTCTTTGTTGGCGATGGACGTGAAGATGGAGAGAGCTTCATGGACTGCTCCGAGCTTCCCATACAAGTCGAGGAGCTTGTTCGAGGCATAAGTGTCGAGAGTCGAAGTAGCGCTTTGGAGAAGACGAGCGTGGGCTTGTTTTGCCGCTTTGAGAGTCTTGCAGCTTCCCAAGAGCTCGTTACATGATCTACGATCGAGCATTCGAGCGAGCCAGCTCTGTTAGAAAGACTTATAGCAGTACAGAAAAAAAAAACGATGAGAGAACTTAGAACCGGTCTGTAGAGATCAGTGTTCCTCGTCTTCTTGTACTTGTTCGCGTTTTCGTTTTTTCTTCTTGTGCTCCTTGCGTTTGCTGCTGCTGCAAATACATATAAAAAAATATCAATGATTTTAATCCCCGATGGAAGACAATTACCTCGGCTCGGCCTCGACCTTAAGCTTGCTGCTGCTGTAAAAACAAGAGAGAAAATAGAAAACTGGGAGTTTGACCATCTATCAATATAAACGTGGTCTACCTTGACTCGGCCTCGGTCTTTCGCTTGCTCCTGCTACAAAAACCAGAAAAAAAGAAAAAGACAAAAGAGAGGAGAGATCCGCGTAAACAAACAAGAAAACAAAAAAAATACCGGTTTACCTTTTCTCGCTAACAGGTGTTTGTTGTTCTTGCTGGGCCTCTTTGTCTTCCTCAAGACACGCGATCCAGTCTAAAGCACCAGTCTCCGGAGGAACAAGGGACCCGACGATGTCAATAAATTCATCCTCTTCCTGAACACTGACCCCATTAAAGACAAAAGCATGGCAGTCAGCTTGCTTGTTCTTGAGATAAATTTTGTGCCCACCTCTTAACTAGGAAAGAGACCCTGCTCCCAACTCTAATGCAATGCCGCTCATCGCTCTCGCTTATCCAAGTTTGCTCAGTAGCCTGTTGAAGTTAAGAGACAAAGAAGTAACTTAGCACTGTCACGAAAATTGAAGTTGAGGAACAAAGCACTAACTTAGATGGGAGAGAGAATGAAAGAGAAACTCACCACTTCATCGTAAAAGAGGTCTTGCCGGATGTCATTGATTCCTATTGCCGCGTTGAACAATCCCAAAACCAGCATTCCAATGTAATCCTTCTCGACTTTGTTTACTTTGCCTTCTGTCCTGTCCACAGCCAAGCGCCTAAAGCTCGTTTAGAATGATCGCGGCAAAGAAAACGAGAATGGAGCACGTACCGATGAGCATTCCCGCTTTTGGAGAGAAGAGAAGCAAATCGGCCTTTAGTCGCACAGTGAAGTAAGGAAGCAGCGGAAGGATCTTGTGGCCAAACTTTAAAATCTCTGGGCGAAAGTAGGCGAGAAGAACACCATCGAAGCTACTGTCGAATCTAAGAAAACCGAGGAAAACATGAGAAGAAGGAGCTAAAAACCACATTACTTGAGAAGCATCGAGTTGAGAACCTCTCGCACGGAAGCCTCGAGATTGGAGGCGCATTTCGGATGGAGATACATGCGAATGCGAGCGCTGACGGATCGAAGCCACTCCACTCCGTCTGGATCGTCCTCCTTCCCCGCGACGGCACAATGCACGGGCACAGCCATTCCCCACCAAAAACCCTAGCTGGGTTTAGGGCTCCATTTTTATTGAAACTTGAGCTTCCAGGTGGCTTTTAGACAGCCGTCGATACGCTATGCAAGGATCGACGGCCGAAGAAGCACGACATTTGTCTGAATGAATCTCAATGTCAAGGAGTTTGCTAGAGTATTAAAAGAGTGTGGAAACCAACGAGATTTTCTCAAAGCAAAGCATCTCCACAAGGTAATTCTCAGGAACAGTGAGTTCAACCACAACAAGTACCTCGCAAATCTTGTGATTGAAATGTATGGAAAATGTGGGAGCCTGGAGGATTGTCTTGCGGCTTTCTATGAGATCGAAAGGCCTAATGTCTTCTCTTGGTGCATTCTTCTCTCGGCATATGCCAGCAATGGGCATCTTCAGCAAGCCAAGGCTGTTTTCGATCTGATGCCGGAAGTAAACATCGTAGCCTGGACTTCGCTTCTGAAGTCATATGCAGATAATGGTTTGCTGCACGAAGCAGAAAGAATGTTTTGCGAAATCAAGGCCGTGTGTAACCTTGTCTGCTGGAATTGCATGCTCGCAGCATATGCCCAACACAACCGTTTCGAGAAAATGGATTCCATCTTTTCTGACATGCCTGCCCGTGATTTAATCTCATGGAACTCGGTACTTTGGGCAAATGCTGAGTTTTGCGGTTTCGGAAAGACCAAGACCATGTTCGATGCGATGCCCGAGTGGGATATTATTTCATATAATGTGATGCTTTTGGCACATACCCACACTGGGCATATCAACGACGTCGAGTCCCTCTTTGCTGCTATGCCCGAGCGCGACCTCGTCGGCTATAGCCAAGTCATTGCAGTACACATCGTGCACAAAGATCTAGACCGAGCGAAGTTGCTGTTTGATCAAATGCCGGAGCGAGACGTGATTTCTTCCACAAGATTGCTGCAAGGGTACGTGGAATCACGAGACTTCGAGGCAGCGACAGATTGCTTCAATGCTATGCATCAACTTAGCGTCCCGTCTTACAACTTAATGGTCGTGGCATATGCCCAAGAAGGGCATCTCGACTGGGCCCAAAGTGTTTTCCACGAGATTCCGGAGAGGAGCATCGTGTCGTGGACGTCGCTGGTTGAGGCATATGCCCAGAACGGGCATCTTGGCGACGCGAGAGAGATGCTCGAGAGGATGCCCGAGAGGAATGTGGTGGCCTGGACGGCCATGATCTCCTCGTATGCGCACAATGGCTATGGACGATTGGCAATTTCAATGTTTCGGGAGATGGAGGTTAGTGGTGAGGAGGCCAACGAGGTTACCATCTTGGGTGTTCTTCTGGCGTGTAACCACAAAGGAATGCTTGTTGAGTGCTTGGGTTGCTTCAAAGGGATCAAAGAGGACTATGGTGTTACTATGGTTGTGGATCACTATCTGGCAATGGTCGTGGTTTTGGGACGGCTTGGACATGCCAAAATTGCGAGAGATTTGCTGAATTCCATGCCTTTCATCGCTGACAATCCTCGAAGTTGGGAGATCTTCCTGAGGTTTTGTGAGGGATGGAATTGAGAAGCTTGAAGAAAAGTTTTGGATTTTTCAATAAATAAAAAAAGTTTAAGCGATTTAAAAGTCATGATAATTACACGTGTCCTTTAAAAGATGCATACCATAGTCATACCCATAGCCACATACCCATACCAAGAAGGAAGAACAAGGGTGAGCACATAATTATTGTCTCGCTCGAGCGCTCCTGCTCGCTCCGCCTCCGAATCCGCGCCTGGCGGGTGCTGCCAATCCCATCGCCGTGACGCCGCCGCTCATCTCGCGAGATTCTTCCGGATTGCGCATGGGTAAGTCCTCCTCTCCCCTCTCCGTGGAGAATTCTGGCGAGAATTTCTAGGGTTTTCGTGCCTCCCCTCTCTGTCCTGGAATGGATGCGTTCTGTGCCCGAGCAGCTGGAGGATTTGTTTTCTCCTGGCTGCCTCGAGGCAGTGGGCATTGACTTTGTGGAATTGGGTTCTCTGGGTTAGGGTTAGTGTGTGAATTTGTGTGTGGATGCCTTGGCTGAGCGTCTAGTTTTGTTTCTTCCCTCTTTAGTTTTTTTTTCTGTGGAGATCGGCTGTACAGATTTAATTTTTTCTGGATGGATGGCAGGAAATAGCGATTTTGGCAGCAGTTTTTAAGTGTTGTAAGATTTTTTTCCGTAGGAAGCTTAGCTTAGGCTATGGCTGCACTCTCATAGCTAGAGCTTGCTAGAAAAAAAAAACAAAAAAAAAAAAAAAACAAATTCAGCTTTTTTTCTCTCTCTCTGACACTCTTCTCATGTTTTAGGTGGAGGAATATTTTTGGGAGAATGTCACTTGTAACAAATCGGAGCAGTGGTTCTGCTGTTGCTCTAGACGAGCCTCCCGACAACGGATTGTCGAAGAAGCTTGCTCGGCTGAGCTTGAATCCTGATGCTCAGGAGTTTGTACCATCGTCCTCAAGAACATCAGTGAGTGCTGGAAACTCGGGCTCTAATGGTGCTGCTTCCGAGGCTAGAAGTAAAGCTAACGTTGACAGCTCCAGCAATCCCAACGCTTCCGATGACGAGTTTAGACAGTTTTGGCGATCGCAGCTCCCGGACGATCTCATTACCGACTCAGACTTTTCCTCGGAGATTTACTCGCCAACCAACCAATATGACCAGCAGCAGGCGCGCGACTTTGACGTAAATTTTGGTGGAAGAACTGGTGGCCCGCGAAGGAGCGAAAGAACAAATGGTTAGTACGCTCTTGAGTGTTATTATCCTTCTTATCAATCTGATGTTGTTTGAGGTTCCTATTCGCAAGACGAGAAGAGTGCTCACTCCTGGCCGGCTAATGGGAGTACTGATGGTTTGGAGTTGGAACAGTCCCCAGATGAGATTCACCCGCTTACTTTACTCGCGACCGAGTTTCCAAATTTTGGTGTCCAGAGCTTGTCCGACATTTATTCCGCTACCGGGTGTGACTTGAGCCTGACGATAGAGATGCTAACGCAACTCGAAGTAAGCTCCTTTTCTTTTTCGTTTCTGGTAGAATGTGACTCTTGCTTTTCATGTCAGCTTCAAGAGGAAGGTGCACCATCTCGACGTACTTCACGTCCGGCTGCTGTACCCTCCTTGACCCCTACAGATTTTCCATCTCTACCGGGTGTAGAAATTATCAACGGACTGTCGGGTCATCAAGAAACGCGTCCCATGAGTTCTCAAAGACCGATGGAGCTGGCTACTTCACTTCGCCGGTTTGGCCCTGGGGAACAAGGCATAGATTTTGCAGCGGTTGTGAGAAAACAGGCACAGCAGGCTGTTCATCAGCAACCTTCACATTGGCCATTCGAGAGAAGTGCTGGAGATATCACCATCGGGCCGGGGCGGTCTTCGGCGGCGCAGAGCCTCGGTGTCTATGGCTTTAACAGTCGTCCTCCGCAGCAACCCTGGCTTGAAACAGGAGAAGCTGTGGGTAAGTCCGTGACAAATCTCGGCCCAACTCTACCGTTTTCCATTGGATTGCAGCGAGCATGTACAGTGATATGAGGGAGGAAGCTCGGGACCATGCGCGTGTTCGAAATGCCTACTTTGAACAGGTACTTCGTTTTTCGAAGTTGGCTTGCTTAGTAGTTTCTCTCTCTCGTTTTTGTTTCCAGGCTCGACAAGCTTACCTTGTCGGCAACAAAGCACTGGCTAAGGAGCTGAGTGCCAAAGGCCAGTGGCACAACGAGCAAATGAAAAACGCTCATGGAAAAGCCGCTGAGGCCATCTTCCACCAGAGGTTCGTCTCTTTTTTTTCTCTCTCCAACTAAAAGTCCAAATGTTTCAACTCCAGGAATGCGTCGCTGCTTCATCTGGCTCGCGATGGCAACAGGATGATCGACTTGCACGGGCTTCACGTCGGCGAGGCGATCCCTCTGCTGCGGCGAGAGCTCTCGGCGCTGAGAATAGCGAGCCGAGTGACCTCCAAGCGGCAGTGTGTCTACGTTTGCGTGGGGACGGGCCACCACACCAAAGGCTCGCGGACTCCAGCTCGCGTGCCCATCGCCATTGAGCGGTATCTCGCCGAGGACGAGCGGCTCCAGTTCTCGGAGGTCCAGCCGGGGATGCTGCGGGTGTTTGTCCAGTGAAGCGACGAGCGAACAAACACGCGCGAGCAAAAGGCATCGCCAACTTTGTGAATTAACAACCTGTTTTGTTTTGTACACTTTGCAGCAGCACCAAGCAAGCAAGCAAGAAGGAGAAGTCACAGTTTCAACAAAGAACAAGAGAGAGAAGAGATTGAGAAGCCGAGAAAACATCATGGTCGTTTGTCATTGGAAGAATTTTTTGTATCGCTTTGGTAGCGTTAGCTATTTAATCTGTATATTATGTAAAAACACAAAAGCCTGGTGCTCTGAGAAATTGGCCACCTTTTTCCATTGTAGAGAAAATGAGAACGAACTTTGCTTCGATCAAACGAAACAAAAATAAATTTTCAAAAAGCCACATGCTTGTGAGCGAATCGAGCGAATCGATCACAGTGTCAGTGGTACTTCATGCTTGCCACGTCGAAGCCGGGCATGTCAAAAGAGGTGGCGAATTTTTCCACCTCGGCCTTGAGATTTGCGAGCTCCTTGTTGTCCACCAGTCCCTTGTTGAAGTCACGCAGCATCTTACCGTGTTGTTTCTGGATGGCGAGCGTGATGTCAATCGCCCGTCCCAGGAACTCGGCGATTTGCTCGAAGTCTTTCTCCTTGAGACCTCTTGCGGTCATGGCCGGCGCTCCTGTCCATTGCAAATCACACACAAGTTAGTTTCTCGCCAAATATAAGGAAACATGATTTATCTCACCAACACGGACGCCTCCAGGCGCAAGAGCACTGCTATCTCCAAACACCGCGTTCTTGTTAAGTGTTATGTGAGCGAGCTCGCACACCTTCTCGACCTTGTTACCTGTCGAAGTAAAAACGATGATTTGTTTTTCGTTCTTCCAGCTGCGAGAGGAATTTACGTACCAGTTAGACCGAGCGGACGCAAGTCCCAGAGGATGAGATGGTTCTCGGTGCCGTCAGTTACTATCTTGTATCCCTTCTTCATGAGCGCGTCCCCGAGAGCCGCTGCATTGGCCCGGATTTGCTTCGCGTACACCTTAAACTCGGGTGTATTGACTTGCTTCAGTGCCACGGCCAGAGCAGCGATCTGATGGTTGTGCGGTCCTCCCTGGAGCGATGGAAACACAGCAAAGTTGACCTTGTCCTCGAAGTCGTAGTTTTCTTCCGTTGTCTGGCCCTTCTTGGGAGGCTTGGGGCCCTTTCGGTAAAAGATCATGCCGGCTCTTGGTCCCCTCAGGCTCTTGTGCGTGGTCGTCGTCACAATGTCGCAGTGCTCGAACGGACTCTTTGCCTCCTGGAATGTTTGGAATTTATGAGAAACAATCACAAAAGCCAAATTTCTTGAAGAGGACCACCAGAAAAAGAAATAGGACACGCACAAAGTTCCAGAAAGATCAGCACGACCACCACCATGAAATCTCAGCGCACACAATCCAAATTCACCCAGACATCTCGAAAACTTGAGAACTTCCAACAGGAAATCATTCAATCCAAATGCAAAACAAAAGAGTTCCAGAAATCTCAGCACGAGCAGCAAAGAAAGTCGCTCGTGAAATCTCAACTCAAACAATCCAAATTCACACGCAGACATCTCGTAAACTTGAGAGCTTCCCACAAGAAACCATCCAATCCAAATGCAGACACAAACCAGATTTAAAAATCCAAATGCTCACTCACCTCGGCAGCAACGAGCCCGCTAATGTGAGCCATGTCACAGAGAAGTAGAGCTCCACATTTGTCCGCAATAGCGCGAAGCCTGGCATAGTCCCAGTCCCTTGGATACGCGCTACCGCCGCAGATGATAAGCTTGGGCCGGAAATCCATAGCTTTCTCCTCGAGCCGGTCGTAGTCAATGTAGCCGGTCTTGGGATCCACCTTGTATGGCAAGCTCTCGAAGTAGATCGATGTGGCCGAGATCTTCTTCCCCCCAGATGTGTAGTAGCCGTGGGTGAGATGGCCACCGGATGGGAGATCCAAGCCCATAATCCGGCTATGCGGCTCAAGAACAGCAGTGTAGGCGGCGAAATTCGCCGGGCTTCCAGAGTAGGGCTGGACATTCACACCCCACCTCTCCGGATCGAGGCGATAAGCCTGCAGCGCCCTGGACCGGCACAGATTCTCGATCTGGTCGATGAACTCGTTGCCGCCGTAGTAGCGATTGCCGGGCATACCTTCCGAGTACTTGTTGGTGAGCGCGCTGCCCAGCGCCTCGATCACCGCCTGCGACGTGAAGTTCTCCGACGCGATGAGCTCGATCCCCTTCCACTGCCGCGCCTTCTCATGCTCGATCAGGTCGAAAATCTCCTCGTCCACAGCGCTCAGCGGCTGATTCCCCCACTCCTTGACGGATGCCATGGCCGACGAGAGAGGGGCGAGCGAAATCTAGCTCGCTGGAGAGCTGGGATCTGGAAAATCTTCCCCCGCAAAACCCTGGCGCCCTTCTTGCTCTTCGCGCGGCTGTGACAATGAGAACAAACTTGGAAATGCGCTACATACAAAAGCTCATGAACTTTCAACTGCATTGGATGCTTGAGTTCGCGTCCGGAAGCATCCCGGCCCTTGGCTCCTGCCAAAGCAACAATGGCCGTCGATCGAGATCCGCTGTGTGGACCATAGAACCCAGAATGGTAGCTAGCTTGAGAGTAGTCGCTGGAAAATCACCAAACCTTCGTCCACAGTAACTTACGTGAAATTCGATTTTTTAAAGCTGGATCCAGTCTAGCTTGCGCTGAAAATCTTGTACAACAACGTGCACTGAACACAATCTTAGAAAACTCGATGCGACAAAAGTTTACCCCAGCGATCTGTCATTCCAGTCGAAATGCATCAGCTACTTCCTGTATGGTAGAACGAACTAAAAGAAAGCGATGTCTGATCGAGACGCGAGAATCTCTGAAGGAAACGTAGCTACCTCAAACTCCCGGGAAAATGGAGAAAACTTTTGACAAAACTTTTGCTGCTACGCTCGAACTTTTCCGATCGAGGACACCATCTGTGTGTGAAAACGAAGTACGATTGTGAACAACTCAAAGCTACTGCCAGAAAAAACGAAAAAGAAGAACAGAACTTTCAAGACATACCAGTAGCGTGTTCATGGGTCCTTTGAGAACATTGTCGTTGACAGTGATGCCGTCGAGATACTGTGTGAGAGCGGACTGGAGGCGGAAGTTTTCAGCGGCGACTCTTTTCTTCTCGAGATCGAGTGCCATCTTGTCGAGCAAGACCTGGTAAAAAAGACGAAAGCATCAAAACTGGACTGCAAATTCTACGAACATGTACCTTGTTGTAGCGCTGTTGAAACTGGGAGAGATAATTCCACTCTTCGACTTCACTCCCAGATTTATCGGTGGCATAAGCTGCGGGCCTGTAGACCTCCTCCTGTTTCTCCAGCTTTTCGCCATGACACAAAATTCGTGGCTTCTCTGTTATAGTGACGCTTCTCTTTTGTCCTTTCACCTTGGTGTCAACAACGTCATCGGCCGTATCTGAACAGAACATCGACTAGTTACAAGGAAAAGAATATTGTATGAGGTTACCATCGTCTTCTGGCAAGAGGTCAGGCATAATAGAACGACTGCAATGCAAAGGATCAAACGGGAAAATCCTTTCATGCTCCGTTTCCAGCTGCTTGAGAGAAAACAAGTGTTTGAATAACTGTGATACTACAAAACTATGTACCTTGCAGTTAAGATCTCCAAGCCTGATGATGCGTTCGGACACCTCCAGCTTACCAGTAAGATCTAGTCTCGCTTCCTCGCTCATTTTCGATATTTCCTGCAAAATATGTTTCAGATGCAAAAAGGGACTCGAATACGAACCTTGAGTTTTATGTGTTCGGAATTTCTCATTTTCAAGAGCTTCTTCTTGAGTTCTTGATAATGCTGGTTGACAGAATCTTTCTGGTCGCGAAGTGCCTTGTTTATTCCTTCCCATTCTCGGCTGTTTAACCCCCTGGGTGAGAACTCTGATACTAATAGCGCCGTTGTCAAAGAACCTGTTCGTGGCTATCTTTGCCCGCCAGTAAGAAATGCTTTCATGTATATGGATGAGCTTTCTCATTCTTTGCTCAATTAGCTTCGCAGTAACCTTGTCCTTTTCGATCATCCTCTTAAATGCCTGTGTCTTTGTATCTGTACTTGACAGATAGGACTGTGACGGAGATGCAGAATGTGAGTTAGTCGTAGAAATTCACAGCAAAAACTAGTACCTGATGTGTCTGCTCCAAGCGCCGCTCGAGTTCTTCTATTGCATTCTCAAGTGAAATTTTCAGGACGTTGTATTCCTCCATGTTCTTGTTCTGAAACAGACGAAAAGCAAACCAAAATGAATGCAATCTCATAGAAGGGCGGAGTTACTTTGAGCTCTTCACGGTTGGCCTCAAACTCTTGACGCATCTCTGTTTCAGCCTCTTTGAATTCCGCTTCCATTGCAGCCATCATATCATTCAATACCTATATAGAACTGAAGAAGACGTTGAGATTGAGTTAAACTAGTCTGTCTTACCTTTTTCTGCTTGTCATGGGCCCTGACAACATCCATCTTTTCATTGTTGAAATCTGTGGAAAGTTCATGAAGACGATTCTGGAACTCCTCGTCCATACCCTGTCACCATAAATTATAGACATCGAGACCAAATGACTCAAGAAAAAGTTACCTTTAAACGAGAATAATGCAAATCAATCAGACCATCAACGATGTGCAAGTGTTTGCTGAATAGCATGAGATGCTGTCCTTCGGACTCCTCCAGCTCCTTGAACAACGACGAGATGAGTGCATCTTTCCTCCTAACCTGAAGAACAGCATACATAAAAGGAGTTTTCTCAGAAGTATTTTCATGGCAAACCTGAAAATCGTGCTCTTCCGAGCACTGCATGACTTCCTCCCGCAGCTCCTTGGTTTTATCTTGTCGAAGTATTTCTCTCCATTTAGCATGAATTTCTCGCGTGTTATCTTTCGTATATCGCTCCTCTCTTTCCTAAAACATGGCAGATTCGAGACATCAGAGCTTGACCAAAATGTAATGAACCAGAAAACTTGCCTGAAGCTGCACTAAGCGAGCACGCTGTTCCGCTTCTTTTTTCTTCCGTGCTTCTTCAGCCTGTTAAGAAAGACAAGCGTAATGAACTAACTAACCATGAGTGTCACCTTGAGAGTCATCATCTGTGCCTTGAGCTTCTTCTCCTCGGGCGTCATCTTCTTTCCCTGCGGAAAAAATCTCAGCTAAATCCATACGAAAGAAATCGTAGAGCTGAGAAGTCCCGAAGCAAAAAGAATTTTTGAGCTAGCGACGTGTGTTGAATTTCTTTATCGACAGTGAAAGCAAGAATTCTACAGATTGAGCTACTTCTAGAAACGATTTCAATGCGAGCTAAGATTCTCCATGACTAGAAGGACAATTTGTTGTTAAGAACGCTACAAGAGCTACTCAAATGAGAGATGAAAGAGAAAGGAGCTTCTCCTCGAATCGTGAGGAAAGATTGCGCAGGCAAGAGTCACATTACCTTGGCCATGGCTGGGGATGCCGGAAGGAATGGCGAAGAAATCCCAAAGCCCTAGCTCTGGCGCCAACCGGCATTCAAAGACCGATGCCACATCACAAATAGTGCGCTGCACACGTGGACGTCGGAGATGTCATAAAGGATTTTCGCGAGCTAGGGTTTGTGGCGGAGGGTTCGAGTGATGCAGTATGATCAACGATGGAAAGCTCTTCAAAGCTCAGATTCCTGAGAGATCGCTGCTGGCAGCTCCAGCTGATGGCGCCGCCGCCGCCGCCGCCGATTCTTCCTCGCCGTCGCCGTCTGGGAGTTCCAGAAGATCGCTGTTTAGTCATCTAGGGCCTCCCGCGAGTGACAAGGTAGCGATTGGCGCATGGGAATTTGTGGTTTGATTCGTGGATTTGATTCAGGAGCGCGCAGCTCGAGAGCGAATCGATGCACAGAAGTACGATGTGGAGGCGTGGGAAATTCTTGCGGATGAGGCCCAGGTAAATGCTGCTGCTCAGGATTGCTTTCGTTGCTCACATACTTTTTGCCGATCCAGTCTAGACCGATTGCTCACGCGACGGGAATTTTCGAGCTACTCGTTTCTACCTTTCCAACTGCGGTAAATATTCTTTTCTTTTTTCTCGGACGTCTTCTTACGTTGGTTTCTCGTAAAGGGGAAGTTCTGGAAGATGTACGCGGAAGCTATGATCAAGGCGAGCAACGATGATGCGGTCCGGCATATCTTTAGCCGTTGTTTGCTCAGCTGCTTCCATTTAGAGCTATGGTAAAAGAGTAACATTGTGTGTGCTTGAGCTGATGGTACTGTCTCCAGGAAATGCTACATCAAGTTTATTCGCAGAGTGAATGAACAGAAAGGCCCTGAATCAAAAGAGGAAACGAGGAAAGCTTTCGAGTTCACAGTCGGTCATGTTGGTACGTAGTTTCTACATTTGCTTCTTCGTATCTCATCGATTGTCTCGCAGGAATGGACATATCAGCAGGACCTTTGTGGTTCGAGTACATCACATTCCTGAAAACGATGCCCGTACGCTCGCTGGCTCCAAATGTTTTCTCGTTCTAACTCTTCCTTCCAACAGATTTCTAGTCCTCAGGAAGAGGCTCAGCGAATGCTCCTGCTCCGCAAAGCTTATCAGCAAGCTGTGCTCTCCCCGATCCATCACATTGAGCAACTGTGGAAAGAGTATGAAAGCTTCGAGAACACCATCAGCCGGGCACTGGTTGGCAGCTACTTCCCTCCCTCCATCTCTCGTCTTCCAAGGAGAAACCTTGTAGCTCGTATGCAGATGAATAAAGATGGCATTGTGTCTCCGCTCCGGCTTTCTCCGTTTTTTTTTTTTTCTTCTTCTTTTTTTTCTTTTAGTTTTCCTTTCTTTTCTTCTTTCAGTTTTTTTTTTCTCTGTGAAGGTCTTCTAAAGTACACGCGCTTGTTATGCAGGCAAAAGGACTTGTGGCCGACTTCCAGCCAAAGCACTTCAATGCTCGTGCTGTCTACAGGGAACGAAAGAAGTTCTGGGACCAAATTGATCAGAGTTTGCTACCAGTTCCTTTTGCCGGTTCTTTCAAAGCAAGTTCTTTTTCTTTCTTGTCTGCCGAAGTTCTAACGTGTTTTTCTGTGACAGGAAGAACAACAAAATTCTTCGTGGAAGCAACTTCTTGCGTTTGAAAAGTAACCACAGCTCTTGAGTCCGTTTTCGTTAAAAGCTTACGATTGCAGGAACAATCCTCAGCGGTTGGAGCCTGCTCTTTTGGCTAGACGTGTGGTGTTTACTTATGAGCAAGTACGTTGTTTTTGTTTCCCTTGATTTTGTCGATTGAGCTAGATTTTTTGCAGTGCCTTATGTATTTTTACCATTACCCAGATATTTGGTATGATTATGCAATGTGGCTCGCTCAAAATGGATCAAATGACAATGCTGCCGTAGTTTTTGGGAGAGCTCTCATTGCCTTGCCAGGTTTATGGAAATTTTAGTGATACTCAAAACTGACACTCGCTGCATTTCTTTAGATGCAACAATCATCTATTATGCTTACGCAGAATTTGAAGAAGCTAGAGGCTCCATCAAGGTACGAAAATTCATCTTTTGGCGATTTATATACCACCGTTTCAATCCAGGATGCGAAGAAGATTTATGAAACTCTTGTGAGTCATGAAAAAATAGCAAATTCCTTGGCTCATATACAGGTTCGTTCGATCTAGGACTTCATTTGTTTCATCATAACGATTCTTCCAGCTGATGCGTTTCGTGAGGAGAACCGAAGGCATTGAGGCCGCTCGCAAGGTTTTTTCCGAGGCACGAAAGAGTCCTTCCTGCACATATCATCTTTACGTGGCGTGTGCCGTAATGGTTTTCTGCGTTGATAAGGACCCAAAGGTTTGCAACCTTATTTTTAACGCGTCAACAAAGCTGCTGTTTGTGCAGGTAGCGCGAGACATATTTGAGTTAGGATTGAAAAAGTACATTCATGAGCCTAGTTACGTGACAGAGTGCGTATATTAAAAAAAAAAAATTCCTTGGTTCATAGTAATCCTCTGACTTCGCAAATTTGTAAAACAGGTATGCTGACTTTCTTTGTCGTCTAAACGACGACAGAAATGTGCGAGCACTTTTTGAGCGTGCTCTGAATGTTCTTCCAGCAGAAGAGTCCGTAGAAGTATGTAAATCTCAAAGTATTAGTCAAGGAACGCTTTGTAATTCTTTCTTTCAGGTATGGAATCGATTTTTGGCGTTTGAACAAATGTATGGTGACATTCCGAGCATGCTGAAGGTAAGAGATGTATGGCCTGAAGAACTGAGATGTAAGTCACTGGCTTTTGTTCAAGGTGGCACAAAGAAGGAAAGAAGCTTTGACTGGAGATGATGGTGTAGCGGTAGCATCCTCAGAAAGCTCGATGCAGCAGCTAATATCTCGTTACCGCTTTTTGGATCTCTGGCCTTGTTCATCACAGGATCTCGACCATCTCGCGCAGCAACAGGTTGTATATGCATTCGTCTTTGTTTTTAATTACTTCTCTGTCTCCTACAGATTATGTTGCAAAAGCTGGAAGAGAAACAGTTGGCTATTGGTAACGTACAAGGTATGCTTGCAATGCATTTCACACACGCTTAAGTACAGTTTTCTTGTCTTATCAGGCGCGAAGAAGTCTCAGAACTCCGCAGCGACACCTCCGAAGAACTTGATTCGGCCAGACGTATCGCAAATGACTCCGTATGATCCCAAGCCAGGTACTTGGAAGTTCCTGATCGCTTGCAGTTTTTAATTGTTTTCTCTTGTGTCATGTTTAGCGGGAAATGACGCCCTTGTGCTGAGTGGTCTGGGACTTCAAGGTTGTCTTGCTACTTCTTCGGAAAGCAATTGAACTTACAAATATGATTTCAGGTTCTACTGCTATGCCTGGATTGGCCTCTCGTGCGGGTCTTGGACGAGGTCCTGCGGATGATTCTTCAATGGAAGAGCTCTTGAGGCTCTTACCACCAGCAGTAAAAACTTTTCTTAGCCAGCTTCCACCTGTCGATGGTAAGTTTTCGTTTGATATACTGGAGCGAATACATATCGTCTCCGCTTCGTCACAGGACCCATTCCCGATGTAGACCTGGTGATATCCATCCTACTCGAGAATGAAGTTCCCAATCCCACGGGACCAAACGGAAGCACAAAGTCCGCAGCTGCAACATCAGGAAGAGCTGGACGCCACGCAAAACGCAAGGACCTCGAAGGTAAGGTATCGATTCGTGCTGCGGCAAATAACTCACTCGTGGTCTTTGCTTTCCAGCTCAAGAAGAAGACGACGCAGCGTTACAGTCCCAGGCAGCTCAAAGTGGTCCGAAGGACGTGTTCCGGATGCGCCAGCTCCAGAGGTCGAGAGCCGTGAGCAACGCCAGCGCCAAAAGGCTACAACAGTCGTCCACTTCGAGCGGCTTAAGCGCCGAGAAGTCTGTAAGTAATTGAAGCCATCATTTCCTTCTTTTTCCTATGTACATGGATTCATTAACTTCCCTGAGAGGCCATTTTGGCTGGCACAGGCTCTCTTCATATCTAGCACGGCTTTTCTTCGTTCCAGTTCGTCAAAACACTAGAGCTCGCGAAGCCGTGTCGTCGGCACTAACTCGGAAAAGAACTCTCTTTCCTGACGTAGAAGAAGTCGAAGAAAAAAAACGTCACGCATTGCGTCGTTTCATTCCGTTAAGGCCACCTTTCATCACACGAGACGAGCGCTGCTGTCCTTTTTCCCTGCGGTTGTAAAGAGCACAGCGAGCTCTTTTGTTTTGTCGCATAGAAAAACTGACCATGGCAACCAAGCCAAAGAGAATGTGAAGAGAAAGAGAGAAACTACCTGGGCGCATTCCATCCCATACAAGAGTACGCATCCTTGACCTGGAAGGAATGGCGACCATTATAAAACCAAGGTCAAGAACACACCACTCCAAAGTCCTCACGTGTACCTCTCTGCCGATAAGGATAGCTCCCTCTTTGTCCCGCAAATTCTTCCACCCAGCAGTCGAGAGTTTCCACAGGGACCAACGATTTCCCTCCACCTATACAGTCCGTCCACCACAGCCAAAGCTAAGCTCTCGCGTTTTCCAGAGCTTGTGTGGATGCCTGGCGCGAGGACCACCATCACCACCGAGCCAGTTCTTCGAGAGCTTCCACTTGATGAGAACGACGACGAGGGCGGCGAGAGAGCTCACTTCCAGCGATGGTTGACAAGCTCTGCCACCACAAAGTAGCCAGGATCGAGGACGGAAGGTACTTGCCGCAGCAGCGGAGTAGTCACAGCAGCAGCCGAGAGGGATCGCTGCGTCCCAAGTATAAAGGAGTACGTAAGCGGAGCTGGGGGAAGTATGTCTCGGAGATCCGGGAGCCGAACAAGAGGTCGCGGATCTGGCTCGGCTCCTTCGAGACACCCGAGATGGCGGCTCGAGCTTACGACGCTGCTGTTCTGTGCCTGAGAGGTCCCAATTCTAGCTTCAACTTTCCAGAGTTCCTGCCTGGCCTGCCGCGTCCTTTGCCGACCACCAACAAGGAGATCCAATCTTTGGCTGTTTTCGCTGCTCAGCAAGCTCGAGTTACTAGCACCACTGCTACCGCTGCTGCAGCTGCTGCTGCTGCTTCTAACTTGGTTCGTGTGCAGGCACCTCCATCAATCTCTTCGCCTGCTGAGTTCTACCATCGGAGAAGATCCAGTCAAGAGAGCCTCCGAGCTGTTCCCGACGAGAGTGGCGGTGGCAGCAAGCGAGGCGCAGTAGGTCCAGTCGCTCAGAGTTCCAATCCAAACGCATCGTCTACATCAGCAGCGCCTGTGTCAGCACCGAACTCGTCGCGTTCCACGACATCAAGTGACACAGTACCGGTTGCGGTCGGCTCCACCGAGACACTTTCAGCAATCCCACTGTGGATGGACGCTCCAGCAGACGCGAGTGACTTGGATCTCTGGACATATCCCGAGTTTCCATGCACCTGAAGCTGAGACGATTTTTCGCCGGGGATCTTGTTTTGGGCATTCCTTTTCTTTGTCCTGTCTCCATCTAGATCAAGCAACATGTCAAAAGATTAGAAAACAAAATAAAGAAAGAAAAAGAACAGAAAAGAAGCTAGCAGCCTGTACCTGATTCATTTCATAGCGCAGCCGTTAAATCAATCTTGCTAACAGTAAAGCAAAGAAAGCAATGTAAACGACCAACGTGAAGGAGTTAAAGTTGTAGCGCGAATGTTATACGAAAGGTCACAAGCGAAAAGAACAAAAACTACATTTCTACACCTCGTCTTCGTTGAGGAGCATGTTTGGAATACCTTTCGCTACGGGGAATTTTCTCCCAGTCTCTGGACAGACCAAGTCTCCTTCCTCTAGATGGATCTGAGAAAAAGCAAAGCGTGACGAGGTGAGCAACAGGATTTGCTTTCGTTTTCTCCTTCGTACCTCAAGGAGAGCATGATGAAATCGCCGCAGGAAGTCATCATCGTCCAGCATTGAGGGCTCTACTTGCTCGGGAAGATCATTCACACCTAGCTGGAACACAATAAGACCGAGCACGAGGATGAGAAAGCTAAAGCAAAGAAAAAGAATTCGGAGCAAACGATACTATCAAGAACTAGAAGCGTTGTAGAAAGAAAGAACAAGCATAGAATGTAAGAAAAACATTTAAGAGACTAGCAATCGTCATTCTCGAAGAAACAATAGAAAGAATCTGGGCTAACAAAGAACACCTTGAGAGCAAACTTACAGTCTTTGCGGCTTCCTGGAACGCTTTCCACTCGATTTTGGGGAAGGAATGGCGCAAGAACTGCGGATTAAACTCTACCGTCTTGGTTTCCAGCTTGGCGACCTCGATGCCGAGCGGGAATCCCTTGCTGACGCCCTTGATGTTGCAGGACAGCATGTTGTGCGTTAGCAGCCTCATCGCGATCGCGCACAATCCAAGAACCCTAAAACCCCGGGTTTTATTTAGGGTTTTTCGGCCATGGCGCTCCGGGGCGGGAGCTTCTTCGCCGATAAGCAGCCCTCCTTCTCTTGCGATGGGAGATTTCTTCTCGTGTGCACTGGATGCACGGTCTCCGTCCTCAGCGTCGCGACTGGACTCCGGGTAAGATCCTACTTGCATTTCTCTTTCGCTGCTGCTAGACTTCGAGGAATGCGTGATCCAGGTCGCGGAGCTGCAAGGCCACACCGATAGAGTGACGAGCATTGTCGTGGTTAAAGGCCTGGAAGAGGCCAAGTCCGTGCTCACACACGCTTGGACTTCGTCATGGGACAAAACCATTCGGCTCTGGAACTTCACGACAGCGACACAGATCACAGTGATCGACGTTGGCTACAAAGTAGTGTCTATGGTACGCGAGCAGCACGAAACTCTTTCCTCTCTATGTTCTATTGAGATGAAGTGAATTTTTCCGGTGATTTCAGGTGATCCCAGGAGCATCATCTACGCTTTCTGATGACAAGGGTGTTGCGTTCTTGTCCGTTGCGTGGGACAAAGAAGTGATAACTTCGAATGTCCAAGCTGAACAAGAACAAGAGTCAGAGTCAGATGAAGAAGAGTCTGAGTCAGATGATAAAGAAGAATCGGGAGGAGAAGAAAAGATGGGAGGCGAAGCAGAAACCAAGATCCCAGACACAACAGTCATTCGCAAGACAGAATTTCGAGGCTACACTGGTCGAGTCTTACTACTTCATATAGCTTCGCAGAAAACGGTGGAGGGGCACTTGGCAAAGGTTTGTTTTCTCAGAAGTTTGTTTTGTTTTGCTAAGTTTTCTACTTTCCAGACGAGTCTTCCGCGGGTACTGGTGGCAAGCCGCAAGGGGAGCTTCGTTGGAATGGCTGATTCAGCGAAAGTCTGGGTATGGAAAGTGCCTGCTCCCAGTGTTGGCTATTGTTCGGAAGTTCAAGCGACGGTATTGCATCCATGGCAACCTTTAACAGTTATGGCTTTCGATCCTACCGAAACCTTGGTAGCGGCTGCTGACCGGCGGGGACTGATAACAGTTTGGAAAAACGTAGGAGAACGAACGTTTTATTCGAGCGACTATCGTCGAGGAAAGTCGGACAGTGGACGGGCAGACGCTAACGATGATGCCGAGTCGAGGACAACATACCATTGGCATCATAAAGAAGTGGCATGTTTGAGCTTTACCGCCGATGGCTCATATTTGCTATCAGGTGAGTTTTTTGCATTAACTTGTAGTTTTCCTGATCGCTTTATATACACAGGGGGACGGGAAGCGGTTTTTGTCATGTGGCACCTTGAGACTGGGAACCAACGGTTTCTTCCGCGCTTAGGAACTCCATTCAGATACATCACTAGCGCTCCTGATCCATCGGTGTTTGTGGTATGATGTTTAAGTTTCTCCATTGGCTTTTGTTGCTTACGTCTGGAGTTGCAGCTTTCCATGGCAGACAATTCATTGAGATTTCTAAACATTGGCAGCATGAGAATGGATCGCGTTATCTTCGGGATTAAGGTTGATATTGTCGTTATGATGCTAGTATCCTAACACCAAGTTTGGTGTTTGCTTTTTTTCAGCCTTATGTTACTTGTCCAGATACTCTTGAATGGTTAAATGTCACCAAAGTGGCTCTTCATCATGTCCATGGGACCGTAGCTGTGCCTACAGCAAATCTCATAGTCCAATTTTACGATGTCCTCCTCGACAAGCACGCAAATCAGGTATGCCAAATTCTCAAATATAATGTGCAGAACTTTTACATGCAGTTATGCAGATTCAAGTGTCACCAAGAAATTTCGTATCCTTCGATCACTCGAGGGGTGATTTTGGACAATCGGTAAGCTTTACTTTTGTCAAAAGACTCTTATTAACTGTAGATTGTCATCCTAGACGGTGGTTACACACGTTGCATTTTCAGTGGATGCCTCAGTGATGGTCACGGTTGACCTCAGAGTTGCAGAAGCCGGTGTCGGCGGAGGTTCTTTTCTAAAATTTTGGACAAAAAGTTCTGAGCACATCCCCTATACTCTACACACTAGCGTTGATAGTCCCCATGGGTACGTATGTTCCTGCTAATCCGTTAGTACTTTTTTGAACTTGAGTTTTCTAGTGGGGAAGTGTTGGCTTTAGCATATCATCCCTCGAAGAACATTGCTGTTACGTGCTCCCGAGCCAATGATTTCAAGGTATGTCTTTGTAGTTTTCTGCGTGGATACTGATACTCGCCTTTAAAGTTATGGGTTCAAACGAAAAACGAGAGCAAGGACACCCACAACTGGCGATGCAGCGCAACTGGCTCCTACAAGTAAGCTTGATACGACATATTAGCTTTCTTTCTCTGAACCGTGTGATTTAGGCAGAAACGCATGCATGCAGCAGCCTTTTCGCACGATGGAACTCTACTTGCGGTAGCTGCTGAGGAACTCATCACTTTGTGGAATCCTCTATCCAACACTCTTGTCTGTGTATTGAGTATTCCAGGTGCATTCCATGAGGTATTGCTTTTTAGCTTCGCGTCTTCATTCTTGAAATGTCTTAACTTCCTTCGAACAGGTTGTGGGAATGTTATCCTTTGTTCCGAAATGCCCGTACCTCATTTCTGCATCATTCGGCAAGCAACCTCAGCTAACTGTGTGGAATTTGTCTACTCTTTCCGTATGGTGGTCTTACCAAGTCGAGGTCGAAGGTAATCTTCTGTTGTCAGCTGATGGTTTCCTCAGACAACTTTATTAACAGGCATCACTGTGGATCCAAACGGCGGACACTTCGCAGTCCTCGCTTCGAGCCACACAAAACGGTATCATAAAGGAGGTGCTGAAGTTAAACGCAATGGAACCGCTCAAGTGTGCCTATTTAAGCCAGAAAGTCCGCTTCCAACCTCAGTCTGGAACTTTAAAGATGTAAGTGCGCGGCGCTGTGCGGCCTTATGCAACTAAACATATCCTTTTCTTGCAGGGCATTGGTGGTGCTCTCCTGTTCCTCCCTCCAACGGAGGAAGTGAACAAGGCCATCAACGCAAGCTCTTCCGAATCCAAGCTACTTATCCTCAACAAACACCGGGAGTACGTTATATTCGATCCATACTCGGAGTCCAACCCAAAGCCTGCTTCCAAAATCGCGGCCAATGCCGCAATCGAAGATGGTAAGCTTATCTCTTTCAGCATTTATCTCTCTCTCACTCTCGAGCCATCCTTCACAGCTCTCGACACATTTAACGCTATGTATCTCACCACAAACACGTCCAAACCAATCGCCCAACACGATCAACTTAGCAAAATCACGTCAACACAGCCTTGGGGAGATCTCCTCAACGCGCCCTCTCACGTCCTACCATCGCTCACCGACATCGGCCAACAAATCTTGGAGAGTTTCCTGCAAAAGAAGGCACAGTGAAGAACACAAAGAACACGAAGAACACTCGGGACTTTTGTTTCGACAAAAGGAAACATCTCCTTTTTCTCTTATTCAATAGCAATGCTGGATCCACTAGAGCGACGGGACTGCCTGGTGGTGAACCAAATCCTTCCCAGCGAAGGGAGTCGTCCACTCCTGGCTGGTCAAGTCGTCCGGCGAACCACGGTAACCAGACTGCTGTCGATTCCATCCCTCGCTTCTAACCATGAAGCTCCGTGGCAGCGAAGAACTCAAGCCAAAGCTCGTCGCCGGCTTCGCGAATGGAGACGGTGGTATGCCCGTGCTCCAGTCTATCGTGTGGTAGTCCACGCTCCGGGCCACCGGGATGTCCCAGCTATCGGAAGGATTGCTCGAGTTCCCAGCACTCCACGGCGGATGGATCGACTGCGCCGGAGGAGCGACCGAGAGCGACGCCGGTGCGAGCTGCTGTAGTGGATGAGGATGGTGTAAACTCGTTGGAGCGCCGTGCTGGTGATACTGGAGTTGGTGGTGGTGTTGCTGCTGCTGCTGCTGCTGTTGAGGGGACTTTATCAAATGGGGCTCGTCCAGGCGTCGAAAGCGTTGCAGCATGGCTTGCTGGTGGCTGGGATGAGAATTCCTCCAGTCGGTGATGATGTCCCGCTCCCTGCTCTGCTGCTCCAGAAACTTGAGCGCCGGGTCCAGCCTCGCGGCGGCGGCGGCGGCACTGACAGAGCTCAGCGAGTGATGGAGGCTGCTTGCCCCGCGTTGCCACACCGGAGGTGGCGGGAGAGGCACGGCCCTCAAGCCAGGAGGAACTGGAGCTGGAGCCGGACTAGCAGATGGCACCACCAGTTGACTTACGCGAGCCTCCGCGCTTTGCAGTTTTGTCTCCGCCACCTTCGAAGCTTGCAGTTCCTGCCGCTGCGGCGCCGCTGCCACCGGCTGTCCATTGTGATCCCGCAGCCACTTGAGAGCAGCATCAATGTCGCCCTCGCAGGCCACGATGGCGCGCTCGATCTCGGCCAGAGGATAGCCGTGCCGCGTCTCGATGTCGGCGAGCCTGGCGAGCTGGTCGGATATGTCGAGCTTGAGGCTGGCATTCCTTGGCAGCGTCTTTGGGATCTCGCCGTCCTCGAGCAGAAAGGTGATGGACTTCTCCATGTCGCCCTCGTTGAGGATGAGAGCCATGGTGGCGCTCTCGCAAGAAAAGCCCATGGGGACGAGCTGCTGGGCGAGGCTGTCGAGCTTGCGGGACATGAGGTAGCTAGCGCACCGCTCCTTGAGTTCCTTGGTCTTGCGCTCCTTCTGCCGCTGGTGCTTCTTCTCGTTCTTGAGGCGGATCTTCTCCTGCTTGTCCGGGGAGGCGTCGAGTCCCGGGATGAAAGCTCGCTCCTTAGACGGGAGCTGGGACTGGTCCTCCGATTCGCCCGAGCAGCTGCCGTTGTTGGAGATGGAATCAAACTCGGAGGCCGCGATGGAGCTGGCGTCGTCCAGGTGCTTGGGCAGCTTGGGCTCGAGCGCGTCCAGCAAGTGGAAAGTTCCAGCGGGAGTGGCCAACGAGGAGCTGCTCTTGGACGATGGCGATGGCGACGACTTCCATTGCTGCCTGGCGGTGGGAGCTTTCCGTGGCATTGTTTCCTCCCCTTGTTTTTTGAAATACCTGCGCAAAGCCAACGGATTTCATCATGCAGAGCCCTAGCGACTTCCATTCTCTATCCAGGCAATCGCAATCGCAAGCTCGCAACGCAGCAGAGCAGCAGCTCAAGAAAGCTCGAGCTCGCGCATTGGCATTTCTATCCCAGCCGCCGCTGCTGCCGCCGACGAAAGAATGCGGCGATGCTGGAGGGAGAGGAAATCAATCACAATCGCAGAGCGCCGCGGCATACCTCGTGAGCCCTTCCTCCTCTGCGCGAACAATAACCCTAAGCCCGCGCCTAAAGCTCCAGGAGGGCGCAAAGAATGCGAGGAGAGTGTGAGTGTTCTGTGAGCGTACTAGGGTTTCCAGCTGGGAGCCGTCCCTTTCGGAGCCAGAGGTCGTATCCACCGTCGATTCCGACAAAACGTTTCCGTCCTTGCTGGCACCATCCCAGCCGCTGATGTGCAAGCGCCTGGCCGACGGTGGCGATCGATCCCATCCCACCCCTAAATAGGCGCACTGAAGCAAGAGCTCTCCTCGCTTCAATGGCGCCGGGCGCCCACGCAACAGGCTGCGAGGATCAAATGTCGTGAATCTGGTATGGTTTCTCTCCCCGCCTCGCCGCTCGCATTCGCGAGATCTATCGTACCATGGCTTAGGGTTTTGCGATCGCGATTGTGTGGGCCGATCGGATGATATTTCGTGGGTTTTCCAGCAGCGCGGAGCTGTTTTCGATCGACACCAGCGTCCTCTGGGAGCTCTTATGTGATGTCAGTAACAGAGGGTCTCATTGAAGATAAAGCGGATCAAAATAATGGGGTGGCAGTGGTCCCCATATCCACCACCACGGACCACAGCCCAGGATCTCATGGACAACCGGATGCTCGAATTCTATCTAGAGTTCGCAGGCAAGTTCTCTCTTTTCTTTGCTTGATTCTCATCCTTTTCTTTTCCCAGATATTGTTTCCACGGACGATTCTCAAGAAAGAATCAAGGCGCGTTTGAATGCTCTCTTCGCGTATGCGGATTCACGAGCTCTGACTGGGTATGCGAGTCTTTCTTTTCACTCGTTCGTTCCTTGTGTTAATTCGTCGCAAGGTTTCAGCCATACCTCTCTCGATGGTCTGCGCCAGCTTGTTAACGATTTGCACTGGGAGGTATGAAGCATCGCCAGTGAGAATAGCCGCGCTTAACCCCTCGCAATTTGCTGCAGCTCTTAGATGCTCGCCGGTTTGGAACGTTCTACCGTTTTGTGTTCTTCATGTGCCGGGAAAAGGGTCAGAAAAGCCTCAGTAAGTGTTGTGTTGTTGCGTGCTGCTGGATGGTTTCTCACTCAGTTATTCTTCCTGTCAGCTGTGAGCATCGCGGTGGATGCTTGGAGGCTGGCCTTAACCGGGCGTTTCAGGCTGCTCGACCAGTGGTGCGAGTTTGTGCGAATGCACCATCGCCATGCTATTACCGAAGATACCTGGCGACAAGTCCTGGAGTTTAGTAGGGTGGTGCACGAGGATTTGAGCAATTACGATCCAGAAGGTAGAGAAAAACTTCGCGCTTCGCGTGCTCTGATCTAACTAACGTAGCTGCCGCTCCAGGTGCTTGGCCTGTTCTTGTCGACGAGTTTGTGGATCACATGTACAGGTAACACACTGTAGTTCTCTTGCTGGAAAAGAATGGCCGTCCTCACAAAATCCTCCTGCTTTCAGAAGCTCGTCATGCTCTTGCATTGCGGAAGCCTGCGCTTGCGATCCGAGTGCAGTGCTGAGCTCTTCGGAAGTTTTGGATGCTACCTCTCAATTGAACCGAGCGAATACACTACCAGGCAAGAAAACTCGCTCCCACTATGATGTCTAAAGATCTATCTCTCTTCACAGGTATGGCTGCTACCGCCGGTAGTAAGAGGCGGAGGAAAGACACGAACGACGAGGTGTCTTTGTCGCGGCATTTGAAGCGTCTACTGCTGGAGAAACCTCTGCTCATGTCCTCCGGTGGGTTTTGACAGATGAAAGCTTTGTAGTAGAGAAATTCTTTTCAATGTATAGTGGTGCCCGAGCGAGCGATGATTCTTTTTGGGCATAGCATTCTTGTGACCGAAAAACACGTGACAATAATATTAATCTTACTGGTGATCTAGACTCTATTCAAGTCAAAGTCTTGAGTCCTCTAATATGAAAGTTCCAAACAACTCTCTATATTTCTTGGCTAGCAAGTTGCGTGACAATAATATTAATTCTCACTTGTGATCTAGACTCTATTCAAGTCAAAGTCTGGAGTCCTCTAATATGAAAGTTCCAAACTCTCTATATTTCTTGGCTAGCAAGTTAGGATGAAGTATATAATGTGTGCCCTAAGGACATACAAAGGAACGGAACGAGAATTTCTTTCATTGGCAGCAGGCGGAAACAGCACCAATATGGACAAACAACAAGAGGTTGCTAAGGTCGATTGTTTTGGATGGATGAGACAATGGAAATTCAAAGTAGCAAGTAAGGTGGAGAATTCGCAAGATTGGAGCAAGACTATGGAAAGCAGCAGTGAGTCAGAGAAAAAGAAAAAGGATGCAATTGTCATTCCTCACTTCTCTTCCTCGCCAAGACTTCCACTCCTGTAATAGTAGAGAAAAGCTTCCAAATTGTTTGTTCTCTGTTTTAAGATCTGGTACTCAGGATATGTTGGTCAAGCTAGGCAACATCGTATCCATTTCCAGGACACTTCTTTTGCATGCCGAGTCATTTCTTACGGAAAGTTTTTCAGACAAGGATTGAAAGCAACAGAGCGTAGAAAATCTGATTCAGCCTTCACGCACGAATACCATATCCTTTCTTCTCTCCAATTTGTAACTGGCTCAATGAAGTCAGTGCTTTGGATGGAGGAGTAGTCAAGCCCACACAATCTGAGTCCTGTTGATTGCCCTCACAATATCCAGAAGCTCGTCGTGCTCTTGCATCGCGGAAGCCTTCCGAGTGCCGTGATGAGCTCTTCGGAAGTTTTGGATGCTGCCTCACAATTGAACCGAGAGGCAGAGGAAAGACACGAACGACGGTCTTTGTCGCGGCATTTGAAGCGTCTACTGCTGGAGAAACCTCTGCTCATGGGTTTTGTTGTTGTAAGACAATAATATGAAGCGAATTCTTTTTTCCACTGTTGTGATCTAGACTCTATTCAGATACAAAACGATCATTGATTTTGGAATGGCAGCAGAGTTCAAGGTGGAAACACGGACGAGAGCAACAAGAACGAGACAATGGAAATTGAAACAAGTAGCAAGCAATTTGAGCAAGACTATGAAAAGTAGCAGTGAGCCAGTGAAAATGAATAACGATGCAATTGTCACTTCTCTACCTTGCCCAGACTTCCACTCCAGTAATAGGCTTCTAAATTTTTTATTTTTTGTAATGAAAATAAAATCTGTCATCTTGAACATCTGAATCTGTTCTAAATTTTGGTAGTCCATTTCGTGTGAGGGATGTGATCCTCCCAAAAGCATGGAAATGTAAGATATCTCGATTGAATACTGGACGTTAATCTTTTCAATCACATTAAAATTCTAATTAAAACTGCACGTGATAATTTTGCCCTTTGAAACTTTCAAGATATGTCATAACATCACATCCCAACACATTCCAGGACACTTCATTTGCATGCCGTGGTGTGCAAGGAAAGTCTCGTGGAAAGCCTGGATATAAAACACAGAGGATGGGAAGCTTCACTGTCAAGAACTCGTAGCAACACAGTGTAGAAAATATAATTCCAGGCTCCAGGCACCAGGCACCAAGTGCATAGCAATTCTGCAAATTCTTCATTGTCGATTCTCCATTTTGTGATTGGAAACCCATGGCTCAAGTTCATGCTGCGGAGTTGAAGGGCAATCAACAGGAGCTCAGTCCTAACAAGCGCATGGGCTGTTTTGGATGGAGGAGTAGCAGCAACAAGACCAGCAAGATCAAGCCCAAGAAGAATGCCCAAGTCTCAGATGGGAAGATCAAGGAGAGAAAACAAAAGCAAGCAATAATTGTTCCACACTTTGCGACTTCAGCCAGATTGTCAATGCTGTGACATGGATTTGCACAGATTCAAGACTTTTTCCTTTTCGTCTTGAAGAAGCGAACTTGTAATATATTTTGTTTCATGAATTGAAATCATTCTATCAATTCAAAAAAATCTCTTCAATTGATCACAAAAATGCTTGTTATCACTTCGCGTGAAGAAGAAGAACTGAGAATGTGGAAAACTTCAGGTTTTAGGGTTTCTACGGCCTAGGTATGAACAAGGAGATGCAAGTGCGAAGGCGCATCGCGAGCATGTAAGCATCGCAAATGTCTCCTCCATTTTTCTCAATCGCTTGTGCGTGCCAGCTACAACAAGCGCGAGGACAATTTCGCGTCCCTCAGAGACTACAATGACTACCTGGAAGACGTAGAGGACATCAGTGAGCACTCGTTTCATTCTCTCAGCTGCTCACTCACTTTGCCTTGTAGTCTTCAATCTGGTCCAAGGCATCGATGTGGCTGAGACGGAGGCCAAGATCAAGGCGTACAATGAGGAAAACTACGAGCAAATCCTCGCATCCAGAGCTCGCAAAGTAAGGCGTGTTTTCGAGGAGAAACAAATCTTTACTCTCTCTCTCTCTCTCTCTCTCTCTCACACACACACACACACACACACACACACATACACACACAGGCTGTGGAGATTAGCACCGCTCTCCAGCAAGAGCAAGGCTTCACTGAAACGAGAGAAGCCATAGAACAGGTAACCAGAAATTCTTTTCCATGGTATTCCAGCGAGAATTTGGATCGAAAACAGGGACCGTCTGGAGCGTACGCGCCGGCAGTGGCGGGGATGTTGATGCAGCAGCCAACGAGGCAGCCCGAGCCGATTGGGCACAGCCTGCTCAACGGTGGCGCGGCCGAGGATCCAGAGGCGCAGAGGATTCGAGAGGAGCGAGCCGCCATCGCCGGGGGCTGGTCCATAGACTGCTGCCACAGGAGGGATCTCACGGAAGCTTTCTCCAGCTTGTGGGTCAACTAGAGACAAGAGAAGAACTGCTGCTCAATGGATGAAGTAGCAGTGTTCTTGAGAGCCAGCTCTCGTTGGATAGCCCCCTTTTCCATTTTTTCTTCAACTCTTCTACAACTTCTAGGCTCACAATACCATAGCCTTTCATTAGCCCAAAAAGCTGACAAAGGTAGAACCTACAGAACAGACCGTTTTTCTTTTAAACATTCACTCTACCTTACTTCTCTGAAGGTAAACTGTCCCGCTCGCTCGTGGGCATTCCTTTGTTGTCACAACCAGCCTTATATAACCAGTGGAACACCATTCTTTGAGTTTGTGAGAGCCTTCTAAATTCACTTTCTTGTCCAGCTTCATGATGTCCAGCGTCACAAATGCTTGAGTTGCTCCTAGGTCACTTCCCGTTGTAAATTGTACAAACACAAGCATCTTCTTGTTCAGCTTACCATTCCACAGGAAAAACATCGCCTTTGGCCCTGCTTCATAGAATCTCCCTGTCTAAGCATATGTTGTAAATGAAGCACCAGTAAACGAGCATACTTTGTGGCATGTTATGCCATAGTGCATTTACCACCAAAGGCTCTCGCAAGATTATATAGTGAATTTCTATTGTAACTGACAAACTAGGAGTCTCTGTTTTATTATCAGTAACACCTCCAATATATGGAACTATTGGTGCAAAATGTTCTCCTCCATCACTGCTCTCAAGGAAAGTTGCAAACCACAGTTTACAAGAGTCATGCCCCTCCTCCATCCTGGTACAATCACATGTTTGGCACCTGAAAAAGAAATAAGTAAATATCACAATATCACGTAATTCTATAAAGCTTGCGGTCTTACCTGAGAGATAGTAAGTAACTATCAGACCTATAAAACTTGCCATCTCAGGATTGTTCCACAGCAAAACTGTATCATCTCTCAAAGAGCGATGGACTCCAAGTTCCCAGCCTGTTTGAGTGATCATCCTTCGTGAAAACTCCATGAACCAATCTGCAGCAGGTGCAGTCTCCAGAATATACTTCTCAATAGCGGTGGAGATAACAGCTGGCATGTCTAGTCGACTAACATCTATAAACCTTTCCATAAACACTTGGATGTTGCTGCCATCAAAACCCAGGTAGACTGTAAATCTCTCCCACATCAAACTCTTTCATAGTTCCAGAAAGAAGATTCTGCCGAACCGTTAACATGCTATTTCTGCACCTGAAACAACTTCGCAGCATACCATATGACTTGAGTGCAAGGACGATGGGATTCAACAAAGACTGCCCTGCCTGAGGAGTTTAGCCTGATATGAAGCGACCCTTCATGCACTGTAATAATAATTGAGCTTCGTCTAGCACAACTATGCCATTCCCCCAACCCACGTCTTTTACCAGCTTTTCTATGCCGCTAGTGAAGTTTGCAACGAAAGAGGGCACTTGATGGACTTCGCAAACCAAACCAAGAAACACCTCAATCAGTTTCAGAAACACGTCATCATACTCCACCTGAAAAAACGCCCAGTCTTGTGGAACAAGCCCTGGCTTACACTCTTTCAATAATTTAAGCCAAGTGAGCCATGCAAGGATTAAGGCCCCCACGCCACACAGCTCTGGGGTAATATTTCTTTCTCCTCCTGGAAAAAGGTTTTCCACCCAGTTGGCCACTCTGTGAATATCTTTTGATCCTCCTCCAAACCCAACCATGGGACGGTCACCTGTGAAAAACAAACTGAACCTGGTGCTGGCTAGTTCAATCAGCATTCTTGTTTTCCCTGATCCACTAGGTGCTAAGAGCACAGTAACCTGCTGAACTGACAACCTTCCTGCAAAGCTTTTGTCCAACTCCACAAGTCCACTTTCAACACCTTCCCACAAAATGCATGGTCTAGCATCAAGCGAGCACACGAGTGTCCGAGCAGAAGGGAACCTTGCCTTGTAACGTGACTCGTACTGTGCTACTGCCGGTCATTTGAGAGAGATATAAGCGTCACACGGACGTGTAATGTCTGCTTCTATAATGTCTGTTTCTGCTGTTTCTGTAATGCCTGTTTCTGTAAACAATAAAATTGAAAAAAAAACCAAGAAACCGGTTAAACGCCACAGCATATGGCCACCTAAAGACAAATGCGCAGGGAGAGCAAGGGCAATGCGATCGTCCTCCTTCGATCTTGGCGAAGAACCAAAAGGATATTTCGCATAAAGGAAAATTGGGGCAAGAAGTAGAAACCGAAGCCATCCTAAAAGAAAGTATCATACCACCCTTGGTGGCTCCTCCCGCTTCATGGAGCTGGAGTTAGCTGAGAACACCCGCTGAACCGCATCTATGTCCACTCTACCATCACAAAGGTAAAATTCTTGACTCGCTGCCCCATCTATGTCTTCAATGAACTCCACAAGCTCTTCCATAGTCCAGGACCCCTTGAATTATATAGACTTGGCCTCCATGCCACGTGTCATATGTCGAATGTCCAGGTAGAGGATATTTCACGAATATCCATTCTTTATATGCCACGAACCAATGGCCCATGCCATGTCAGGAGTTAAGCCATTCATGGCCATAGACCCTGATGTATTCAACTTGAACATATTGCAAACTAAATTGATCATGGTCGCTTCTCTACATTATGTTCTCACCTCTTGCTCTTTTTGCACATGACAAAAGATGAAGAAGCATTGTGTAGCATGTAGAAGTTAAAGAATGGACTCCACAAAATCTCATAATTAGTGGTAACTTCCCTACTGAAAGTCCATTTGAATTACTTACTTGTATTCAATATTTCTTAGCTTATCAACTAAGTTAGCAAATGTGGTAATTAAAAGCTTAAAGAGTCTATTAAATGGGGAACTTAGATTGTATCTTAGCAAGCATTCTTGGGAATAGAACCCCATTCATCCATGTCCATCATAAAATCTTCCATCTGTGGAAAAATGAGTTATACTGAAGAACTTGTTGGTATAAGCATTTTTATTAGAGAGTTCTTTATAAGGGCAGCTTGACAGAGTTCAATATAACAGAGATGAGAATCAAAAACTTTCTTAGCAAGGGGTTTAATCCTATTGAATTAAAGAATTGTTACTCTTGAAAGGAACTTGGTGACACTCCAAGTTGCAGAATGTTAAGAGGACACCACAATAGATGTGGGGCAAACCATTGATTGCAAAATTTTCAAATCAGCAAGTCTATTTTTTCACTTGGCTCACTATAATGACTTTGTGTTAGAAGTGTGTAGATTGTTTGTACTTAGCGAAAGGGCCATGTTCTAGCATCCCTAGATGCTAATGCATTCTAGGACATTGTGACAAAAAGACTAAGATGTGGCAAGTGAAGTTTAAAGCACAACTTTGTCTTTATTTCTATATGCATATAATTGTTATTCCAAGTGTTCAAATGTAATGCACAAATCTCTTATGGGTGTATAATTGCAATATTAGCAATTGCAAAAAAGTTCTAGATGAGAATGATTGACAACTTAATAGAGGACTGTATGAGATGGACCTCAAGACATGAGTTACATATCTAGAATGCACTCAATTAACTGTGAGGTGCATTAGGCATAAAGGAGGAGGGTGACTAGTGTAAATCCATGGATTCCATCTTGGAGAACCCAGCAATTATAACTACAATGTAGTGCTTAAGTCTAGACTCACCAAACTTTGTGAAAGCTATAAGCAAGTTATGGAGGCATTGATGGCTACAATAATGTGGCATTAACTATTCATAGAGCCAAAGGCAATGGGAGACTTATTGTAGGAAGGCTTGCAATACTCACTATACATGGAAGCTCTATAGAGCCATTACAAGAGTTTATCATTATTAGGTTGACTTTCACTCATTGGTATAGATGTTTTATTATAGGTCTTTCTAGTGAGGATGATCATTCCTCCTAGGGAACTCATCAACTACCTAATCTTTGATTTAGACTTTAGAGAAAACTTCCACACCTAAGTTGTGGACATTATCCAAGGTAACCATTTTCTCCCACACATGTTTTAAACTCTTGTGTTTTGAGTATTTTATAGATATAAATCTAGAAGAGTTATTCAAGTTTCACCATTTCACAATCACTTTGCCAGAGTTCTGAGTTTGGATTTAAGTTGAGATATTGGTGTAAGACACAAATCCCTAGGGTTCTTCTATGATAATGAAAGTAGATAGCATTTTAAAATATATATAATTGCTTGACACTTTCTTTTGAATTCAACTTAGTTCATGTAGAAAAGTTAAAGGTAGGAATATTTGAAAATGCCTATTACTAGCACTTGTGGCCAACATTAATTCTGTGCCTTATTGGATCCATTGTTGCACTTTAAAGAAGTCATAGAATCCTCTTCAAGTTGCCATGCTATAAAAAACCCAAAAACATACTTATTGATGGAGTGGACCAAATATAAGATCCACTAGATGTTTAAGAATCTAGAGTGTACTAAGATGCCATGATCTACACATATATTCTTCTATGGTAATGGAAACAAATAATATTTTGAAATTGATATAGTTGTTTATGAATTCAAATTAGTTCACTAAAGGTGAGAATATTGAAGTATTCTATAAATGCCCATTATAAGCACTTGTGGCCCTTAGTAATGCTTGCCTCACCAAGGGTAATCACTACAATTTCTAAATTCAGGATTTAGGTTCAAGCTATTGTTGTTGGGTGTTAAAAGATCCTTAGATAGTAGAACCAAAATCCTAAGGGTAAACTAGAGTTTGAGAACTTGTCATCAATTGCATCTCGAGTAGTAATGTATCTGTTATTGTCACTTTCTCTAGCAGAGCATTTTGCAATCTTTTTGCTCCCAGATGATGGCACAACGTTAAAAGTAGACTTAAGCTGCCTCATTAGAGCGGTCACCAAATTGTGAGAAGAAGAAGCATCATATAAAATCTTTGGTTTTATGCCTTGTTAGATCCATTGTTATACCTAATTGTTATAAATCTACTCTTATTAAAGTGAGGATGAACTTTCAATCCTTGAAAACTCTAGTTCTTTGCCCTTAACAAGCTGTGGCTTGCCCATTAACTTGATCCAACCGTTGGCAGCCATCGGATCAAGTTAGGTTCTCTACAAGAACGTGGTTGACAACTACTAGGTTCTCCAGAACCCAGCTGCCAGCCGCCAGGTTCTAGAGAACCCTCTCATCCTCCAATAACGTTATTCCACGTGTCTGTTAACAGTCTTGTTACAGCCTGTTAAGGCTATTCCCAGGCATTCCCTCCACAATGCGCTCACCAGGCTAACGCCCAACTCGCCTGTTCTGGGCGGGAATGTGCTTGCCCTACCCAGGAACTGCCTCTTAACACATGGCATATATTGGATGGTTTAGGCCATGTTTAAAAACCCTTCTCACTCAATTCAAATATTAAAATGGTTATGTTTGGAAAAGTGATTGAAGTGTCCACTGCTGTTGATCTCCTTAGCCAAATGTTATTGTACAAAATTGCAATCTCCTTAAACATGCTGTTCTTGGGAAGTAGTCAAGCCCAACTCATATATACCTTCAACAAGTAGTGCACACCAGCCTAAAGTTAAGGAATCAGCCTCAATGTTGTAGCTTGGGTCTTACCATTCCCCTTAGTGTTGCCTATGTCACACATGAATGAGCTCTTCACCAACACCATGCAAACTTGCATCCAAATACAAGCTCCACCACTTCATGGAATTGGGAAAGGTGTTTGTTGAAACTGGGACTATAATCAGGAAGATGAGCATGAAGTGATACACCAACCTGGGACCATCTATAGAGAAGTTGCTATGGTTTGTTCTTTCACGAAAGGAAGGTGCCTTCAATCAGTAGAATAACATTCATAATGAGTCCTTATCTTTAGCCTAGTTTGTGCAAATCTTTGTGAACATCTTCCTTTAAGGTGTTAAAAGACCTAGATTGCAAATCAATGGCAAGGAAGGATAAACTCAATTGGCTGGGGCACGACTCCAGATGCTATACATCCACAGCTTTGCAAAGGCATTTGTCGTAAAGAACACCATGTTAAAGAAGATAGAGTGCAAGAGAATGAAAATTTGGTTCTTTTGTCATGTGCAATAAGAGAGCTACATTTAGTTTGCAATATGTTGAATGCATGGGATGTCTATGAGCCCAGGAATCAATTCGACACTTTCCCCAAAACCCTAGCTTTGAGTGGTGCCCTAAACTCGGAGCTATGGCGGGTGATGAAAAAGGGGAAGAGCTTGTGGAGTTCATTGAAGACATAGATGGGGCAGAGGGTCATGAATTTTACCTTTCTGATGGTAGAGTGGACGTAGATTCTGCGGGTGTTCTCGGCTAACTCCATCTCTGTGAAGTGCGAGGAGCCACCAACGGTCCGATGGAGAACTCTTGAACCAAGAAAAGAAGATGGTCTCAGCAAAGTGAAATTTCGGGCTGGATCTTCCAATGTCATCCGTCCCACGAGAGGTATGCTACTTTCTTTTAGGATGGCTCAATGTGAGTGCTCTCGCCAGTGAGAATAGTCGCGCTTAACCCCTCGCAATTTGCTGCAGCTCTTAGATGCTCGCTGGTTTGGATGTCGGGAAAAGGGTCAGAAAAGCCTCAGTAAGTGTTGTGTTGTTGCCTGCTGCTGGATGGTTTTCCACTCCGTTATTCTTCCTCTCAGCTGTGAGCATCGCGGTCGATGCTTGGAGGCTGGCCTTAACCGGGCGTTTCAGGCTGCTCGACCAGTGGTGCGAGTTTATGCTATTACCGAAGATACCTGGCGACAAGTCCTGGAGTTTAGTAGGGTGGTGCACGAGGATTTGAGCAATTACGATCCAGAAGGTAGAGAAAACTTCCCCCTTCGCGTGCTCTGATCTAACTAACGTAGCTGCCGCTCCAGGTGCTTGGCCTGTTCTTGTCGACGAGTTTGTGGATCACATGTACAGGTAACACACTGTAGTTCTCTTGCTGGAAAAGAATGGCCGTCCTCAGAAAATCCTCCTGCTTTCAGAAGCTCGTCATGCTCTTGCATTGCGGAAGCCTGCGCTTGCGATCCGAGTGCAGTGCTGAGCTCTTCGGAAGTTTTGGATGCTACCTCTCAATTGAACCGAGCGAATACACTACCAGGCAAGAAAACTCGCTCCCACTATGATGTCTAAAGATCTATCTCTCTTCACAGGTATGGCTGCTACCGCCGGTAGTAAGAAAGACGAACGACGAGGTGTTTTTGTCACGACATTTGAAGCGTCTACTGCTGGAGAAACCTCTGCTCATGTCCTCCGGTGGGTTTTGACAGATGAAAGCTTTGTAGTAGAAAAATTCTTTTCAATGTATAGTGGTGCCCGAGCAAGCGATGATTCTTTTTTCCGCATAGCATTCTTGTGACCGAGAAAAACGTGACAATAATATTAATTCTCACTTGTGATCTAGACTCTACTCTAGTAAAAGTCTAATATGAAACAACTCTCTATATTTCTTGGCTAGTTAGGATGGTGCCCTAAGGACATAGGCAACGAGAATTTCTTTCATTTGTTTTGGAATGGCAGCAGGTGGAAACAGCATCAATATGCACGAGCAACAAAAGGTTACAAAGGTCGATTGTTTTGGATGGATGAGACAATGGAAATTCAAAGTAGCAAGCAAGGGACTATGGAAAGCAGCAGTGAGTCAGAGAAAAAGAAAAAGGATGCAATTGTCATTCCTCACTTTTCTTCTTCACCAAGACTTCCATTCCTGTAATAGTAGTCCAAATTGTTTGTTCTCCCTCCAAGACACTTTGTTATGCTGAGTCATTTCTTGGTTTGCACTTTGGTTTGCTTAAGCAAACTTGTAAGGGTAGTGGATATATCTAAAATATACTTAAATATTCTAGAATATTTTATTATCTAACGGTTATTATTTATTTAGATTAAATTTGTATTTATAATTTATAAACATGCTTATAATTTTTAAACTTTCTTAAACCCTTTCTAGTATATTCTTTTTTATTCTATCATTTATGGTTGATATGCAATAAGATTAATTTTGTGTTTTAAATTATAAGCATACTTACCATTATAAACTTTATTTGATCAGTTGAATTAATAAGTATTAAGCAAACTAAACATTGCTACATGGAACATGCAATTTATTTAAACAAGGATTGAAAGCAATAGAGCATATCTAATTCATCCTTCACACATGAAGACCATACCCATATCCTTTCTTCTCTCCAATTTGTAACTGGCTCAATGGAGTTAGTGCTTTGGATGGAGGAGTAGTCAACCCACACAATCTGAGTCCTGTTGATTGCCCTCACAATATCCAGAAGCTGGTCGTGCTCGTGTTCTGGAGCACGACCAGCTTCTGGATATTGTGAGGGATATTGCATTGTGGAAGCCTTCTGAGTGCTGTGCTGAGCTCTTTCGAAGTTTTGGATGCTACCTCTCAATTGAACCGAGAGGCGGAGGAAAGAGACTAACGAGGTGTCTTTGTGGCGGTATTTGAAGCGTCTACTGCGAGAAACCTCTGCTCATGGGTTTTGATAACATTGTCGTAAGACAATAATATGAAGCGAATTTTTTTTCCACTGTTGTGATCTAGACTCTATTCAAATACAAAACAATCATTGATTTTGGAATGGCAGCAGGAGTTGAAGGTGGAAACACGGACGAGCAACAAGAGGTTGCAACGAGACAATGGAAATTGAAACAAGTAGCAAGCAATGTGAGCAAGACTATGAAAAGTAGCAGTGAGGTGCAGTTGTCACTTCTCTAGACTTCCACTCCTGTAATAGGCTTCTAAATTTTTTATTTTTTGTAGTGAAAACAAAATCTGTCATCTTGAACATTTGAATCTGTTCTAAATTTTGGTAGTCCATTTTGTGTGAGGGATGTGATCCTCCCAAAAGCATGGAAATTTAAGATATCTCGATTGACGTGATAATTTGTTCTTTGAAACTTTCAAGATATGTCATAACATCACATCCCAACACATTCCAGGAAACTTCATTTGCATGCCGAGTCTTTTGCTTGGTGTGCAAGGAAAGTCTCGTGGAAAGCCGGGATATAAAACACAGAGGATGGGAAGCTTCAGTGTCAAGAACTCGTAGCGACACAGTGTAGAAAATATAATTCCAGGCTCCAGGCACCGGGCACCAAGTTCATAACAATTCTGCAAATTCTTCATTGTCGATTCTCCATTTTGTGATTGGAAACCCATGGCTCAAGTTCATGCTGCGGAGTTGAAGGGCAATCAACAGGAGCTCAGTCCTAACAAGCGCATGGGCTGTTTTGGATGGAGGAGTAGCAGCAACAAGACCAGCAAGATCAAGCCCAAGAAGAATGCCCAAGTCTCAGATGGGAAGATCAAGGAGAGAAAACAAGAGCAAGCAATAATTGTTCCACACTTTGCGGCTTCAGCCAGATTGTCAATGCTGTGACATGGATTTGCACAGCTTCAAGATTTTTTCCTTTTCGTCTTGAAGAAACGAACTTGTAATATATTTGTTGTTTCATGAATTGAAATCATTCAAAAAAATCTCTTCAATTCATTCCCAATGATCACAAAAATGCTTGTTATCACTTCGCATGAAGAAGAACTGAGAATGTGGAAAACTTCAGGTTTTAGGACATCAGTGAGCTCTTGTTTCATTCTCTCAGCTGCTCACTCACTTTGCCTTGTAGTCTTCAATCTGGTCCAAGGCATCGATGTGGCTGAGACGGAGGCGAAGATCAAGGCGTATAATGAGGAAAACTACGAGCAAATCCTCGCATCCAGAGCCCGCAAGGTAAGGCGTGTTTTCGAGGAGAAACAAATCCTTACTCTCTCTCTCTGTCTCACATACACACACAGGCTGTGGAGATTAGCACCGCTCTCCAGCAAGAGCAAGGCTTCACTGAAACGAGAGAAGCCGTAGAACAACCAGAAATTCTTTTCAATGGCAGCGAGAATTTGGGACCTTCTGGAGCGTACGCGCCGGCAGTGGCGGGTATGTTGATGCAGAGCCAACGAGGCAGCCCGAGATTGGCTCAACGGTGGACCCAGAGGCGCAGAGGATTCAAGAGTTGCGAGCCGCCATCGCCGGCAGGACAAGCGATCGCTGCTCAATGGATGAAGCAGCAAGCTGATGGTTCTAGCTTAATCAACTGGAAGTTGGACTCCATTAGGTACATCTTAGGGCTTAGAATTTGGAGAGGGCCGCGCGTACGCGAGCCCTCAACTTCCACAAATTACGACGTCCACTCCTCCACTTTGGGAAGATGGTAGGCCGGCCAAGCCTTAGTGCAATGGGAAAGCCGAACCTAGGCCACTGGCCTTCATGATCATCAATAGACCCCGTCCAGGTAAGTATGGTTCACTTCCCCAGGCCCTATCTTATATACTGCTATTGTGCCCTCATTCTGCGCCCCAGCATGTGGGATAGGGCAAAGAATCGGTACAGCATATCCTTTAGTCAAAGGCCTAGTCGAACAGTCAACAACTATCAAATAATCTCAGAACTTCGATACTAGATAGTGAGAGACCTCTTGATCAAGAGAAGGAGTGGTGCCTGGCGTGGCGCCGGAGAACGCCGCTGGAGATCTCTCCTTCAACCTTGCGGAAAGAGCTAGCTCGCAACGGAGTTCCAGCCTCCAGCTCCTGTTGTTGCTGCCTTCCATAATCCTGTTCATCCTGCCATTGCCGGACTTTACAATCGGCTACACCCGCGCTGGTGTGATCCTTGGTCCGCTGCTGCGCAGCCCCACTCGGCCTGGGCTTCCAAAAGCTTCCCAATCCCAGCTTCTGAAACGTCTTTGTGATGCGCTGCCCGAACCTGATCCCGCTGGTTTGAGCTCCCCACACCTGGTACATGCAGCTCCCCGCGAGCTTCTTCCTGCCTTTCCCGTCCATAAAAGCGGGCCTGCCGCCATGGTTGCCATTGCTGGCCGGACGATCCACGTCCATGGTCATCTTCATACGCATCAGTTCCTGTTCTAGCTCCTTGAGCCTGGCCTTTGTCGCCTCGAAATCATCCTTCAGGAATGCCGCCTCGCGGAAAGCCGCGTCTCTTTGCAGGATAACTCCCAGAGGTAGGCCATCGTCTCTGGCCTCACGTCCGAAGGCCTGGCTTGGGATGCTCGGGTTAGTCCTTCTTTCGACACTGGCCACCGGCCTGAGAGGATTGTCCAGGTGCTCGGCACCTCTCGACTCGAGCTGTTGGACAAACATAGCTTGCACTATCATCCGCAGGGGCATGAGCTCGTTCTGAACAGCATGCATGCAGATCTCTCGCGACAGCTTTTGGCAATTCAGGCCTTGACATACGGTTACCCGGTCTGCGTGACTCAGACTCGGATGTGACTGTAAGAAAAACGAGAGCATCAGCATTGCAAAGATGAAGAGAAACCGTTACCTGAAAGTAGGCGTGGATGGCCCTGTAAAGAAGATCATGATTTGGACGTATGTTTGACGGAACAGCTTCTGTAAGTTCCACAAATGTCCTGGGGCCTACTTCGGGGTCGCTTGCAATCTCCGCGAGGTACTCGTCCCAAACCTTCACGACTGCTGAAACGGCCAAGAAGCTGTACGAAGATGCACTTCTCAACTCCCGCTCAGTGAGAAGCATTTCCGAACCGTCGAGTAGAATTTCCTGCTGCGACATGAATTCCGACACAATCTGCCGCATGCTGTCCATGTGAGCTCTGCTGTTTTTGGACGTTCTCAATGACATGAGAAAGTCGTCGACAGTGGCCAGCTCGAGCTGGGAAACAATCCTGGCTTCTAGCTGTAACCTGCAGTCCTTGCTCGCATTCCATGCCAACGCGCACCCGTGCAAAGACAATAGAACTTTGATCGGTACCAGAAATCTCTCCAAAGGTAGCAGTCTCACGGTCGCTTCGAAAAGGTGAACATCACCATCTTTAACATCAGTCCCCTCTTTCGTTCCCAAAACCCATCTTTTGATGTACTCCAAAATCAGCTGGCTAACCGGCTTCTCGTCCAGCCCCTGTTTCCTAAGCCCATTGACCAACCTATCAAAGAAAGTAACTGGCAGCTCGAGTATGTCCTTAACCATGGAGCACCTGTCATTCTCTGACGTTACAGAGACCCGTTCCTGTCGAATGCCCTTGCAAGCGGCAGCTGCTAGAGAGTCAATACCCCGGCTAATAATCTGAAATGCTTCCCTCGCCGGCACTAGCTTCGCGCATTGCTGAAGAACCGACAATGTATCCACCCAGCTCTTAAACACCACCTGAGTCAGGTAGTCTTCAGTCCTGCCACACAGATTTCCCTTCCGGTATTCCTCCGTCATCTCCAACAACTCGGCACAGCACCGCAGAACCGCAACATTTGACACGTCGATGTGGATAGTCGAGCCGTAACAAAAGCTTGCGATCAGCTCGAAAACCTCGGAGCCCCCTGGAAAGTCGTCACCCAGCTTCACATAAGTTTGGTCCGAGAGCAAGCGCTTGAATAAGCCACTTCTGGATGTCAAAGGAAACTACAAAGACCGACACAAAACGAAAATCGGTTGCTTTCGAGGCAAAAAGAGTCCTAGGAAAAGAACAAATCACCCACCTTGTGTAGTCCAAAGCTCCGCTCCTTTATCTCAACGTGTACGGTGGTGGGCAAACCTGTAGCATCACACCTGCATGTGGAAAGCTCAATAAAACGCCCAGAAAAACAAGTGAAAACACTACGTACTGACCAGGCCCTCACACTTCGTCGCAAAATGCTGGTGGGAGAGTCCGCTGAGACACGCGCGGAGCTACTCGTGCAATCCGTGGAGCTGGCCCCGTTGCTTCTCTCGTCGGACGAATCCACAAACTCCTCGAAGGACTCGTAAATGGTGTCCATCTTCCCCGGCCGCGACAAATCGTCATAGAAGTCACCGGACAGATTCGCAGAGGACTCCGACTGGTAGAATTCCTCGTCTTCGTCGTAGATGGGATTCACTCGCTTCTTGACGTCCCTGTCCTGGAGATCACGGCCCGGCTGCGAGAATGCAGCCATTGCCGGGGCGCTATCCAGCCAAACGCGAATCACACGACGGTGAATCTTGGCTGAGCCGCGTAGGCGCCGTGGAGCGACAAGAACAAGCCGGCGAACAGCATTGCGAGGGCGGAGAGGAGGGAGACGAAGAAGCCGGAGGAATACATCGCTCAAGAATGTAGATTCTAGCTACCCGAGCGCCAAGAGAGAGCCGCTTGATCAGCCCCGGGAGCACAACATACCGGATCTAGGCGGCGGCGCAGCATCGCCTCGTCGACTCGTCGCGGCGCCTCGCAAGAAACCCTCGCTCCCCCGCTCGCCGCGCAAATTATTCTAGCCCAAAGGAGGGAAAAAACTGTTCTAGCGCAAGTAGTACTATACATGTGAATTCCAGTAAATATTTAAACACCATAGCCCGTTCGTACGGCCCATTTTGAAAAACACTTTTTGGGCCATACTGGCGGCCACATCATCACGCTACGCACAATCAAATGGAGGCCTCCCATTATACCGAATGACAAAAGCTCGCTCTATTTATTGACGCACACACTTAGAGAACAGTGGGTTCTCCAAACGAATATCCGCCACAGTGCTTCCTTTCGCTATCACCGAATCGAACACACAATCTCGCCTCCCCTACAAGGTCACAACATCATTGCAAAGACGTTCCTCAAAATAAATGGCTTCCTTTTCTTTTCGCCTTGATCGCAGCGTTGCGTAGCTTCTTCCAAGCAGAGAAAGCTCCTGGATGCAAACCGCGAGTTTGAACAAAAACAAACAGATTTCTTTGATGAACTGATGATGATCTGAGCGAGCAGCAGCAGCAGCAGCAGCAGCGTTGGGCGATGCTGGCAAGCAGCGATAGGCGATGCTAGTAACAGCAGCCTGGCGTGAGATGCGTGACAGCCATCTCTAGAACAGCGTTACTACCAGCGCTGAATGAATTGATTGGAAAGTAATGGCTTACCTTTCATCAAGGCGTGACACCGATGGTTTCCAACCCCAGGCTGCGCGAACAAGCAAATCCAAAAATCGGTGTCAAGATTACCCGGAGTTAAATTCAAATGCGTACCTGTGACCTTCCATATTCGTGACTGGTTTTAAATCAAAATCTTTGCCGAATGCGCCGGGCCTTCCTTTTCCAACTTGTAAGATACGTATGTTGTGTCTCTGCTCGCTCCAGCTACTTCTTTGCGAAGGCTTTTTGGATCCTTTTAACTTCCCACGACTTCCTGGAGTAAAGATCAGTCAGGATTCGCACCTATAGAACAAAGACTTTACCGATTTGCTGTGAAAGGTCGCACCGACAACGTCCTCGCGAGTTTTATCTGCTCAGACTCTGATTGACAAAGAGAATACCTCAAAGAAAGCTTCGTCTGAAGTAAATACAATCAACGTAGAGGTGAATTTCGCAAGGAAACTTTGCTTTATTTTCTCATCAGCTCAAGAATCTGTACGTATAGGACGTCAACAAAAAAAAGTTCTACTTACCCCTACGTTTCACTTGTCATCCTCGTGTAGCTTTTTCGATAAGAAGAGAAAGCCAGCTTCAGAAGTTTGATCGTTGTATGACTCAAGCGTCGCGCGTAAAATTGTCACGAAGAGCTTTTGTGCTTCACGATTTGCCGCAACCTTAAGCAGTAAGGGAATCCACACTTCAGGGGCGGTGGTAACAGCTTCCCAGAAAGCATGAATCCCTCCCTGGACCCGACTTTTCAAGTTTTTACCCTGACAAAACCGACGAAATGTTTTTTCAGAGAGTTAGCATGGATACTACGTACCTCTACAGTCGTGCTGCTTTTCCCTTGCTCAGGATTTGCTCGGGTACTTCTAGGACGACCACCAGGAGCTGCACTCTTGTACCTAGCTTGTACTTTCTGGCCTTGAATCCATGGAAACCTTCTCATTCGGGAAAAAAAAGTTGTCTTCTCCACCTGCTGTACTTCTTGTTCGGGTGCCTGCTGTACATCTTGGTCAGGTGCCTCTTCCACGACATTGCTTCGCTGATTTTCCAGCCCGTAAAATTCAAGAATGCTTTCTTTGATAAGTGCATTCAAAGCCTTCACGATGTCCTTGACCAGCAAAATTCGCACTCGTATGCCTTTGTCAGAAAGAATGTAGGCGAGCAGATCATCGGCTGCGGATGCAACAGCCCGCATGTCAAATGACTGGAGTCTAGACTGCTTGGTAGGGGTAGAGTCCTGGGATATGGCTACAACCTGTACAAAATTTCGAATCATACAGATGCCCGATAAATCTTGTAAAGATTGCATACCAGCCGCTCAAGCCGATGCCACCGTATTGTGCCGTTGGTGCGTATCAAAAGCTCCAGCAGTATTTGTCGCATATCCGGCTCAGGATCTGAAAGAAGTCTCCCGACGATAAAAGGATATGCACTCTCGATAACTCTGAATTCTGGATCCAAAGTTGTTGCTGTTCCTTCAAGAGATCCCAAGGCTCTTATCACAAGTCCGAATTCTGGAGGCAGGCGAAAGTTAAACTCGTACATAACATCGGAGAGCTGACTCATTATGCCCTGCAAAATCAATTTGCTTGACAACAGCATTTACGAGAAACTGGGTACTAACCTGAAAATCTAGCTGGGCTTTCGTCTTCTCATCTCCAAAAGACTTGCGGAGCGCATGAACAATAGGCTTCAGGTCGGAACCGTGGGGAGTAAATCCAAGTGACAGAAAATCTTGTGCCAGTCCTTCCGAGTCTCGATTCACGAAATGTACAAGCTGCAACAACCTCGTCAGAATTCACCCATTAATATATATTAAGCATACCGTGCGAATGAGACCAATGCGGTAATGCCTAGGGAAGTCACTCATCATACCAAAATCAAAGTATGCAAGAATCCCCTTGTGAGTCACTACGAGGTTGCCAGGATGAGGATCAGCATGGAAAAAACCATCTTCGAGCAATTGTCTCAGGGAACAAAAGACACCCTGGTGAAAGTAAATAAAATAAATAAGTTCAAGCATATCAAATAAATAAAGCAATATAAACCTGGTCGACGAGATCCTGAACGTCGAGGTTCAGCTTTTCTAGTTTCTCCCTGTCAGTAAGTTTAATACCGTCAATCCACTCCATTGTGAGCACACCCTTGGTAGTGTAACGCCAAAATATCTTCGGGACTTTAACCAATCCTTTCTTCGATCTCCTTTTCCCGGTTAGTAGCCCTTCGTCTGAGAAACAAATTTCGGACTGGCATTACAGAAAAGAAGTGACTCAGTCGTTGACACATTCCAAGAACTAAGCTAGACGTAGGACAGACTAGATTCTTTCACTAACCCTTGCATGAATGCAAACAAATCGGTACCTGGATGCTCGATGCCATAAAGGCTTGCAAAACGTTCTGTATTTTTGGCCTCGTTAAGATAATCCGTTTCCTCAAGCATATGAGCCACCTAAAAAACTACGTGTCAGAAAAAGAAATGCCTCAAAAGAATTACGCCTTACCATTTCGTTTACAACGGCAGCAACGTCGCCCCGTGCTCTGGTAAAACGTTGCAGCTGGCCGCCAACAAGATTTAGCAGCCGCGCGTCCAGAGCAAGACGCGCAGGCACACCAGGTCTCAATACTTTCACGGCTACAGTTTCCCCAGAAAACAATTTGGCTGTTTATAACAGTGATAAAAAAGATTCTTGTTATAAAAACTTATATGGAATACCTTTATAGACTTGACCCAGCGATGCGGCGGCAAGAGGTTCTTTGCTAATCTCCGCAAAAATTTCTGAAGTGTGGGCTCCAAGTTCCTTCTCAATAAACTTCAGCGCTTTAGAACTAGGAAATGGGGGGATTTGGTCCTGAGAAAAGCCGTGTTACGTCTGCGGAAATGAAGCACTAAGAAAACCAACCTGAAGTTTTGACAGTTCGTGACAGTAAACACTGGGAAGAATGTCCGGTCTGGTACTCAGAGCCTGACCAAGCTGGATGGGCAGAGAAAAGAACTCAGTTTCAGCTTCACAAATCTGACAATATACCTTGATGTAAAATGGACCAAGGCGTATGAGTGACCTGCGCAGCTGGAAAAACAGTAAAGCTTAGCGTGGGACATCCTCTCTATACGCTTACTCTTTCCGCTCGTTTCTTGACATCCCTTTCCGTGGCATGCCAGATGCTCAGCAAGACGACCTCCGCCATGATAATGAACGCTCTGTATAATACCTGAAATGGTCGATACCACATCTCCCAGCTGAGTCGAGTAATCGTCCCGCCAGTCGCGTGGTTAATCGCTGCCGAGTGAATCCCACGGCAGTTCCAAAGCCTGCATACCACCGTCAAAACAAAGCCAAAAAGAATTCACCAAAGACTCACAGATGATGAAGCCTGCCGAGAGGGAACACCTGCTCGTAGAGTTTCCGATGAATGCATCCATTTGCAAAATTTCTTGAGGGAACACCTACAATATGAAGAACTCAATGGACTACATTTTCATCAGCAACAACATACCGATTAAGCTCCGGGACGAGACGATCATGCTAGCGCGCCGTCGCAGATGTGCCCATGCTTGCCGGGCCACAATCTTCATGAGCCAGCGCCGCGCGATTTATCTCATTCCAGATCGCGAGAGAATCCGGGGCAAGCGCTCTGAAACCCTAGCTCCACAGCTCCGCCAAGAGAGAGCGCGAATGGTAGCCCTAGCCTTGCAATCCAAGGGTTTTAAGATTCCACGTGTATGTGTAACGTGTCCACTGCCTAACACAAAATTTTCAAATTCAAACCTTTCCTTTTGCCGCTCGCACGCTCATGGGATCTCCATTTCATGGGCGCTACGCGGCAGGGAATCTCTCCCGGTAGCACAGCGCTGGATCTACCCCAATTGGAATCACTCGCTAAAAACAAGAAGAAGCCTCCACTCTCGGAGTTTTTGATCTCCAGTAACTCGCAGTGCTCGGGAGAAATCCTCGCATCTCTTCTCAAGGCGTGTGGAGATGACCACGACATTGCTCGAGGGAAGCGAATCCACGAGCTCATCGCCTCCAATGAGGCCCTCCGATCGGATAGATCCCTGGCGAATATGCTCCTCCAGATGTATAGCAAGTGTGGCAGCCTGGACGACGCTCAGCGGGTCTTTGATGGCATCGCAGCCCCCGATTCCTGCTCGTGGACGACAATGGCCACGGCATATGCCCAAAGAGGGTATATCCACAAAGCCAGGGACATGTTTGAAAGATTCCCGGCATCTCAAAGGACCATCGTCTCCTGGAACGCTCTCCTGGCAGCATACGTTAAGAACGGCTGCCTCAAACAGGCGGAGGTGGTGTTCGATTCGATGCCAGGGCAAAATGTTGTGTCATGGACAACAATGATCCACGCATATTCCCATTCCGGGCATATAGAGAAAGCAAGGAAGCTCTTTTCCTCAATGCCTGAGAAAAACCTTGTGTCATGGAACACAATGCTCCAAGCTTTTATCGACGCAAACCAAATGAATCAAGCACAAGATTTATACGAAACAATGCCCCACTGGAACGTCGTCTCTTGGAACTCGATGCTCGCAGCAGCTGCCCAGAGTGGTCGTCTGGAAGAGGCAAAAGGAATCTTTTCTTTGATGCCGGAGTGGGGAGTTGTCTCATGCACAAGCTTGATTCTAGCATCTTCTCGAGCTGGGAATCTCGACACCGCCAAAGCCATGTTTGACAAGATGCCCGTACGGAACATAGTGGCCTGGACGGCCATCCTCGCCATGTACGGAGAGAATGGCCACCTCGAGCAAGCCAAGCACATCTTTGACACAATGCCGAAGCGTAACTTGGTTTCCTGGACATCGATGCTTTTGGCATATGCCTCTAATGGTCATTTGGAGCGAGCAAAGATGCTGTTTGATGCAATGCCGGAAAGGAACATTGTGGCGTGGACTATAATGGTTCAGGCATATGCCGATTCCGGGCAAATGGAACTTGCGTGCCTTGTTTTTGATTCCATGCCCGAAAAGAATGCCGTTTCATGCACTGCAATGGTCACCATTTTTGCGTCCAAAGGTGACGTTGACCGTGCCAGGACAATATTTGACTCAATGAACGGGAGAGATTTTGTTACGTGGTCAGCGATGCTACAATCATATGCCGAGAATGGCTACGTTGACGCTGCCAAAGCCACCTTTGACTCCATGCCCGAGCGTGGAATTGTGGCATCTACGGCTATGATACAGGCGTATGGACAATCCGGCCTTGTTGCACAAGCCAAGCGTGGATTTGATTCTATGCCCGAGTGTGACACTGTGTCATGTATGACTATGTTATCTGCATTTGCCTTTAATGGGCATCTGGAGGAGGCCAAGGCCATATTCGAGACGATGCCACGTACGGACGCTGTCGTTTGGGCCACCATGCTCCACGCCTACATTTACAATGGCCACCCCGAGAACGCGTACGACATCTTTGGCGCCATGCCCGTGCACGGCATCGTTGCTTGCACGAGCATTGTCCAGCTCTACGCGATGAGCGGGCAGCTCGGGCAGGCACGGGCAATGTTCGAGAATATGCCCGCCCGTGATGCGGTGGCGTGGAACGGCATGGTTGGTTCTTACGCCCAGAATGGCAACCTCGTGGCCGCCAAGAAGCTCTTCGATTCCATTCCGGAAAACGTCCATTTGATGTCGTGGACGGTCGTGATCGCGGCCTTCGCAAACTTTGGGATGGGAGTCGATGCCATGGAGATTTACCACCTCATGAATCTACACGGCGTCAAACCAGATGCCCTGTGTTTTAGAGGTGTGCTCGTGGCGTGCAACCACATTGGGCTCTTGTACGAAGGGTGGCGATGTTTCCTTCACATGATCTACGATCACGGAATCTCGCCCAGAAAGACGCATTTCTGCTTCATGGTGGACAGTCTCAGCAGGGCCGGGCAACTGGAAAATGCCGAGAGCCTCGCAAACACAATGCCCTTCGAGCCGGATGTTTGTACGTGGAGCGCATTGCTGGCGGCGTGCGAGGGTCACAAAGATGGCGAGCGCGGCGTTCGCATCGCCCGGCATTTGCTCGGCTTGGATCCCAAGCACTCGGCAACGCACGTAGTTCTCTCAAACATGTGTGCCGGGCTTAGGGCAGTCGTGGAGGATCCAGCGACTGTTTCTCAGGGCTAGCCACGTTTCTCAAAGCATCTTGTCATAACCCTCCATTGTCAAGGTCTTGGTGTTTGATTTGGATGCTAGAGACCCGCTAAATGACATGCTTTTCACGTGCGTGAGATTACGCCATTGCGAAAATAAAAGATTCACAATCCACTCAGTGGAGCCGCACGCACGCAAGTAAAATATCTAACCGCACCGACGTAGTTTCATAGTTTCCTATCGTCGTTGGACCACCAATAAGTCCATGATCAAAGATTCCTTTTTCTTGGATGTCTGGGTAGCGAGCAATTTGCGTACGTCTCGTACGAAAACTTACAAAAGTGGTGACGCGTCAGCCTTAGCTAGATAGATATTCCTTCCCGGAAGCTTCAGCCTCGTGTGGAAGACCCGGTCCTTCGGCGGAAGCTTCCTCGAGCACGTGTTGTGGCCAAGAACGCCACCAGTGGCAGAAATTATTGTGCACCAAGCTTCCTACGAAGCGCGCGGGCTATACCCCACGTGCTAAAAGACGAGGGAAGCTTCCGGGTACCTGGGCAGCCTATCGCCAAATTTCTCCCATTACATAAGAGCAGGGCATCGCCGATTCTTCCTCACCGCTTGCGAGCGCTAATTCTCTCACAGGTCAAGTCCATGGAGATGTTAAATTGCGAGGGCATTGGCTCGGACTTCTTCACATTCTCGGACGAGTCGAGCTTCCTGGCCAAGAAGATCGAGGATAGCCTCCGCGAGAGGAGAGGAGGAGGAGGAGGAGGAATGGCGAGCGTTGTGAAGCAGGAATTCGTGGATGATGGCGGCTTAGATTGGGCGAGCTTCTTGCAAGTGGATGACAAGAATGCGAGCAGCGGCGCGGGATTCCCAGCTGCTGCTACTCCACTCTCGAATCCCAGCCGCGATCACAACCCCAGGAGCAAGCTGCGAGTGAGCTTGCCGCAAGTCACAGAGGACTACCTCATGGCGGCGGAGACGCTCCTCATGGAATCGCCCGTTGCAGCGGCGTGGCAGCCGTCGCCCAAGCTGAGCCCCTGCTGGGGATCGAAGCGGATCAACACAGGCATCCCAAATCACCTCTTCTTCCTCAACGAGAACGATTCCGAGGAGATGCCGCTCTACGGGCTGCTCAAGGAGGCGGCCACCAGGCACCCATTCGATTCCGCCCCCACGAAGATCGAAGCAATCCAAGATGTGAAGCCAGAGCCTCCGGTGGCGGTGGCTATGGCGGCAGCAGCGGCGCCGCCAGCGGCGGTGGCGCCCGTACAGCCGGCCAGCCAGCCCCGGAGGCAGTACCGGGGCGTACGGAGGAGGCCCTGGGGGAAATTCGCGGCGGAGATCCGCGATTCCACCAAGCAGGGCGCGCGGATCTGGCTGGGGACGTTCGAGACCGCCGAGGAGGCAGCGATTGCCTACGATCAGGCCGCCTTTAAGATGCGGGGGCGGCGAGCGCTGCTCAATTTCCCCCTCCGCCTCGCCACCCCTGCCGCCGCCGCCGCCGCCCGTGCCGAATCGTCGTCGCCCGAGAGCTCCGTCACCAGCGCGATCGAGTCTCAAAAGGAGCGAACGAGGAAGAGGGCGCGAGATTCTTCCTTGTCCCAGTCGTCCAGCAAGAGGCAAGCTCCCCTGGTTGTGGAGATCCAAGAGCCCGACGTGGATTACATGGAGCAATTGTTGTCCGGGCTGTGATTCTCGGGTTCTAGATTCTAGAAAGTTTTGGCGACCATTGTTCATGACCGTACTGACCCCTCAAATTGGATGGAAAAAAGCTTTGTATTGCTGATAATTTGATGATTGATATCCGATATATTCCTCTCACACAAAGATTGTTCTTGGGTGCTTGACAAAAACTAGATCGATGTTAGAACACAAATCGAAGTGAGTCTTTGCCATACGGAAAGTTTTTTGTTTGATACAAAAGTACACACTCCTTACAGATATGACGACGCTATAATTCAATGATCTATGCTTTTACTTTCATGCCTTGCGTGGAAAAATGCTGTCCGACGATTGCATGACCTCGTTGTGATTTAGGGTTTAGGGCAATGGAGACAGAGAACAAGGATCAACGGACGCTGTTGTGGGGCGCTTCGCTGCTGCTTTTCTTCCTTCTCATGCTGCTCACGCCGGCGATCACTAAGAATCAGTCACAGCACGCGTTCGCCGATCAAAGAAATTTCCTAGGTCAGTTGCAGCCTCTTTCTTCGCCATTGTCAAAGCTTCGCTTTCGTTATTCGCAGGCTTTCCAAACACGTTGAATGTTTTTTCGACGTTCCCTTACCTCGTCATTGGCTGCATTGGAACTGTGCTGTGCGCGCAAGGGAATTACTTTGGATTCAGGTATGGATTTTCTCCCTTTCTCCTTTCCTTTGCTAAACGTAGGATCATAGTTCTCAAGGGGAAGTCTGGGGATGGACGTGGTTTTTCGTTGGAATCACGGCCTCGGCATTTGGTTCAGCGTATTACCATCTCAGGCCGAGTGATTCTCGCTTCGTTTGGGATTGCCTGCCAGTAAGTTCCATCATCTTTGCCTTGTTTTTTCTTCGCGAAACGAGCTTTGCTTGTGATAGATGGCTTATGCCTTTGCATCGATCGTAGCTGTCTTTGTTGTGGAAAAACGAGACGAGCTCAAAGGACCAAAATCGTTTGTGCCGTTGCTGCTAGCGGCCTCAGCAACGGCAACATATTGGTGGTATGCAAAAGACTTCTTTGCTCCTTTTATTTCTTCTTCTAATCTATAGAGTTTACGTCTGCAGGTTCGCTGACGATATGCAATTGTTTGCACTCCTGCAATTTATTCCTTCGGTAGCCATCCCCGCTATGACAGTCGCTTTGCCTCCGAAATACACACAGTCCTGGTATTGGATGTGGGCTGCAGGTAAAAAACAGGCTTGCGAGACCAACTCTCGACCTTTGTTTCTGAAACTCAACGTGTTTCATTCGTTCGCAGGTATGTACCTGCTGGCCAAGCTTGCTGAAGCATTCGATTCTAGAGTTTATCACTGGACTCGGTTTCTAGTAAGTGGACATACAGTGAAGCACCTGAGCACGGCTATGGTGCCCGTGTTTCTTATGATCATGCTCGCTCCGCCCAACGTCAAAATTGAGCGATTAACCGTCTGATGGCAGTGGTTTTGAGCAGAAATATAATAGACTGACAGAAAAACTCGTGGAGAAGAGAAGAGAGCAAAATATCCTGGCGGCCAAACTAGGTACTTGCTTTGCAAAGGGGCTGCTCGATGTCGATATGCCTGCAAGTTTCCAGTGGTGGAATTCGTCACAGCAGGAGGGATTCCTGGGAAAAATCCGGTTTTTCGAGGCATAAGTTGGCTCTGGCGAGAAGGCCAGCTACGACCTCCTCCGATTCTTCGAAGTCTTCCTCGGAGCAGCAGCAGGAGGAGGCCAAAGGCGTCCCAGAATGGGCCAAGCCGGGATCTGATGTTCCTCCTCCTTGGGCTAGCGGCGAGAAGAAACAGGTCTCCTCAGAAGGCTTCCAGGATTTGCCTTACATCGTTTATCTGGTGGCTTCGTGCTTGGTCGCCATTGCTGCTGTAAGGTACTCTCTCTTGAATTTCCAAGTCTGTTCAACGCGCTTTGCTCAAACAGGTCGGCTCCATTTTCGAGTACTTCAACAAAAATCCCGTGTTTGGGGTGATTCAACCGGACAGTCCCTTCTACACACCGGTGCTGGGTTTCTTTTCAATCACTGGCATCCCAGTTTCTGTAAGTTCCCATTTTTCTTTGTCCCTGAGATTGTATTGTCAATCTTTGCAGGCGTTCCTATGGTTTAGAGCTATCAAACTTGCGAACAAGGACGCTGAAAGGCAGGACAAAGAGGACGGTTATTTCTAAGCCCATGTATAATACTTTTCTGATAACTTTTTAGACTTGGCTAAATATTTGACAATTGACCATTGACTTACGAATTAAGAACCCTAAAGATTGACTACAGGTTTTTTGACGTAAACAAGATAACATAAATATCTGGATAACGCTTAAGCCCTAAAATGGCTACTCTTCTCCAGCGAATCGACCAGCAGCGATGGCCTCTCGGCCTCCCAATGCGATCTCCGCGCTCCTCCTCCTCCTCCTCCTCCTCCGCCAGGATCTCCTCACTGCGCGTCTCGCGCTACTGCTGCATTGTGGCGACAGCGGCGGAATCCACCGCGGCGGAAGCTGCTCCGCCAAAGAGGGGCCCTAGGGAGACGAGGGACGTGAGCAAGGGCCCGAGCGGTGGAGCGAGCGCGGGGGACATTGGCAGGGGAATGGGTGCTGAATTCGACACCGTGGTCACGAACTCGGTAGGGAGCGCCTCTTTCAAGATCGCCAAGGTTCCCACCATGGAGGAGCGGGATTTCCGTGCTGCTGCTGTGATCGAGGTCGCGGATGTTGCTCAAGGTGTTCGATGCATCACTGTCGACGCTGAGTGCTCCAGAGAGGTACTTCGATTTTTTTTCTTTCATTCGTTTCTTTGCCATGGCTGGTTTCCATTTCATTCCAACTTTTCATCTTTGCATTTTCAAGTGAGAGTGTATAAGTTTGAAGCATTGATCTATCTTTGCACTCTTTGCATGGAAGTTCTTCCTGATTTTCTTTTGGGGGACCACTGTAGCATGCGAGTTTCTTTTGATCACTGTGCCAGTTTATTCCCCGGGAGCAAGCATACACGAAGTCTGGACAAATGGCCCAAGTTCGCCTCCTTGGCCAAGAGAGCTCCATCAAGCTCCCAGTGTCGAGCTCTCCCTTCTCCTGGGAAGTAAACCATGCCGTCACCATGAAGGCCAGAGCCGACGTTCCTTCGGGCACGCAAAAGCTTCCGCAATTCTTCCTCTCCGTCAAGAGTCCCCTCCAGCTTCACGTCACCGAGTCGGAAGCACCGGAGTTTTATGGATTGAAACAAGGTTCTTGAGTTTCCTGGTTTGATCTTTCATTTCTAGCAGCTTCTTATGGTTGCAGGAGATGAGATCGAGCTGGGGCCATTCGACTCCAGTGGGATGGACTTGCGGCCAGTGCTTTTCATCACCCAGTATCCAACGCTGTTGATATTCGCGCAGGGGAAAGGCATAGCCGCGGCCAAGGCATTGATCGAGACGAAAGATGCCGATGTGAGTAGCCTCAACTTACGGCTGCGGCGGGACGTCCGGCTCTTCTACGTAGCTCCAAGGCCAGAACTACTAGCGTACAAGGTAGAACTCCATCCAAAATGATCCATAAGCTGAGACGATTGATCGTGCTGTGTTTCCAGGAAACGTTCGCAGAGTGGGAGAAGAAGAAGGTGAAAGTTTGCACTTCGGTTGAGGCTGCCAACGATCAATGGGACGGCCAAGTTGGATCGTTCCAGGAATTATGGGACGAGGATGATCTAGAGTATGATCCGAGGAGCACGGCAGTGGTGGTATGCGCCGAGGCCGGGGCTGAGCAGGAGCTGGACGAACTCTTGGAGAATGCCGACATTGTGAAGGAGCAGACTGTCAAATGGATCATCTAAACCCAAAACCCTGAAACTCCAAAAACCTTCTCGCTGAGCAAAGCGGAGTTTACTCCTCGTCCGGCTGCCAGGGCCAGGAGCTTCTTGTCGAGAGTCTTGTCGCGTGGCAGTGGTCTGGGGAATCCAAGCAACAACTCCAAGATCAAAGTGCATGGGGTGGACGAGACTCGCTATGGCTTCCTCACGAACTACAACCAGACAGAATTCCTCCGTCCCTCGTTGGATCCAAGGGATACAAGCCTCGAATGCTCGCCGGTTATCGACGTGACGGAGCGGCCGCTGCAATTCTAGGCGGACCATCAAGCATGATGATCCGCCACAAAAGCGGAGATCATGCCAAGGCTAGACTGTCCAGAGAACTGGTGCCTTGCTGCTGCGCGGTCGCAAGGTGAGCGTGGACGACTTGGCGGCACTCCCGGCGGAGCTCGGACTCAAACAGCGAATGGCTTGCGTGGGCAACTACAGGCCGTGCTAGAGGGAGCTGTGCGTAGACACAAGGCAGGGGTGAAAACTTTCGACCTGAGGAACCACAGTGAGGAAGCTGTCCTACAGCGAGTACCGATGAATCTTGCTCTCTCGGACGAGGGAGACGAGCGTGGAGAGCATCCGAGCAAAACGAGCAGATCTGTGTGTGTGTGTGTGTGTGTGTGTGTGTGTTGGCCAGTGAGATGGGATTACACACGTGACGCGCAGGGCATTGCTGCCATTACCAGGGATCAAGCTCCAAAAACAGGGAACAGGGTAAGTATACTACCGAGGTTGTGAATGCCAACACTATTCCATTCGCTCTCTCCACTCTCTGCAGGTATAAAGGTGGGAATTGAAAGATGTTTAATAAAACTCCCTTTACCAAAAGTAAGGAAATATTTTAGGTTTCAGTTGTACTTTCAACAGATAAGTAGTGAAGAGTAGCAAGTTGTACAAGGAGCTTCATTTTTTCCAGAACTACCCACTGTTTAAGTTCTCATCCTCCTAACAAAGTGGCCTCCAGTTTAAAAGTGTGGATGAGTTGAAAACATACTTAAAAGAGCAACATGCAATTAGTTTCGATTACTTCAACAATGACAACTTTGGCTAACCAAGGTACCATTGCAGTTAGTGCAAAAAAAATTCACCTATGGTGGAAAAACAAAACTTACCTACACCAAGATCAGGCAACACTCAAAAAGTTGACATGGCATATTAGAACAAGAAGCTCAAATGTGCTCCAGTTTAAAACTAGATAAATAGAAGTTTACCAGTCAACGATAGTCAAGAGAAACAAAGTGGTCAACAGACCGATAAAGCTGGGGCTATGGAGGACATGGAAGATTTTGACATTGATAATATAGAGATGGATAGAATCATGGCATTGTTTGAGGAGAATGAAGTTGCAAATAAGGAGGAACACACCCTTATTATGTTCCTAAGGTGGCAGAAAGTCCAATGAGTGACCAAGAGATGAGTGAAATTTTGTTATCAAATCTCAAAGACATGGATAACAAGGGGAGTTTCAGAGCAGTCAGAACACAAGGCTTAGCAGAAATTCAAGTTGGTGAGGAGGAAATGAACTAAATCATCTAGAATGTGAACAATGAAGATCTTGATTCTTAGGAGGAGGAGCCAGAGGCAATAGATGGGGAAATTGATTTTGCTTTTAAGTTTGAATAAGATCTTCAAGCCAAAGAACAAAAGTGAAAGGATGAAATAATGATATTATGGAAGAGTGAATTCAAGAAAATTAGATGTAATGATGCTTTCAATTTTAAATTAAATCATCACAAAAGTTTTTCTTGTTGATCAAATTAAAACTTGAAACAAGATAGAAAAAAGCAAAATTAACATAAAACCTTTCATGTTTAGTGTAAAATTTCTTAAGAAAACTCCATAGGAGTAAAGTACCACTTTAATCAAAGATGATGTTCACATTATTAACAATAATTTTCTATTGGTTCTCAAATCGGAAGGCAGTCTTATCAGCCTGGGCATGTATCAAAACATTGTAAGACGTGACTAAAGAAGTCCTATACCGGAAAGAAAGAAACTAACCCTACCCTCCTTTCTCTTCATCCATACAACACTTTCTCTATATTGCCAGTTCACTGTGCAGAGTGAACTGGATAGCAGCAAGATCGGGTCCTTGGCCTTCTTTTCTGCAATTCTAGACTTTGGAAGTCACAACTTTAGATAGTGTTACCATTGAATGAAACACACTAACCTTCGTACGTGTACATTCTGCATGTATGGAAGTTGTAAGATCTAGCTAGCCTGGAGAATGCTTGAGTACCTGATGCGTTGGAGGCCTCAAAGAAAGCTTCAAATTGTGGACGAGAGTCTGAAGTGCCAGCACGTTTGTAACTGAAGAATAAAACACTGAAGAGAGACTTGCCTTCATCTCTGCAATTTCTTGCTCCTTGTTTGACAAATGGATCAGCATGGCAGCATCCCTGCACTGGATAGCGAGCTGTGCAAAGACTAAATCAGCAAATGAAAAGAACAAGGAAAGTCTACAAAATAGCAACAACAAACTTGCAAACCAAGTGAGCTTCGGATGTTTGGAGAAGTTTTATATGATCCAAGATCAGCTTTGAAATCTAGTTAGCTCTAAACCTTAAGTCAAATATAAGTAAAGGAGAAAAAATAACCTTTTACTCTGGGATTTCGTTGTTGTAGCTCGCTGAATTGTGATGCCTCCGGTGAGAGAGCTTTGATGTTCTTCCGCTCACCTGAGAGTTGGATTTCTACACTGCTACTTTCATTGTCTTCGTCATAGCTTTCTTTAATGCTCTTGGCTTGGATTCATCGCCCATCAAGACATAAAGCACAAAACTAATAACACCAATGCTTACGAGAGGGTACACATCTCCAAGAGGATCAGAGCTAAGCTTGAGAACCAGAGAGATCTACACACTCTATATAAGTCAATAGACAACACCAAACTATATAGGAAAAACTTTGCTTTGAAACTGGAGGACTCGTTCGAGCTTACGGAAGAATTGCTGCTGACTGCCTCAAAGACACACCGACGCACATTGTTTCGAGCTTCGTTCCACCAAAGTACATAGATTTTCAATTAGCTTTTGGTCTTTCGTTTGGAAAAACGATGATAGGTACCTTGTAACAACGGCCATAACTCCATCCACACCAGAATTTTCTATGGCACCATAGATTAGCCGTCCTATAATTCCTTCAGGCTCTCCATCATTGCTAAAATGATAGCGTTCTTTGATCTAACCTGGAAGAAAATGAAACACTGAAGCAAGAAAAAGTAGAAGGAAAAAGAAAAGAATCACCTTGTAAGCCCAGCAATTGTGTGTTGCGCGTAGATCCAAGACCTTACAAACAAAAGAATGAGCTAAGATCACGATTTTCTTCTTTGGAAAGCTAAACCTCGAAGAGAGGTTTAGCTTTCCAATGCACCTTGTTCATTGTCCACTGGAGCGGCCATGGTTACTTTGTTTGATCTCGCACTGCAAAGAAACCTTGGACGAGATTGCCAATGTTGCACCATCACTCGAAGATTTCGCTCCTCCCTAATGCATATACATTGGCGCCAGCGCCGCTGTCCTTCCATCGATCGGTGATCTAGCAAGCATTGCTCCCAGGTGAAAACCTTAAAAAAAAATCACTAGCCTTTCGAAATTGCGTTACATAGCATCTTGACAAGTGGCAACTTACGGTGGTCCTACGTGGCAAAATTCTAGTCGTTTATCACCAGAGAATCATCTGCCATCCGCGCTCCATCGATCGCGTTTCCCTGGAATGTCGCTGCTTCACTCGGTACTTGCTGCTAATCCGTAGCCGGGAGCCGTGCTTCACCACTGCCGAGCGCGATGCCGGATTGCGCTGCGATGCTGTGGCAATTTCCAGGCGAGGGAGCTTGGGTAACGGCATTGTATCAATCCCTACGACGAATTCATCAAAATCCAGCCTAGGAAATGAAGAATTACGCTCTTTCTCGATGAAGAATTCCTCGTCGCGGCTTTTTCACTCCCGTCCTGCGACCAACGCAGAAACTCCACCATCGATCGAGGGCGTTCTCGAGGATTCTAAGAGGAACTTTTCACTGATCACAAAGGATTAAGAGTTTTGTGCTCATGTCCTTCTTGTTTAAATATTATACGACTTCACTGGGTCTTGGAGAATGATGAGGATTCGGACGAGACCGTTCTTTTCCACACCCAGCAAGTTCCTCCAATCCAACTGCGTGAAGGCTGGAGCAGTTCTATGGATGGGAGGTTTTTTGCCGCACCATCCCGAGCGAAAGGGGATGATTGATTCATTGAACGCAAACTGTAATCTCAGTAAGTTGATGGCTAGAAGATGAGAAAAACTTTCTCACCTCATGAACATTCCAAATTTTGATATAAAATGCAAGTGCTTAATATAAACAAATTTGAATCTTTCTTCAAAACTATTTGGATGTGTGGCATTCATGCATGTTCCAAAGAAGTTAAAATCAAAATTTGATCTTAATAGAAAACGTTTAATGTCTACATTGCTCTCTCAGACTAGGGAGTGGAAAACATCTGGGCAAAACATTATTCAAGATAGTTAAAACATTGATAAAATATTTCAACAAGCAAAAGTCAAAATAAGGAGACTCTCTCTCTCTCTCTCTCTCTCTCTCTCTCGCGTAGGTAGGCCTGGTGAAACCATGGTGTTCTCCATGGCGACCTCTGGCTTCACCACATCATGAAAGGTAGCAAAAGCGAGTTTGTTTATTGATTTCAAAACGAGCGAGCCGAGTGGGAGTTGCTGCAAGGGCGTCGGTCGCCAAAGCTTTTTCGCGAAGACTAAGAGCGACTGGAGTAGACTCTGGAAGATAAGCTGCTGGAAGAAGATGATTACTGGGAGGAAATTAGCCAGCTATGTCCAGTTCTCTTGGTCTCTTGTATCAGTCTTTGTTGGCTGGGAGTGAGTCTCAGTTGAAAAATGGAAGCCAAATTTCTTACAGAGAGCTCTGACCGACAAATTCGCTTAAAGCCTGTCCAAAATATGATAACTTCGAAGTAAAACCCGGAATCAAACACAGACCTTGGCGATAATTTCCAATCACAGAATAAGACAGTCTTGTAAGTATCCGGCGCGTGCTGTCATAGCTTAGGAGCTATTGAACTCGTAGACAACTCATAGGGGCAAAAATAACCAAATCTTTACAGTTCCTCGTTGTCTTCATCTTCGTCTTCGTCTTCTTCAATTTGAGACAACCTCTGGTAATATTTGGAGCAAAGTTTCTCTTGGAGCTCCCCACGTTTGGGGACCATCAGCTGCGCAAAGCGGCCATCGTTGTGAAAATATGTCTGTAGAATAATCTGCATGAGACGAGCCTTGACAAATTAGCAAATACGCGGTCACTTGACTCGGGATGCCTACCACGGCTGCATATGCATCTACTTCGAGCCTTCGTGATTTCTTGGTGCTGCCCCTGGAAGCAAAGTGTGCTTTTCTGTGAGCCGGCATGTAACGGGTGCATAACTTAACCTGTAGATCATAAACTCCAGCGCATCTTCTGATGTCATGTATTCGTCGTGAAGGAAAACTCTCACACCCCTGAAGACGATCACAAGAAATCAGGGCAAAGATGCACGAGTTTTACGTACTCTTCAGCACTATACTGTGCAAGCCTTCCCGCGAAAGTGCGTGTCTTGTTTGATTGCTCAGTTTCCTGAGCGTCCCATGATCTCGGCAATCCAACTATAAATTCATCAGCTTTCTACAAGTTTGGAAGAAAATATGTATCAAGAAGTAAGCATCTATTTCGACTTTGTTACCTCCTTCTTTGCAACAGACAGCAGCTTCTTGATGAGATTGTCACCCTTGAGTTTGCTGACCTGTTTTAAACAAGGATAGAAACCGAAGTGTTATTAAACAAGACAGAGAAAAAAAAAACTACGAAAGAAAAAAATTCTATATCACCGATAGAGGACGAGGAGCCAAGCCACAGAAGGTCACAGCGATTCCCGTCCTCTCCAGGCCATAATCGATGCCCACGCTTCGTCTCAGCTTGCGCGTTTCGAGCGACTTCTTTAGCCTCGCATTTGGCAAAATGCCGGCAATCCTCGCTACCAAATCCTCCGGACAAGAGGAGGCTACATCGCTAGCGCTCTCGGCCGCACAGCCACATCGATGCACATACCTCGCATTGCCGGTGCCAATGCTGCTGCTCCAGGGAAAGAGGAGGGAAAACATCCCAAAGAAACCCTAAAAGGCTGCGCCTTAGAAAAAGGAGAGTTGTTGTCGACACACATTTCATAGGATCTCAGAACCAATACCTCTAATTTTGTTAGATGGTTCTGTTAATCTTGTTCTTCCCTTTCTCGCTCAAGGTGGACGAAGAAGGAACAAGTTGGCTTTTTGGATCTAGATTTGTTACAATGAGACATGAGTTATGGGCTACACTTCGATGTGTTGAAACTCAAAATTACAACTGGTGTGTTGAAAATTACAACTGGTGAATGTGGTGCAAGGAAGGCTTCCTTGTTCCACCTATGTTTCCAAGCAAGCTTTCCACATCACAAACCCCTAAAGAAGTATGTTACAAAATATGTTCTTTTTCTTACAGATAAAGCAGCAGCAAGGTGAGATTGCCACTGGTTGCCCTACTAATGCGCCACCGAGCTTTGGTGCTGCCACCACTATCACCCTTTCTTGCCGTCTAGACTCCCCTAGTTCTTCTAGAACACGTAAGAGTTTTTTGGTTTGGATGTTTCGAAGTGTTTGATTTGCCGCAGAAGGCGAGTTTGCCACTTCATTCATTGTCAAAATTTTACTTTGCTAAACAAAGTCAAGTCTGTGAAACGTGGTCAACGGCCTACGTCAACGGTCATTCAAAACATACGCTCCTTTGTGTGCTTGGTCCTGTGCGACTGCGTCATATCTCAGTGTGGACCGGAGCATTCTACGTACGTATACTCCCAAGCATACCTGCTTGGAAGTCCAAAAACCTGGAGCAGCTCGAGATAGATCTACTAGCATCGAAGTGTATTTGTCCTCTATGATTCGAGTATGTTTTGGAGTTCCTGGGACGTCCAGAAGCGTAGCAGCTATAGACAGGATTGAGATCTTTCCAAGACTTTTGGAGAAGATGTCGCGCCATAGCAATCGTGATAGGAGTAAGGAGAAAAAGTACAGGGGCGTGAGGTTGCGAAGCTTTGGCAAATGGGTCGCAGAGTTCTGCAGGCCCGACGGGCAGAGGCTGTGGCTGGGAACTTTCCACAGCCCCGAGAGCGCGGCGATGGCATACGATCAAGCGCTGGTCGAATCGCACGGCCCTCTCCACAAGCTCAATTTCCCACACCAATTTCTTCTCAACGATCATTCCAAGGAGGAAGAAGATCACCAATCGCTACAGCCCAATTCCAATTCCAATTCCAGCATTGATGTCAGCCCGGGCAGCGACAGGGACCGCGCAGAGGCGTCGCAATTGGAGCCTGAAGTGATGGTGATAAGAAACGATCACATCGACCATGAAGCGGAAGAAATGTCGATCACACATCTAATCGCCCAGGATCGGGAAGCTGACGCTGCGCGAAATGCATTTGACGGTTGCGCTGTCGTGATTGACGATCGATTGCTCCAGCAAGCGATGGTGACACTGGGAGTATACGAAGAGGAGTATCTCATGAACAATGCGCGGCTTTTGTACGACATGGCCCAGGCCATGGCAGTGAGCCCCCCCTCATGCCAATCTTCTTGCTCTTATTCCATTCAATGCAGTGGTGACGATCGCCTTTGGTGGCATTCGTCCTAGCAATTGGAGGGACTCTAGTTTTAGGGCTCTTGATCATAAACATCATACAAACAAAAGGTGGCGGATCACCGGCTCTTGATCGCGAACGTGTTCTTGAGCTTGCGATAGAGCGGCACGGTGACAAATGCCAGCACCGTGTCCACGATAAACCCCAGCGCGCAAATGCCGATCATGGTCACGTACGTGAGCCTGTAGCATCGCGTTCCAAGGCACGCCCTCCCGGAATATCCAAAGCTTTGGAGCAGACCATTCCACAATCCGGGGTTGGAGATCGAGGGAGCAGCGCTAGCGACAACGCCGAGAGATTTCTGGGCCTCGTAGTCGTAGAGGAATCCCGCCAGGAGGCCCGAGAAGAGGAAGGATCCCAGGGGGATGTTGATGATGAGAATGTTGTAGATGAGGCCGAAGTACTTGAGGCCGAAGAGCTCGGACGCGGTCGGGACGGTGACTGCGAGACGGACGCCGTAGCAGAGGCCGGTGATGCTCGATCCGATGTAAAGAGAGCCGGGGAGCGCTGAGACGAGCAGCACGAAGCCGACGATCATGAGAACTTGCGAGGCCGCCAGCCAGACCGGCCGTGGCACTCCGGAAGATCTGCGCGTATGGAAACACTCGTGAGAACTTGGAACTCGTGAAAACTCGTAAGTTTCTATCCATACCTGAGGAAGTGCTCGGACACGAGACCCGATCCAATGCGGCCAAAGAATCCCCACACGCTAGTGAGCGACACGAAGGTGCCGACATCCTTGTAGCCCAGCGTCTCGCCAATCTGGCCGAGATTGTTGATCACCACCGTGCCCGATCCCATTCCACAGAGCAGTGACACGAACAGCAGCCAGAACTCGTACCTCTTGACGAGCTGGAGCACGTTGTGATCTTCTCCGAGCTTTGGAGAGCCATGGACGATCCGCTCTCCACGGTTCTTCGCCAGATCGTCCTTATCGATTGAGGGGGACGAGGATTGCCCCGGTTGGGTTTGATTCTCCCCCTGTACTTGCTGCGGATGTAGCAATGGTTGATCGAGATTCCCCCCTGTCGGCGCTTCCACATCTTGGGGGATCGATTTGCGAGGCAAGAGGAGGAGCTTGGCCGGGAGATAGAGCGGGAGCAGCAGGAGGACGAGCAAGAAGATCGCGGCGATGGTTCCCGAGAACTTGAGGAAATCGTAGAAGAGGAGGTAGACGCCGAGGAGCGTGGCCATGGAGTTGAGGAAGAAGAAGCCCCGGCGCTCCTCCTCCTGCTCGGGCTTGCTGCTGGCAGGCGCCACCGGGCGGAGGAAGACCATGGCGACGATGCACACCGCAAAGGGGATGATCGCCAGGAGGAGCACGAACTTGGCCGGATCGTTGCTAAAGAGCGCGGAGCACAGCACGGTGAAGATCGCGGTGCTGAGGCCAATGTATCCTTTGAGAATCCCCACCACCGGGCCGCGATTGTAGCGAAAATTGCGAATGGAGGTGACTAGAACCGCGGTGTTCATCCAGGTCGTGCTGTTGCCGCCCATACACAGCACCACGCACATCTGCCAGGAGCGAGATCGTAAGAGAGTGATCGACAGCGAGGAGCAAGAACGAGAGAAGTATTAGAATTCCAGCAAAAGATCCAAAAAGGAAGGACAGATTGGAAGAAATCGAGCAAGAACAAGGGAGCGATCTACCCATTCCTAGCGAAGTATCCATCCAGGCAGGGCAAGGAATGGAACAGACCTGCCAGTAGGGTAGCGGCGCGATTCTCCTGCTGAGGACGAGCCATTGCGCGCCATAGCCGACGAGGCCGTCGAGCGAGCCGATCAAGAGGATGAGCCAGGGGGGGAGGAAATCGGAGGCCAAGCCGGCGAGGACGCCTAGGGCTTTGCCGACGTCCTTGGCGACACCCAGATTGTTGAGCTCCACCTGGTTGTAGCCGCCGATGGATTTGAGCGCCACGGAGTAATTGGAGAAGCCATAGTTGTTGCCGGCGATCGCCTGGACCCAGATTGCCGAGACGAATCCCGCCCATTTGGTGAGAATGTAGCGCCTGCTGTTCTTGCTGCCCTCCTCCATTGGGGCCTTTCTTTGTGCGTCCCTGGGGAGGGAAGAACTAAATGGAGGTGAGAGGAAAGAGAGCTCTTTTTCGGCAGTGGAATTTCTGCGAAAATCCACCCAGGAATCTAGCCTAAGACCCCACTTTGGTACAGGAAGAACGGCTTTGCTTCTAGGTCGTAGCAAATTGGGGGAAATATTTTCAAGCTCTAGGGTTTGTCGACTGTCGAGCTGCGCTCCTACGCTCCGCGAAGCGCTGGCATTGCTGCCGATTGGGTCCCCGTTCAGTGCGCGCGATCATATCTGGCTTCGATCTTGTTTTTTAGGGGATCATTGTTCCTCGTCACGGCTTCTTCTGTGGTTCTTGTTGTTCTTCCTTTGTTTATATTCCAAGCTACGGTTTTGGTGGAGGTCCTTTCCAGCTGTTGTCGGGGAAAGTTTTTGGTGAAGTGTCGGTAACCACTTTTGTTGTTTTCTAGTGTTCCACTCTCTCACGTGTTCTCGTAGTGTTTAATCTGTGGATTTGCTTAACAGGTTCTATGGTTTTTTACACTGCGTGGTCAGGTCTCTTGGCGGCGACATGGAGGCGGCGGGCGAGGATCTAGTCTCGCAGCTCAGGAGAGTTCTCTACAGGCATCAGGTAGAGCTCGAGCCAGCTGCTAACATCGGCTACTCCAGGCGGGATGCTTTGCATGATTCGAGAGATACTCTGGCCTATCTGTCCAAGATGCTGCTGGAAGACGAAGGGGAAGGAGAAGCTGACTCGGCGCAGCAACAAAAGCCTTCCTTTCAAGGTTTGTTCGACGAGCTCTCGGCAATTGTTTCTCCTAGTGAAAGCAGTGATGGCTCGACAGAGGGTAGTGATCAATCGTCCGGCTTAGAGGTAAATTTGGGGAGGACTACAGACATCTACAGTAGTTTGATGGTGTGTGCGAGAGCTGTAGCTGCAAACAATGTTGCAGGCTTCTATGATCTGGCAAGAGACATCAGGGATGCAGTTGCATTGCAATCAACTCCTTTGCAGAAGGTAGCTCGTTTTCTCATTGATGCGCTTGCGGCCAGATTAGCAGGGACAGGGCCTCAAGCTTACAGGGCGATTTCGGCTGGAATTAGTTCAAGAATGCTAGTGGCAGATGCGAGGCTGCCGCTGTTCGCAGTAGCAGTCAACTTTGCCAACAATGTCATATTGCGTGCTTGCGCAGGAGCCAACAAAGTTCATATCATCGACTATGGGGTTCATTGCGGTCGCCAGTGGCCTTCCTTGATCAAGGCTTTTTCAGTACGTCCGGAAGGTCCTCCACAGCTCAAGATCACAGGCATCGATCTTGTCACTGTGCCCGAGGCCTTTGTGGCCGGGCAACGTTTGGCAGCCTTTGCTAGGAGCAACGGGGTACAGCTCGAGTACTGCTCGATCCAGTCGAATTCCTGGGAATCTGTTCAGCCGGTAACTCTTGCCAACGAACTTCTGGTCGTCAACTCCAACATGAGCCTTAAGCGTATGAGAGACGAGTGGATTTCCGTCAACAATCCTCGCAGGCTTTTGTTCGAGAGTATCTACAAGATGAGGCCCAAAGTCTTCGTGATGTGCGTGTCAAACGCTTCGTTTAGCTCGCCGTTCTTCATTCCCAAGTTTGACGAGACGCTAAAGCATTTCACCGCAAAGATGGAATGCCTCGACGCATGGCTGGGCTGGGATTCGATTGGTGATCGCGATTTAATAGAGAAGGTGTTCCAGAGGGCAATCATGAGCGTTGTGGCTTGCGATGGCCTGGAGCAACTGGAGAGGCCAGACAAATACAGGACCTGGGACTCGCGAGCAAAAAGAGCTGGATTTCAACCGTTTCTAATAGGTGAGGAGGTGTATGAGAGGATGAAATCACAGTGGGGAGGCTATGCTTGCAAAAAAAACTTTGGGTGTGGAAAGGATGAGAACTGGATGTTGCTTGGGTGGAAGGATGTAATCTTGTGTGGAATGTCTGCTTGGCAGACTAAAGCTCAAAGTCTTATAAAATTTTGACTGTGTAAGGCAAATTTTCACTTGGTGCTAGTATTTGTATTGCATGCTGATTCTCAATAATGATTTTATATTGATTGATGTAATCTTGTTTATATATATCTAGCACTTGCCCAACATATGTTGTGTAATTAATAAAATATTGTTTTGATTTTATAATATACAATACCACTAAAAATATTTTAGGGCTTTTTCTTATTAAAAACCAAATTCGAATAGTATTAAAATAACAAATATTATATTCCACTTTGATTGAGGGAATTATGCCTAGAAAATGCTAGATGAATAGAAAAATCAATTCTTGTAAACTTGATAATAAAAATATTCAGAACGAAATATATTTCTAGGCATAAGTAAGAATAAATATTCATTAATAAAGATATTATATACAAATTATTATTTGGAAATATGAATATATTTAGAAAAAAACCTGACAAAGAAAAAAGTAAAAATAAGTTTCTATTATCAATAATATGTTATATGTAAATTATATTTTTACTTGGGATAGACTTATTGTGATTTTATCAAACAAAAGAGACTTAATTACTACAACATATTAATTAATTATACGTTTTACTTAGAAAATAAAACAATAAGTTTTTAGGAGCATTAATATATTACTACCCAGATCCAAACAAGAAAATAATTATTTGTAAATATATATGATATAAAAACTATAAATTTAAATTTTACATTCCATAGTATTATGTACTAATAAACTATATTTGCAGTTAGTAAAAAGATTAAAAAATATCACTGTTTAATCAAATACTACATATATTATTGTAGTTTTTTTTGATAATGAGCTACATTGTAAATAGCTAAGGCTATATATTAAAATATAATATGTACTTTTATTGTTAAAGTTGTGTAATGTTTTTGTATGAACATTTGAAGTTTTAATCATGGTCTTACACATTCATAAAACTAAGTCAACCCACATTTAATATACAATCATCTAGTGTTGAATTTTATATGTTTTAGTGATATTTAGATAGGCTATTTGTACAAAATATAATTTTTGTATTATATTTGTAAATACTGTTAAAAATAAATTATAAAAGTTAATTTTGACCTAAAATATTCAAAAATTATAATAATTTATAGAAAAGAATATGTTTAGGTAAATTTGATTATTTTATTCATAAAGTATTAAAAATAAAGTTAATCACATAAAAAATATTCACCCTCTTAGGGTAACCCGTTAAACAAAATTTAAATCTCTGCTAGTTTTGGATTTTGATCTCACTAAAGATATACATAATCTATCAACTCAATAAAATGAGTTTTTGGGATTGTGGATCACTTCATTCCATTCATTGAAGAGTGAAGCACAAAATACTACATTGTAAACATTCATAAGGCCAACTAACAAAATAGTAGCACCACTCTTTGTTGAAATTACATTGCCACCGTCCACTACAATCATAGCTCTTACTATCAAACACATTAGAAAGGCCATACATTCAAAAATCGTTGAAAGGCTAGCCATAGCAAGGAATTCTTGCAGAAGGCTCTATAATAGAGTTGCTTCTGGATTCTCACAGGGCCTTTGAACATCAAGGAAAATCATATGGTGGCCTTCTTGAGAAAAGTATCTCATAGTGGCATGGTGGACCTTCCAGTGCTGGCTGGTTCAACAATATACCGAAATCCATACATATAGGTTGCCTTGCCTCTCATTGCGACTCAAAATTACACCCTCTTCCGGTGCTACTTCTGGGCATTTGCAGATGAAATTGATCAGCCTTCCTCGCCCATACGATGGCAAGGGATTGAGCACAGGCTAATCTTAAGGATCCTAGCAAAGAAATCTAGAAAAAAATTGCTTTTTATTTTCCATGCTAGAACTCTTCTCTTACCTTAGAGGCAAGGATTGTGGTGTCCTATTCCAAGAAGAGAAAGGATATCAATCTTTAATAAGGGGGGGGAGAGTGTTGTAAATATGACTTTAGGTATCGAAAGATACTTGTTGGTTAGTCTTTACAGACACTCTCTTCTTACTGCTATGACAATAATAGGTCAATATTGCTAATTTTCTTTATTAGCCCCTTTTGTCCAAGTGTTAGTAAACTGGATTTAGCATTTGTACTTGGCTGGATGAGCATAAAAAAGGAATTCCTAAATGTTTATTTAGCTAAGCATATTTGGCCCAATTTATTAATTTTCTTTTACTCTATTTTGTATTGGCTTGGCAAGAACCTTCACATATTGAGTCTAGTCCCTTAATACTGCTATATGATAATTTACTATGCCTACCAAACACCCTTGCTATCATGCCCTTTGTGTCAGTCTTATTTTAGTCCCAAATGTTATTTGTGAAAAGTGTTTAGATTTATTCATTTTGCATATCTATGGAATGTAGAGATTGTTTTGAACATAATGGTGTTCATCCCATGTCTAAATTTGCAATCTAGGGACATTTTATATTTCGTAAATTTCAAACTTATCCTAGAAACCCCCTATAACCCCCCTTAAGAACATACACTTTGGGCTTTCCCCCCAAACCTCCCTTAGTACTAGGAGTACTAGATTCCTCGCCATCGCCGATCGATCCACTAGAGCTCCAAAACCCCTGCAAAATCTTACATTGCTGGAATTTCAAATATATAGTAGGGATAGTGATTGAAATGTATGCTCGACCACCTAAAACATTAGTTTAATTTCTGCTAGGTTATATCACTCCTTGTTTTGCACCGAGTTTGGGTAAGCCCAAGCAAAGAACACAATACCTTCACAAGTAAATCGAAGTGACCACAAACGTCTGGATCACTTATGGGCGTATATCTGTCAGCACGAAGCACGAGTTACAGTGATTCCAAGCATAAGACAATTTTACATACGGTTTGATGATCACATTTGGCTTCCCATCCTTTTTTGTATCTATGGCAGCCCTGCAAAGCAAAGAAAAATTCACGTATCTTCATCATGAAGTTTGGTAGCTCCGTTACTTTGTCAAGAGGCATGAAGCAACATTAAGACCCAGTTGCGCATCGTCATCCAAGGCAAACCTGGATGACAAAATTATACAAATAACGTTAGTGCATCGTCTTGTTTTCCATTTTTTCTTTCCTTTTGCCTGTAACATCTCATGTTGTGAGTCACAGGATTTGCTTCTAAGAGTCGAAACTTCCGCCATTCGTTCGAATCCAATGCTAGACGGACAATGTGAGCAAACCATGACCAAAACTTAGAACTTTCGAGCAAAAAGTAAAGCACGAACCAAAATCCCCAGCATCGCACCAGCACTCTAGTCGATGGGGTACCCTCTTCCTTGCGTTAAGCCACTGATATACTAAAATTGTGCCAAACACCATTTAATACCATTTAGTGTGCAAATACGAGATATAGGGAGCTAATGCTCATAGGATTTTATTGGACCCTTGTTTTGGAGTATAACGGGGTTGGAGTTTAGCTTTAAATTCATGTGAGTTATACGCACGAAGCAAGAAGCTTCGAAAATGAATGTCAAATTGCATCATTAGCTCTGATGGCCTTTGATGAAGATAATGCAATTGTTGAGAGGCATCATCAAAATCGTCAACATGTTTGAATGCACATTTGAAGACATTCAGAAGAATATTCTAATCCCCACGAGTTGCTGCCCTCAAACCATTGTACCACTTCAGTGTTATCCCTTAGAGACACATGGGAAATTCATGCAAACATCAAGTATCATCTTAAAAATGATATATGGCAATCACCATGAAGTGATCGAACCAATAGTACACATTATCCTCAGGATTCCTACGAAATAACTCTAGCCGAACATGAGGATTAGCACCAAAAGTAGGAAAAGCTGTACCATATGTCATGAATGTTGCTATCAATTGAGTTTGGTTATTCAATTGCAATCACATAACATCAAGCAATTGCACCAATTATTGCTTCAAAGTTAAAAGAGGAAGAGACAATTACTTTGCCATGAAGATGAATGAAAAAGAAAGAGAAAAAGAAAAGAAATGAAAAAAGTTAGAAAGAAAGAGAGATTTAGATAGTGTAAAAGTTAGATCTAAACTAAAATCCCAAATCCAAGCACTCCTGAAGGATAATTAAAGGTGCCCCTCACTTCCACCAATGTGAGTGCATGGAATTTGGAAAGGAAATATAAAAAATGTGTATATCAATTAGCCCAAAAACCATAACTTATATACAAAATCGAGTGGTCCGAATTGAAACTAATTTGACGGCTATCAAAATCCCACTATGCTAATATTAATATACGACATCGTAGCTATATATGTCCACATGTTATATGCTTTATTGATGCTTTATTGTTTATACCTAGGTAAGCTGAAGTATAAGCAAGTGGCTCATCTTAGTTTCTTTACAAAGTTTATATTAATTATAAATATTATTTATTTAAATTTAAATTTAATTTGGCTATATAATATATATGAATTAAGTTTTTTTAAAAATGAATCTTATCTAAATGAAATGAAGTTAGTATCTTTAATATTTGTACTTGTATTATTAATTCAAAGTGCTATTGCACCACCAAAAGCAAAGTACTCTCCAAAATTTGGAAAATTTAACGTATTAAATCCACAGGATATGGATAAAGTAATTCGTATCATCAATAGACTAATAGGAAAAATAGATTATAAAAAAAAAGATTATTCTAAGTTATTTTCAAGTGGAAAATCTATTCGTGTTTCGTGTGGAATTGTTAAAATTATTATGAAATCAAAAGATGATTGCTCTACATCTGACACACAAGGCACTACAAAGGGTACAAATTTAATTCAAGGCTTTGAAAGACTTATAAATCCATTTATCAGTACACTTAAAATTAATCTTTGTGAATCCTTTGAAAATGAAAATCCTAATTACTTTATACAATATAAATTAGAACCAAAAGAAGAGTTGTTTGAGAAAACTAAAATTTCATACTATACTTATTTATGCCAACTTAAATCTAGTACAGTAATTAGTCCATCAATAATTTATATTGGTGATTTTCTAACTTCTTCAAACGGTAAAGTTATTTTGATTTTAGAATCAAATTGTGTTTTAGTTCTTTATTATCTTAAGGATAAAATTTGGAATTCAGAAACATCACAAAGTAATATTATATATTGTAAATTGAAATTACAAAATGATGGTAATCTAGTTCTATACAACAATTACAAAGCTATTTGGGATTCTAATAAGTATTGTTTTCCAGAATTGAAATGTTTAGAGTTAGATATATTTTATCTTACTGTTCAAAATAGCTGTAATGTAAAAATATATTCTGCAATGTTTGAAGGTAAAGAGTTTTGGAAACTAAACCCTCCATATTTATGTTAAATGTTAAAGGTATTTGTATCACATATAAAGCATTTAATTTATATTGATATCACCAAAAGACTAAAAAAATATAATATATAATATATAATAAAAATTCTAAAGATCTGTAAATTGTTCTTCTATAAAAAATCAAATAAAATAAATCTTTAAACCTTTTATATTGTATATGTTTGAAATATTTAATAAAAACTTGCTATGCTGCTTGAATATTTTATCTATAGATAAATTATGTCAAGATAAATAGAAGCAATTGTTACAAGGTTTTTAACCCATGATTAAGAACCTGATTTAGACCAGGAAAAGTCATAGATAAGGTTTTAAATATTAGAACATCTGAGACCATATTAAACAGAGGGTAGTGAGCTTCTTTATATCCAGACTCTTCTTTGGTTGCTTTAACAGCTTCATGCTCGGGATGGAGAAATTGCCACAGTTTTTAGTGAGTTGGGCTGGGAATCTTTGATATTAACTGTATAGTGGTCCTAGAATCACAATCCAAAGTAAATTCCTCACAAAGAACACTCTCTTCTTTTTAAAGAAGGTGGAAATAAAAAAAAGTCTAGCCTAACCTCCCATCCCTCTTGTTATCCTCCAAGCTCAATAATGATACCTTGTGCCATGTTTCTGGCACACTTTCTATCCAAATTTTAATTTCCCATTTAACTTTTGCTGTCTCCTTGATTTTGAAGATTCCTGGAATCTGCCACGTGGCTGATTTTTGTCCACCTCAGCTACCACGTCGATCAAGGCTGTTTCCACCACGTGCGTTAGACTTGGATCATAAGGGTCTGTCTTTGCAGGGTTTCTGGCGCGGATGGGAAATCTGGGGGAGGATTTGGTAACCAAGCTGAGAAGGGTTCTCCAGCAACACGAGGTAAAGCTCGAGCCAGCGGCTAGTTTCTACACGGAGCAGCAATGGTCGCCTGATTCCAACGATCCAACGCTCTCCTATCTGTCCAGAATGCTCATGGACGAAGACGACGAGGTTGAATCTCTTCCTCCGCAGAGATCTTACCAAGGTCTGCTGGACGAGCTCACGGCAATCGTTTCCCCTTCTTCCTCGAGCAGGGAGAGTTCCAGGGAGAGCGACTCACCAGGCTCACCCAGCGACGCAGGTTTCGTCAGTGGCGTGATCGACGAGTCCCCAAATTCTCCGACTGTAGATATACAGTGGTGCTTGATGGAGTGTGCTCGAGCCGTAGCAGCCAAGGACTTCGCGGCTTTCTACGCCCTGGCAAGCGATCTCAGGCAAGTGGTCTCGTCACAGTCGACTCCGCTAGAGAGGCTTGCGATGTTCTTCATCGAAGCGCTGGTAGCCCGGGTGACAGGAACAGGGCCGCAGACATACAGGGCTCTGGCGGCTGGAATGACCACCAGGAGGATTCTCTCGGGCAGCCGGATCGCGTGCCTCCCTTCCTCGAGGATCCACACCTTCGCCAACGATGTGATTCTCCGAGCTTGCGCTGGAGCGAGGAGAGTCCACATCGTCGACTATGGGCTCTTCTGCGGCCAGCAGTGGCCGTCGTTAATCAAGGCTTTGAGCGTCCGTCCGGAAGGTCCTCCACATCTCAAGATCACCGGGATCGATCTGCCAATGGTTCCCGAGGTGACACAAGCGGGGCAGCACCTGACCGAGTACGCGAGATCACACGGTGTCCAGCTCGAGTTCTGCTCGATCCAGTCCAACTCCTGGGAGACGGTCCAGCCGGTGACGCACTCGAACGAGTTCCTGGTCGTCAACTCCAACGGCAGGCTGCAAAACATGAAGGACGAGTGGGTCGCCATTAACAATCCTCGCAAGCTTCTGCTCGAGAGGATCAGCAAGATGAGCCCCAAGCTGGTGGTGATGACCGTGGGGAACTCGTCCATGAGCTCGCCGTTCTTCCTCCCAAAGTTCGAGGCGGCGCTCGAGTATTACACGGCGAAGATGGAGTACACGGACGCGTGGTTGAGCGACGATCTGGAGCAGCGGAGCTTGATGGAGAAGACGTTCCAGAAGGTGATCATGAACGTGGTGGCGTGCGATGGATTGGATCAAGTGGAGCGGCCGGAGAAGTACAAGACCTGGGACGTGAGGGCCAAGCGCGCTGGATTCAAGCCATTCCCGGTCGAGGACGAGGATTACGAGAGGATGAAGACTACGTGGGGAGGATACAAGTATAGCGAGCACTTTCGGTGTGGAAGGGATGAGAATTGGGTCCTGCTGGGGTGGAAGGACGTGATCATGTGTGCAATGTCGGCCTGGCAAACCAAAGCTCGCTTCTAATCGCAGGATGAACATGGAGAAATCTCTCTTCCTCTTTTCTTTGAAGTTTTTGGTTTACTTAAGCAAATCTCAAATATATTTGAATATTCTAAAATATTCTACCATCTAATGGTTGTTATTCATTTAAATCAATCTTGTATTTATAATTTATAAACTTTCTTAAACCCTTTCTAGTATATTCTTTTTTATTTTATCATTTAATAGTTGATATAATCTTGTGTTTATAAACTACAAACATGCTTATAATTATAAATTTTATTTGATCAGTTGGATTAATAAATAAGAATAACTTAAGCAAACCAAGCGTTTTAAAGAAATGCTAAAAGCCCTAATGTTTGCCGCCAAGCGAGCGCTCTAGGGTTAGAGGATGCCGCGGGAGCGAGGATTCCATCAGCTGATCGCATGAACGCGCCCGGATCGGCTCGGTGGAATGCCCTTGCCTGGGAATGCGGCAGGTTTTGATGATGATGTGAGTGTGTTCTTCCTCTTGTTTATCGCTTGAGACCCTGGTTGGATCGGCCAGGGTATCGACTGGGCGGCGGCCGTGACGGAGGTGGAGAATGTGGAGGCCGGGTATTTGCAGAGCAAGCAAAATGTTGAGGCGCAGCATCGAGCTGGGCGACAGCAAACACTCGATTCTTTCTTTAGAGGACGGGCGAATAGTGGTGAGCAAAATCAAGCTAGAGATGGAGATGTGGAAGGGATACAAGTGCCCATTGATCCTGTTGCTGCGACTACTTGGGTGTATCCAGGTTTGTTTCATACATTCTCTTCAATTCGATTTCTTTTTTAGTTCCGAGTTATTTCCTTCACCAACAATTACTTGAAATCCTTTCTGATTCGTCTTCTTGCGCGTTTTCTTTGTGTTGTTTACCTGTTTTATCTCTGATCTTTGCGCAGAAAATGTTCCATGTCGGGAGTATCAGTTCTCTATTGCAAAGACGGCGCTCTTTACGAACACCTTGGTTTCACTGCCAACCGGACTTGGAAAGACATTGATTGCCGCCGTAGTGATGTACAACTTTTACCGATGGTTTCCGGAAGGTATGCTTTCGGATGGTTTCTTCCTTTGATTCTCAAGGTGATGTCTCTCTCGTAGGAAAGGTTGTGTTTACAGCTCCTTCGAAGCCACTGGTTGTTCAGCAAATTGAAGCCTGTCACAACGTTGTGGGCATTCCTCAGGTACGTTTGCTAGTTGTGATGGCCTTTACAGTGGAAATTGTCTGCAGGCGTTGACGATAGATATGACAGGACAGATTAATCCCTCGCAACGAGCAGCTTTTTGGAAAAGCAAGCGGGTCTTTTTTGTTACACCACAAGTTCTTGAAAAAGACATAAAGTCTGGTAAAGTATCCTTTCTCGCTTTTCTTTTCGTCTTGATCGATTGCCGAATACAGGTAGTTGCCCACTACAACAACTTGTCTGCCTTGTTGTGGATGAGGCTCATCGCGCTCTTGGAAATTACGCGTATTGTGTGGCTGTCCGAGAGGTTATATTGTAAAAAAAATTGTTCTTGTTTTCGGTGCTAACGTACCACAGACAGATAATGGCTGCGAAAATAGTGTTGCGAATACTGGCTTTGACAGCAACACCTGGATGTAAGTTATAGAAACATCCGCCTTTACTTCCTGAAATGTTTTGGCTGCAGCTAAACATGCAACAATACAATCTGTCGTTGATAATCTAAATATATCTTGCCTGGAGTACCGTGACGAGTATGATCACGACGTGAGCCAGTACACGCACGACAGGAAGCTCGAAGTTATTACGGTATGATTTTGCTACTTGGAAATTAGAGAAGCTGACGCGATGCTAGTTCACGATTTTATTTGTAGGTTCCGTTGAATGCAGAATCGAAGAAGCTCAGAGACATGCTTTCAGATATCCTCCAGCCAGTAGTTTTAAAACTCTGTAACTATGGAGTGTTTTACAACAGGGATATTGCAAGGGTACAGTTTTCATTCGTCATGATCTTGTTCTGATGGTTTTTGGTGCCAGCTCACTCCCTATGAATTTCTCACTGCGAGAGAGAAATTTCGACAAGTTCCTCCAGTATCTCTTGCTCAAGGGCAAACTGGTGAACTGGAAGGGTGTTTTGGAGTAGGTATAACGTTATGCCACATACTCAAGCTACTTTCTAGTCACGGTATAAAACCAGCCTTTGAAATGCTTCAACAAAAATTGCAGCAAGGGTACGACAGTTTCCCATATTTCTAACTACTGATAATTTCTTTGTCACAGGTTACTTGCACGGATGATGGGTCGAAATGAAAAGCTGCTTCATGTTAAACAGTTAATGCAGCAGACTATAAATCACGGTGCTCCAAGTCCTAAGCTTGATAAGATGGAAGAAATTATCTTGGCTCACTTCGGTAAGAAGATCGCTTTTTTATTAACATGTTAACTCCCTCTCCACCGTCAGGTGCTGACAATTCAGGGAATACAAGGGCAATTATCTTCACGAATTTCAGGGAGAGCGTAAAGTATGAACTTCAGAACTTTTCTTTTTGTTCCTGATATGCTTGCCTTAGGGACATAATGGAGTGCTTAGGCAAGATTAACGGTCCCGTGAAAGCTATGGAGTTTGTTGGGCAAAGCTCTGGTTAGTTTCATATCTACCTATAAGATGCTCAACTTCTTTGCAGGGAAAACTTCTAAAGGACAATCTCAAAAGATTCAGCAGCAAGTGCTTCAGGTCTGCTTCTTTTTTGGAAACATGAAAATTGTGTGACATGTTGCATTTCAGAAGTTTCGAGCTGGTGGTTACAACACTATCGTCGCTACCTGTATTGGTGAAGAAGGGCTCGACATTATGGAAGTGGATCTGGTTATCTGTTTTGATGCCAATATCTCTCCTTTGAGGATGATTCAACGCATGGGACGAACTGGCCGAAAACGTGATGGCCGAGTGGATATCCTTTTTCTAGCTTTTGTATGATATACTGGTTTCCTTGACAGACGGCACTTGTTTTGGCTAGTGAGGGAACAGAAATTCAAGGTTATCTGAACAAACAAGCTAAAGGCAAAGCTATCGGCAAGCACATGATGAATGGTGGGCTACGAAGCTTCAACTTTCATGCCAGCTCTAGAATGGTAAATGTTTCCTAATTGCTATATGTTATAACATTTCTTTATCATGCAGGTTCCTCATGCCTTTACACCACAGGTACAAATGACAAAGCTTACAATTGAGAAATTTGTGCCTCGCTTTCGTAAAGCGAAACAAGACAAAACTCAAACGACATTTAATCCGATTGCCGAGCTTACAGCAGACGAGAGCGCGATGCTGTCAAAGTACTTTAAGTCACCGGAGGAGGAAATCTGGAGTCCATCACTTATTGCATTTCCGAATAACCAGCTTATTGCTACTGCTATTCACAGTGTTAAACATTCCTCAAGGACCACCTCAATGCTTATTGATGTATTGCAAGAGCTGCGTGAGCTGCGTGAGCTGCCACCTCGGAACGCTATTGATACACTCCCGCCTTCAAATGCCGTTGATAACAGTCACCGTGAACTGCCGCTTTCAAAAAGTGATAAGGTACATATATGTTGAGTATATGGCTGGAGTAAGTTTTGTTTTGCAGGTAGCCAAAAATGACGAAGACGCGGTCTTTGACCATGCTGGTGATCAGGGCTGGCAAGACTATCCATTTCATCCAGATCCATATGAATCACTTGTAGACGCAAGTGCTGAAAATGCTCCAGCAGAAACTTTACATCCTGCTCCAGAACAAAGCTCTCCGCCAAACCATCAATTTTACTTCACCAATGGTGCCATTTCCATCACAAATGAGGGGTACGTGATGGTATCTTCACCACCTGATTTATTCGGAAGAGCACCCGATAGCAAGCAGCTAGAAAGCACACATAACGCGTCTCCGGTGCCAATAAGTGAAAGTCCGAAACTGGTGGAATTCGTGCCAGAAACACCTGACATCGCAAAGGCGGAAGTAATCTTTGAAAGTCCCATTTTTACAAGACTGCCTTCGGAGGCTCGTGTCCAGAGAAGTGGCGGAAACAGCAGTAACGAAGACTGGAAGTGTCCTAGTAGTGAACTTCCCTCCGCAGTTAGGAAGCCTCGTCCTTTGAAACGGCTTAAAAGGGGACGAGAACTTCTGCCACTGTTGGCAACTTTCAAAGATGAAAATCGGGCGACTGATACAGGTAATATACATATCGTGATCCGCCGATTGAATCTCAACTTGCTTCATCTTTCAGAAAAGGAACAGATAAAGGAAGCCGTTCGGCATTTTATTGATGACGAGGCCGAGTATGTTTTCCTTATATTGTTTGCTGTCTAATTGTTTTTCGCTGTAGAGTTTCTTCGGATGCGGAAGTTTCTCCTGACACTGATCATGAAAATTGTACGTGTAGCGATAGTTTCATTGACGACAATGTCCATACCAGCGGTCCCGGTAGCGGTGCTCCTGTGGATATGATGGCGATTTACAGGTCTGATGAAAGGGTGATGTTCCACTCTTTTATTGAACTTTCATTTTTACAGACGATCCCTGCTCTCACAGTCCCCGGCTGAAGCCTTGGCTTACATGCGGTCCCTTCATTCCGGCAGCACTCCTACTTCTAGCAGCCTATGCAAGTCATCCCAAAAATCCTCTCATCAACCATCGGTTCCTGCATCCGACAGTGGTAAAAAGTCCGTCACGTTTAATTTACTACCGCCACGGCCCGAGTTGCACACACGTAACGAGCAAGAAGAAGTCGAGTGCAGCACGAAGGAATTTAGAAAGAGGAAGCTGAGCTTTCATACGGGAGCAGGCCCGTCAAATAACGCGATAGACGCAGCAGTGAAGACTGATGTGGAGGTATCAAATGGCATTAGTTGCAGGACAGGCATGGAAAACAGGGATCCTTGGAAAGCTAGTACAGGTGCTGGGCCGAGCCACGAGCCAATCGCGGACGACTTCTTTGATGATCTAGATCTTGACGCACTGGAGGCTGAAGCTACTAAACAATCTCGGTTACGCGGTACCCAAGCAGGTATAGAACAACAGATGGACGAAGATTTTGAGTGTATACCTTCATTCGACCTCGGTATATAGAGGAGCAGTACAGGTGGGTTACGATTTTAATCTTGTCATTTACTGGAAAGAGGCGAGCTCTCGTGTGGCTAGAAATGGAGGAAGGAATTCAATGACCACGGCATTGTTTCAAGGGGTTTACAGCAGCACTAGTGGAATGGCCGGGATGGTAGGAAATTCGGCGTTTCTGATGGGAAATTATGAGCAGCACAGGCATCTTACAGCAGGCATCCACTTCTGTAGAAGGAGAGCTTCGAGTCTTCGCTCTTCACTATCATACTCAAGTCCCTCCTGCTCGTCGTCGTCACCCAGGGAAAATGAACCGGTGCAGGAGAGGCTGGGGCCTTCATCATGGACTGCCAAGGATTCTGTAGGCGAAGATTATCTCTACAGGCTTGGAAAAGAGGCCGATAATATGAACATCACCGTCGGAGCACGTCAAGGGATGATCGATAACGTTTTTGTTGGTGATTTTCTTGGAAAGGAAGGTAAGCTTTTGACGCTCGTTTGTTTCTTCGTCCTCTGAAGTGTTGTTTTCCCCAGCCGATATTGTGTTCGCTTACAGGCAGAAAGTCACACGTTCGTTCGAGCATTTGCAAGGAGACTACTATATAGCCCCGGCATTTCTGGTATGTCACTTGTGTCGTTTGACTATAACCATTGTTCTGACAAGGACTTACAGGATGCTGTAGGTGAGTGTATAAATTCTTGTGACCGAAATCGGAGCTAATGGATATGACCTTCTAGTGACGCACATTGTCAAAAATTATGTTGCCGAGCAGCTAGACACTAGTGTCCCTCTCATCCTCGGTATGCATTTTCCCAGTACGTTATTTCTTTCACTCACAAATGATACAGGTGTATGGGGTGGTAAAGGGCAAGGAAAGACTTTCCAGACCGAGCTAATATTTAAGGCCATGGGAGTGGAGCCTGTCATCATGTCTGCGGGAGAAATGGAGTCGGAAAGAGCTGGTGAGTTCATGCGTTTTGTATGGGAAGCTAAGCTTTTCTCGTTCTTCATCCAGGTGAACCCGGACGCTTGATCAGGGATCGTTACAGAACAGCTGCACAAGTTGTAAAAAATCAGGTACGTGCTGCGACTTACTGGACAAAAGCACTCTTTAACGTCTCTGTACCAGGGAAAACTGAGCTGCCTGATGATCAACGATATTGATGCTGGCATTGGGCGATTTGGTAGGCAAGTGCAAATTGTTGTCAGGGGAAGTTTATTTTTGTTTGACTCACGGTGCAGAAAACACCCAGATGACAGTGAACAATCAAATTGTGGTGGGTACGCTGATGAACCTGGCCGACAATCCAACACAAGTTAGCGTTGGTCAAGATTGGCGGGAAGGAGACGTTATCAAGCGGGTTCCAATTATCGTAACGGGGAACGATTTCTCGACTCTTTGGGCGCCGCTTATTCGCGACGGTCGAATGGACAAGTTTTACTGGTATGTGTACTGCGCTCGGCTTGTGTACCACTGCTTGGTTCTGATCTACTTCGCAGGCAACCAAGTAGAGAGGATCTGATCAATATTGTCTACCGTATGTACTCCAAAGACGGTCTTTCACGCGTGGACGTCGAAACTATTGTTGACAAATTTCCTAATCAAGGTAAGGGTCGCTCTCGTGGAAATTGACGACGTGATTTGGACCATCTTTGATTAGCTCTAGACTTCTACGGTGCTCTAAAGTCCAGAGCATGTGACGAAGAATTGTGGAAGGTAGTCTTGACTTCATTTTCCTTACGGCTCTTATGCTGCTGAGTGCTGCCTGCAGTGGCTGGAATCTAATGGTGGTCCCGAGAAACTCAACGAAATATTTCGCCAGAGCAAAAAGAAAACCATTGATTTCAATCCGCCTGAGGTACTTATATCTATTTGAGGTAACGGATTTTGATTGCTAGCCTTTGTAGCAAACACTCACGAGTCTACTGAAAGCCGGGACCTCTCTAGTCGAGGAACAGAAAATGGTGACAAAGATGCGACTGTCTGATGAGTACATGAAGAAACAAACCGGTGAAGGTGGTCTGATCGGACTTTCTTAGAATTCAGTGTGATGCCTTCGAGGAGGAGGCTTTTGATTCATGAACAAAAAACTTATGTTTCTCCGGGTAAGTTCTAAGTAGTGACGTCACGGGGTCATACAACTCCTGGACTATTAGTTGTATAAGCATTCACACATTTCCCGAGGAAAAAAAAGAGGACAGGAAAGAAACTCAGAGATGGAGGAAGCGAAGGATCGCAGCTTAGAAGTGACACCGACATGGGCTGTGGCCATCGTCTGCTCCATCTTCGTTCTTGCGTCCTTCGGTTTGGAGCGATCCATTCACTTCACTGGCAAGGTAATACTTGATCGTTCTTTCGCTGATCTGTTTTTCTCTTGCTCTGATGCTGCAATTGAATTTTGCAGTGGCTGCAGCAGCGGGAAGAGAGATCGAGAAGCAAACCGTTGTACCAAGCACTCGAAAAAATCAAAGAAGGTTTGTTTCTAGTCACCGATTTGTACAAGAAATGCTGTTCATTTCCATGCAGAGCTTATGCTTCTTGGCTTTGTGTCTCTCCTGCTCGCATCTTTCGGAGATGGAGTGACTCGCATTTGCAGATCGCCGACACGGCGTATGATCCCGTGCGAGGAAACGGAGGCCGAAGTTGACGAGATCAGCAGGTTCAATTGCCCCGAGGTGAGCTGAATTTTAAGTGATAGCCTCTTGGATTGATGGTGGTCATGTTCAGGGTAAAGTTCCTTTCATTTCCAAGTCCAGTTTGCATAAGCTCCACATTTTCATTTTCCTGTTGGCGATTGTTCATGTGGTTTATAGTTGCTTTACACTGTTACTTGGAAGATACAAGGTGTGCAAGTCTGGATTGGGTTTTCGCTTACTCGTTTTAGTCAGGTCCATTGCTGGGGAGTGTGGGAGATTGAAGCGCAGAGGTCTGAAGAAGAAACAGGTAAATTCCGCTGCGCACTTTGCGCTAGTTTTTAATAATATTTGTTGCATGGAATCGCGGAGCATGGCCCAGCATTACCAAGACTGAATAGACAGCGGACGTTTTTGCACAAGCATGCAAAGCCGAGATACATGTCGTCGCCGTTTTTGAGCTGGATCGTGAGTCCGTTTTCTGTGCTTGAGTTTATCTCGAACACTAACCTTTGTTTTGGCAGGTCTGCTTTGCTCGACAGTTTGGCAGCTCTGTGACGCAAACTGAATACACAGCTCTTCGTGTTGGGTTTCTGCAGGTGCGTGAAGAAGTTTAGAAATTGTTTTCTGAAGGCTTGTATTCACAGAAGCACCGGCTGAGGCCAACGTTCGACTTCCATCGCTACATTCTTCGTGTTTTGCACGATGATTACAGAGATGTTGTCGGGATCAGGTACTTCCTCTCTTCTCTTTCACATTTTGGGGTGAAAGAGAAGTGTTTCATTCTTTAGTGGTCCACTGTGGCTTTTCGTGGTCACGTTTCTACTGCTTGATATCAAAGGTATGTGATACAGAAAACCGCTTCTCAATTGACAAGTTAGCGTACAGGCTGGAACACTTACTTTTGGATCTCTTTCCTTCCTTTGGGTGTAAGAATTTACATACGATTTGTTTGATCATATTTTCGGTTTGTACTTGCAGCTTCTACTTGTTATTGGAGCAAAGCTACAGTATGTGATCATGTCGCTAGCAGGAGAAGTTGTGAGGCAGCAGCATGATGAAGAAGCCACTGCTAATCTCCGAGACGATCTTTTCTGGTTCAAAAGGCCACAGCTCGTATTGCATCTTCTCCACTTTATTCTCTTCCAGGTAACTGAATCTCTTAGTGTTCTATGGATTTCTCATATTCGTTCGTTTTAATTCCAGAACGCTTTTGAGCTTGCGTTCTTCCTGTGGATTTGGGTAAAGCGAGTCATACATGGCTTATATAATCTTCTCCTGACTCGTCTTCCACGCAGAGAACACTTGGCTTTACGTCTTGTCTGATGGAGAGGCTTGGATTCGTGATCACTCGATTGGTCATTGGGTAAGAGGGACCTCTTTTCTTTTCTTTTATTTTCCAGCTAACTTTGCATCACGTCATTCACGACTGCAGGACTATCGTCCAGGTCCTATGCAGCTACAGTACGCTCCCGCTTTATGCACTGGTGACACAGGTGTGTTTCACGATTCTCATTTCATTTCCAGGAGCAAAAGCACAGGCACTCACTTTCTTGTCTCGTGTAGATGGGGAGTCACTACAAGGCTGCCATTTTCAATGAACACGTACAGCATGCTTTGAGCAGCTGGCACGCCCAAGCCAGGCACAGAGCCAAGCACCATCTTTCCATCCAAAACTCCGACGCGAGCCAGCCTCACTCTCATGACCAGGCGGAGGAAGTCGAGCTCAATCCAAGCAACACCACTTCTTCTGAGTGATCATACGACTGGTGAACATGATTCGGCTATAGCAACTAGACTGGATTTATAACTATTCAAGCGATGCAGGAAGTCTAGCAAACGGAGAGAAAGAAAAAAAAGGGAAGAAAACGAGCAAGCATTCGTAAGTGGTTTCCTGCTTTACCTTGCTTGGAATATATCTCGAAGAGACGACCCCAGCAAGAATCTAAGCACTTAAAAGAGGAAATAATGTAAACAATCACCAAACTTCCACCTGGACCGCAGAACTTAGCGAGAAACTTACGAGCGAAGGGAGAAATAGTACCATGGACAAAGCAGGCTTAGGTAGCTAGCCGCGCTGGGACACGGCTTTCCTTCTTGTTCACATCCATAGCTAAAGATCGCTAATATCTCTTGTCGCTCTCCCTCGTTTTTTTCCTCTCGCTCCTTGTTCTTCCGGTGGCCATGGCCGAGGAGGAGAAACATGTCGAGGGTGGCTCCCTGGAAGTCACTCCGACATGGGCGGTCGCCTTGGTTTGCTCGATCTTCGTCCTCGCGTCTTTCGGCCTGGTGCGAGCGATCCACCACTTGGGCAGGGTAATGTTAAGCCGATCGATCGGCCGAGCGATCGGGCCACTTGGGCTTACGAATCTACATGCGTGTCAGTGCAGTACCTCCGCAGGCGCAAGGAGAAATCGCTCTACCAGGCGCTGGACAAGATCAAAGAAGGTATGGCTGTTTTTTTTCCGGAGCCTTCGAGCTCTCAAAAAATGTGGCTTTTGCTCGTGTTTTGTGTGTGTTTGTAGAACTCATGCTTCTGGGATTCATATCGCTGCTCCTGACGGTGTTCCAGCCCGTGATCGCCAGCATATGCATGCCACACAACTTCATCGAGCATATGCTACCGTGTAAATTCGATACCAAGACACTGACATTGGCGGGAGAGGCTCCACACGGCGCCCCCAACGGGACCTCCGAAACTCCATCGGGTCACGCACGGAGGCTCCTCGCTCTCAATCGGCGTATGCTCGCATCCGAATCCTCAAAAGAGGCCGCGGAGACGTCAAAGTGCTTCGCCAAGGTCTAGTCTAGTCTAGTCTTTGCTTTTTTTTTTTCCTCTCTTCCTTCTTTTTCTTATCACTCACGGCCTAGAACTTCGAGAAACCATGAGCTTTGTATCGTTTTTCTTGCAGAATAAGGTCCCTTTTGTTTCCAGAGAAGGCCTTCACAAGCTACACATTTTCATCTTCGTGCTGGCCGTAGTTCACGTAGTCTACAGCTGCCTAACGCTGATATTAGGAAGATACAAGGTACGTTTTTTTTCTCAGAACAAACAAAGAAAGAAAAAACAAGAAACACTAAAGAAAAAATAAATCCAGGTACACGGATGGAGTGCCTGGGAAAGAAGGGCGCAAGCCGAACCGCAGACCGAGACACCAAGTACGTCAAATTTCCTTGTTTCGGACTGTCCTCCAGACAAGCCGTGTTTCACCTTTCTGTTTTCTTTGTTTCTTCTAGGCATAAAGAAGCGCGGCAAGCTTGTCAGACAGAGCACATTTCTAAAGAAGCATGCCAATCCAAAATGGATATCATCAGACTTTCTCAGCTGGATCGTAAGTAACTCGAGCTTTGCAAAAATCTGTAGCAAAACGAGGATGTTTTCTTTCCAGGTTTGCTTCTTCCGACAGTTCGGGCGTTCCGTGACATATACCGAGTACCAGACACTCCGCCTGGGATTCATTCGAGTAAGCAAGCAGTCGTCGTCGTCGTCGTGTCATGCGGTAGAGCTTGAGTGTTGTGTTTTTATCTCTTTGCAGAACCACAACTTGACACCCTCGTTTGACTTCCATAGGTACCTTCTTCGGGTACTGGAAGATGACTTTAAGAAGGTTGTAGGCATCAGGTAACCTCTTCTTCTTGTTTTCGTTCCAAGGAACAACTAATGATTTATATTGCAGTTTCTACCTTTGGTTTTTTGTGGTGCTCTTCCTATTGCTCAACGTCAGCGGTATAGCTTGGATTTCTTTCGAATTTTCTTCAAACGCATTTGTGAAAAACTTGCAGGATGGCACACTTATTTCTGGATTGCCTTTCTTCCGCTGGGGGTTTGTAAATTTTCTCCTTTGTTTCCATTTTTTGATTCATGGGCTTGCAGATCCTTTTGGTTGTTGGAGCCAAGCTACAGAATATCATAATGGCGCTCGCGGTCGAGATTGCGGAAGAGCAAAAGAACCAGTCGACCGTGGTGGTCAATCTTCGAGACGAGCTCTTCTGGTTTAATCGGCCGAAACTCATCCTCTATCTTATTCACTTTGTCCTCTTCCAGGTTTTCTTCTTCTTTTTCTTTTTTTTTTACCTTAGCTTTCAGACTCCTCTTATGGTTTCTTTGCTTCACAGAATGCGTTCGAGCTCGCCTTCTTCGTGTGGATATGGGTAAAACTAATCTTATTCAGTGTTGCTGACTAGCAACTGCATGTTTGCTTTGCTTGCCTTGCAGGCAGCGTTTGGTTTCGATTCTTGCTTCATGGAAAATCTTGGTTTTGTCATCACGCGTCTTGTCATTGGGTAAGGCACTCCCAAAAGCCTGTTTTTTTGAATCTGTTTCATCGCGCTCTTTTGGCCTTTTTAACCGCAGCACTTGTTCTGTAGAGTCATCGTGCAAGTCCTGTGCAGTTACAGCACTTTACCACTCTATGCGCTAGTGACACAGGTATTTCATTGAGGCTATACACAGATAATCGCCTTTGCTGAGTAATCCCTTTCCTGTAGATGGGAAAACACTTCAAGTTTGGAGAAGATATACAGAGCGTACTGACGAACCTGCATGCCAAAGCCAAGAAGAAGTCCGTGCACGGTGGCTCCGGAAGTGGCGGCGGTGGTGAGACAGCGGCCACAACAGCAGGAGCAGCAGCTCCGGCCAAGCCCAATCTTCGGATGGCTGCCGCTGCCGCTGCTGCTGCTGCTGCTGCGAAGAAATCTTCTCAAGATCCAGAAGATCACGCGCCCCAGAAAACTTCCGAGCTAGAAATGCAGCAACAAAAGCAACATCTTGATGGCGAGCACGAGGTAAATTCTTGAGCAGGAAGAATCAAACAATGTATATTACCACCCCCGCTATAAGCTTCTGTGGAGAGAGATATGCCAATCACCTGAGTGTGAGAAATTTTGCTAACCTTCGAAGAAACGCCCACTCGACAAATTCAAAAATCGGTTGCTTTTCAGCTGAATCCCGAGGCTCGCGGGATTCGAGACCGCGATCTCTTTTGTCCAGCTAGGGTTTTAGCTCTGCTTGCTAGTAGTGGAAGGAAATGGTGGAGCAAGAGGCTGTGGAGGCGCTGGTGATGAAGAGGCGGGAGCGCGTCCAGAAGAAGGTTGAAGAAGGTGAGTCCGCATTCCTTTGCCTCCTGCGATCCAATCAACGCTCAATACTGTCAAGTATTTTTTACAGTCTTCGATTTTGCTTGCATTGGCCCTTTTCTTTTGCATTTTGGTGTTTCTTCCTCTTGGTCTTTTCGGTTTTTTCTTTCGTTAAGTTTGGTATTCTTTTTGCTGGTGTAGAACTTCGCAGCAAAATGAAGGCCCAAGCGTTCCGGAAATGCGACCCTGTTGTGGCCAAGTACGCCGAGTGTGCCAAAGGGAGGACGTTTTCCATGGCCTGGGCTTGCCGAGCACAGGCCAAGGAGATGAACGAGTGCCTTCACCTCTAGTAAGTGTTGTGCTTCTCCTTCTCTCTTTAAAATCTTGGGCTTATAGAGTAACTGGTTTCCTCTCAGTACTACAGATGCTGTGCTTGAGGAGTACAAACAAGACTACTTGAAGCAGCACACGCTCAGATAACAGTTTAGGAGTTTGAATAATGTTTTGATAGTAACTGTGGGAGCTGGATTTTAGTGACAACAAGTATGCAGCTTTCGTTATAGTTCAGTGCGTTGCAGCAATCCTTGATTCTCTTTGTCCATCACAAAACGTACAAATTTGGCAAAAATAAAAAATTACAGCAGCATCCACTCTTCTCGATTATTATACTAAATTAGTGTGGTAAACAAAACAAATATTCATTAGTTTTGTTTTAGCTAGAAGATGAATATATAAGTTATTTATTAGTAGCTTAAAATCAGAGTGTCTGATTAACTGTAATCACTAATAGCAATGGTTGAGTATATAAAAGTACTTATATTTAAAATATAAACAGCATAAATCATTTTCACTTTATACAATATAAAAGGGTTCTCCAATTATATAATAAAAATAAATTAGTGGTAATGCAATTTAGAATCTTCTATTGCTCCTTATTCCCATTAGTTTTTCAGCTATTTGACATAGAACAAGTAAAATTTTATATATTGTTTCTTTTATCTATAATATTAATACTAACTCAAATTTTTAGTGCATCACCAAATTCACCACCATCACTTAGTAAATATGAACCAAAATTTGATAATTTTTAAGTGCTAAATTCACATGATATGGCAAGGGTGGTTGGTGCAATCAAGGCACTAATTGATAAAATTAATTATAAAAAAAGGATTATTCTTATACTTATTCAGATGGAGATTCAGTTAGTGTTTCTTGTGGTATTGTTAAAATATTTATGGAAGCTAAACCTCAATGCTCTACATCTAAAACACCAACAACTTCATCAGGTTCAAATTTAATTATGGGGTTTGATAAGCTTCTAACTCCATATATTAATGCTCTCTATATTCATCTTTGTGATTCTTTTGTAAATAAAATCCTCATTACTTCTTGCAGTTTGAATTAGAAAAGAAAAGAGAATATTTATATGAAAAAGCTACAACTTTATCTAATTTCTTTTTATGCTATCTTAAGTCTAATACATTAATAAGTCCATCAACAATTTTAATAGGACATTTCTTAATTTCTCCAAATGGTAAAGTATTTGAATCAAATTGTAATTTAGTTCTTTATTATGAAAATTTTAAAATATGGGAATCAAAAACATCATTAACTGACGGTTATTTAGTTTTATATAAAAATAAGAGAGCGATTTTGGATACTCCAAAGTATTATTTTAAATGCTCAAAATTATTTTATCTTACTACTCAAAATATTTGTAACATATTTATTTATTCAATAAGATTTAAAAGTGGGAAATTATATACTAAAGGTTTATGTTAAGAATTAAAATAATTTATATATTTAATTAAAGTTTCTGTTGTTACCTAAAAAAGGAAATATGTGATCTAAATTAAACTAGTTTAATAACACAAGATTAAAGGAATTTAATGTTTTTTCTTTATTGTTTTCTCCTTTGCCTTAATAAAAAACTGTAATTAGAACAGCTATTGCATTTGTTTGAGTTAAAATCCAACTGTCAACACTACTAGCATGAACAAGGACCTCAGCTTGTCCTCTTTTGTGTAGCACCATATGTTCCTTGAAACCCCAAACATAAAAGACCAACACAAAAAATAGGTTAATTTATGAGCATATGCTCAATTGATATATGAAATAAACGTTATCAGCAACAACTGGTGCATAAACGTCTGCAATTGTTCCTGCAAGACAAGTCACGCAACCGCACATGAACATGAGAGATAAACAACCACAAACCCTGGTGAATTCTTTTGTTCGAAAGATCTCGATCGTGGCTGTACTTTTGTATTCTTCCCTCTAGTGCATAGCCTTAGGTGAGACGCCAAAAACAACCTTGTAGCCGCTAATAACATCCATCAACGACTCCCTGTTCTTCCTGCTTGTTAGCGAGCCCAAAGTCTCAACGCCATCCACAATGATCTCGGCTGCTCCGCAAACGAAACTTGAGCGCATCAACAGACCACGTAACGAGGCAAGTTCTAGCTCGTTTCATGTTCCATATGCATACCACTGTGGTCTCCACTGGAGCCATGGAGCAGAGTAGAGAGGGGAATGCCCTCAGCCTCCGCTGCTCCGTCACCATTTGAGCTCTAATTTTGAGCCCTAAACTAGTCAATGGTCAGTCTTTAAAGACCTTTTTTGACCTCTCAGCTTTTGCTAGACTCATGATTTGAAATTTACTTTTGTTTGGTCGGAGACGTGCCCTCTCTATTTCTCCGATCGCCTTTGTCTAGCACGGAACGCATCGATAAGGGGATCAACATCTACACAAAACAAAAGATCAGGAAAAGAGAATTTTCCCCTTGATTTTCTAGTACAGATATGGATGGAGCATTGACTGAAATCCCAACTGTCAACACTGCTGATCTCTCGCCTCCAAGAGAAAGCTTTCCAGTCAAGGACAGAGACCTCCGCTCGTCCTCATCTGTGACACCATGTGTTTCTCTCTTTTGCTCTTCTTCTTCGCACTGGCAGCCCCACCAAATCCACATAACTCCACATTGCCACGGGGTTGCTTGACTTGCGCTGTAAGCTGCAAGAGCTCTAACAAAATGAAAACACCAGCACCAAAAAAAAAAGAAAAAAAAACTCTTCTCCAACTTCCACGCTTATTTCTCCCCGATCCTCCTCTACACCTCGTACTTCTTCCAGTTTTGCTTGTAGATGGCGTGCTTGTCACCGCCATTCACTTCGTTCTCCTTGCCATCGGCCCTTCTGGACAGTGGCGCTGGTTTTGTGGGTGCCTGGTGATGGTGGGGAGAATTTCCAAACGTCGATCGCTTCTCGCTTTGGGCTTTCTCCTGGAACAAAAGGAGAAAAAGCAAAACATCGTAACAAGTTCATCGGGTAAGTTGTGAGAACTGTGAGCGAACTTACTTGGCGGTATGGAAGCTCGTCTGCCTCGAGCATGTGAACGACATGTCCCATCTTGGGCCTCCTCAGCGAGTCAGGATCCACGCAGCGGATTGCGACCAGCAACGCCTTTTTTAAAATCCGTGGAGTGGGCTTTACGTGCAACCTCGGATCGGCAACATCTTCCGAGTGCCTGTTTGCCACCATGACTTTGAGCCAGTCCACCAAATTCACCTGAATGATAAGACCAAAGATTCCACAGTGAATACAAATGCCAAGCCGAGCGACACGTACCTCTCCGGGTGGCCTGCTGTAATCGACAGGGTCCCTTCCGGTTATGAGTTCCATGAGCAGGACTCCGAAACTATAGACGTCGCTCCTCTCGTTGAGCAAGCCCGTGCTTGCGTACTCGGGAGCAACGTATCTGTGACGAGAAAAAAGGGAAAAACAAAGAATGTAAGCATCTGGAGTTTCGATTTGCGTGCTTACCCAAACGTTCCCATCACTCGGGTTGTGACATGACTTTTCTCCGATCCCAGAAGCTTTGCGAGGCCAAAGTCAGATATCTTCGCGTTCCAGTCCCCCTCCACAAGAATGTTGCTTGCTTTGATATCCCGATGAACCACCTTGGGCTCCAAAGCTTCATGCAAGTATGTCAGCCTGTAAAGAAGACGCAAGGTAAAAAGAAAACAAAAGAGTTTGATGGTTTCTTTCGTCCACACCAAGGAAACTTACGCTTTTGCAGTGCCAAGAGCAATCTTCATTCGTGCCTCCCACGGGAAAGCTTGAGTCTGTGATGAAAAGCCATGGAGCCAGTCCTCTAGGTTTCCATTGTCCACGTATTCGTAGACGAGCATCCTTGTACAATCGCGAAGAACAAGATTAAAATCGGGCTGGACCTTTAAAGATCCTCACCTATAGCAGCTCTCGGCGCAGTAGCCAAGCAACCTGACCAGATTCTTGTGACGCACCTTTCCAATCGCTTCCACTTCCACCCTAAACTCTTTCTCGGCCTGGCCGCTGCGAGCAAAAAAGATGGAAAGATCGTTTTACAAAAGATCAAGGACTTGGCATAGATCGCAAGAATGCCATGGATCACAGGAATGCCATGGATCACAAGAACGCCATAGATCGCGAGAATGCCAGAGCGCAAGCAAATCCAATCCGAGCGAGAGAGAAGGAGAGAGAGACTTACGTGTTGTTGAGCAGGTTCTTGACCGCGACGACGCTGCCATCGGGGAGAAATCCCTTAAACACGACGCCATAGCCGCCCTCGCCGATCTTGGAGTCCTCGCAGAAGCCATTGGTGGCCAGATCGAGCTCCTTGAGGCTGTACCATCGCCCCCATCCCAGCTGGACCATCTCCTTGGGCTGGGGCTGGGGCTGGGGCGGCGGCGGCTGCTCGCCATAGAATGCGCTCCTATTGCTACTACTCCCGCTAGAGCTGCGCGTAGGGGTGCTCTTTGGGGGGGCGTCGTCCCCGGGAATCGACCTCGCGACCTTGTCCAGCGGGGCCCCTTTGTGATACGGGCTATGGTGGAGCGCGTAGTGTGGGACGATCACCACTTCCTGGATCTCTTTCGTGACGATGGGGATGCCCGACGATTTCCGCTGCTGCTGGATCGTGGTGGGCAGCGATTGCGACGAGGAGCAGCAGCTGAATTTCTCGTAGGAGTTGTGGCTGCCGGACGAGGATCGAGAGGTGAGCCAGATGATGAGCGCCAGGAGGATGAGGAGGATGATGGCGCCCACGCCAATGCAGATGAGAACCCAGAGGTGGAGGCCGAATACAAATGTCCCTCGCGAGAGCTCGCTGCTTAGCGTTCCTTCCATAGCTTAGCTTCGCCTATGTCACCCCCCTGCTTACGACCGATTTGGGCGCTCCAAATTCTCCGGATCCATGCGCCAAAGTCCTGCCTTGCGCGGCAATTCGGCGACCCAATGCCGAGGACTCACGGATCTGCCCTGCTCGCTACGAGCTACAAGGCGATCGATCCACCAGGGAATGCGCACGGCGCGCGCTCGTGATCGCGAATTCCGCGATCCAGATCGGTGCCGCCGCAGGATCCAGGGGCGGCTGGGCGGGATCCATCAGCCAGGCCCGGATCAAAGGGACGCGCGGCGCCAGAGATGAAAGAGGGCGAAAGGAGGGGGAGGATCAAAGAGCGAGGAAAGGGGCAGTAAAGCAGCAAGAAGAGGGGAGAAAAGCAAAAGCCTGTGGAAGCCTGCCTTTGCTGGTGGCTGCTTGTTGTCGCACACTACTACTCGAGGGCGGGATTGGAATCATGGCCGCCGCTACTCTCTTGCGCAAAAGAAAGACGAAAAATTAAAGGTAGGAAAAAAGGCCGAGATTTTCGGGGGGGTGGGGTTTTGGCGCAAGAAAATCGCGCACACACTTGGCTTTGGCTCATCCAACCAAGATTCCGCGCAAACGAATGAAAGAAACAGTGGTGGAATTTTTACATTGCGCGTGTGCCAAGATTCCGCCGGATGTTCCTCTGTTGGGACATGATTTGTCCAAACCAAACAGTTAGAAACATTAGGTCAAAATATCCGTAAGGAATATTCTTTGTGTGGCCATGAATGTCAATGGTGGCGAGCGGATCATTTACACCCCCCTGGTGTCTATGGTACGATTCATACAGCGCAGCGACAGACTAGAACTATAACCTTGTAATATACAATGGCGAAGGAAAAATAAATTTCGATCGCGACATTGGTTACATCTCCATGCCTCGTACATGGATGGAGAAATTAGGGTTCTTGGTTAGTTTTGACCTTTAGCGCCAATTATTCTGAGTGGTGGAACGGTCGATCGGTCCAGCGATGGCGGACGATCTAAGCTTCGATCTGGAGTTCTCGCCGGCGGCGGCGAGGGTGTGCGTCGTCGGGGCCGGGGTGTCGGGGCTGTGCGCTTGCCGGCATTTGCTCAAGCGAGGAATTCGGCCCACTGTGCTGGAGGGCTCGTCCCACATTGGCGGGGTGTGGCGGAGCAACAGCGTTGCCATCACGCGGCTCCAGACGCCCAGCGTCGCGTACCAGTTCTCGGATTTCCCGTGGCCGCCGGGCACGCCCGCGTTCGCGACAGGGGGCCAGGTGCTCGACTACCTCCACGGCTATGCCGCCAAATTTGGGGTTTTGGAGTGTGTCCGGTTCGATTCTAGGGTTGTGGGTATCCGGCGCGATGGCGATCGCGGGCCATGGCAGCTTCTTGTGGTGCGCGGCGATGGCGACGGCGCGGCGCGCGAGGTAAGGGAGCTAAATCTCTGCTGCATTTTGTGAGATTTTCCTGCTAGATCTTTGCTACGTGAGATTGTTTCCAATTGCCCGTGTGAGCTTGGATGGAGGTTTTGCTCTTTGCTAGCGCTATCTCGTGCTTGGTTTTGCTGCTCGAAAGATTTATTGCTTGGATCAGATACTTTGTTCTGGTGTGAGAGGCCAAAGTTTTGATCGCTTTTCTCTTCGTTCGCAGACGCTGGAATTTGATTTCGTGATATTGTGCATTGGTCGTTTTGGAGATGTTCCAAGGCTCCCATCTTTCTCGCCTGGCCAAGGTGCCGACGTCTTCAAGGGAAGAGTGCTGCATTCGACTGAATTCTCGGCCCTCGACTATGAGAATGCCTCCAAACTTCTCCGCGGAAATAGTGTCGTCGTCGTCGGCTTCTCAAAGTCCGCTTTGGACGTTGCCGCGGAAGCGGTTGAAGCGAATCAAGGTACGTCTCGATTTGTTTCTTTCCTTGTCTTTTCTAATTGTGATCGGCCATGCAGGGAAACCATGCACGCTCTTGTTTCGCAGAGCGCATTGGATTGTCCAGCATTGGGACGTTTTTGGAGTGAACATTGCCTATTTGTTCGGAACAAGGCTATCTGAGATGTACTACCACAAGCCAGGCCAAGGTTTCTTTTCCAGCCTGTTAACCTCGCTCCTCTGGCCATTGGTAAGATTTGTGCTTCTAGAAATCATTTTAGTTCTCTTACGATGTCTAATAATTGAGCAGAAGTGGGCTACATCTAAAGTGGTGGAAGTTTATCTCCGGTGGACGCTTTCGTTATCAAAGTATGGGATACTGCCCAGCATACCATTTTATAAACAACTTTCTTCGTGCAAGATATCGGTAATACCTGACAACTTCATGGACTACGTGAAAGAGGGCCGTCTCAAGCTTTGCAAGTCGCCAAAGTGGCACTTTACAGCGACCGGAGTCATGCTCGATAACAAGCGCGAGTTGAAAGCAGATGTTGTTCTGCTTTGCACAGGCTTTGAGGGCGAAGTCAAGCTCAAGGCTATTCTTCCCGAAAGATATGCAGAGGTTTTGCAAGGACCGGACGGTGTAGTTCCATTGTACAGGTGCGTTCTTGTTTCCCCGGCTCCAGTTTCTAATAGTCTTTTATTTGCAGAGGGATGATACACCCACGAATTCCTGGGCTGGCAATACTGGGTTACCAGGAGGATGTCTCAAATGTGAGAGCTTCAGAGATGGGAGCTCGCTGGCTGTCGTACTATCTAACTGGAAAGGTGAAACTTCCCGACTCTCAAACAATGAGCAAGAGTGCCAACGAGTGGGTGCGCTACATGAAGTGGTCGACCCCGTACTTCGACAGGGCGTGCATAGCGTTGGCCAGGACGTGGCACAGCGACGAGCTGTGCAGGGACATTGGCTGGAATCCGAGAAGAAAGAAGAACTGGCTGCAAGAACTTCTCTCGCCGTACTCCAACATGGACTACATTGATTGAAGAACATGCCCGAGGTTTGCAAAGGTTTGTTTGTTTTTCCTTCTGCCTGAGCACTTGATTACACAATGTGAGCTCATCATCTGGTCTGTTGTGGTCAGGAGGAGAGGATAAGAAAGAATTCCCTGTCCCACTCATTAGGGGCACAGGAAATGTGAAGCTTTGTTTTCGAATAAGGCCGGCTTCTAAAGTAAGTACCGTCTTTGTCTATTCACATGCAGGGGAGACCATTCACTCAACCAACACTGTTTTTGATACGTCCACCCGTGTGCCACCACCAGACGGTACAGGGAAAGCAACGTTTTACTGCTAGATCGATCTACTGCGAGAAAGAAAACAGAAAGCAAAGTAAAAGGACGCAGTTATAAGGACGAACATGATGAGCTTCCTTGTGTGGCCAGAGACTTGGTCTCGGAAGACATGTCTGCCGCAAGCTTCTTCGCAACACTGTCACTTATCGCCAGCCTTCTCTCCTCGCGGTCAAGAGCTTCTCAGCTCGTTCCCGCCCTTTACGTATTCGGAGACTCGTCGGTGGATGCTGGTAACAATGACTACATTGGAACGGTTGTGAGGGCCGACTTCCCTCCTTATGGGAGAGACTTCGACTCCCACAAGGCGACCGGACGATTTTCCAATGGTCGCGTTTCGAGTGACTACCTGGGTATGAAAAGAAATTTTGATTGTTGTCGCTCCCAGCCACTAACTTCTGAGGTTTTTCCCTTGGTGCAGCTAGCCTGCTTGGTTTGCCACTTCCTCCGCCGTACTTGGATCCCTCGGCCAAGGGAAGCAAAATCATCCAAGGTGTTAACTTTGCAACAGCTGGTTCTGGTCTGTACGAGAAGACGGCGGCACTGCTCGTAAGTCAACTTGAGAACTTGAGTTGGCAATCATGCTCATTTTTTTCACTTTGTTGTGATAGAACATACCAAACCTGCCTAGGCAAATTTCGTGGTTCCGGACTTACAAGCAGAAGCTGGTACAACTTGTTGGCCAAAACAAAACAGCGTTTATCCTTTCCAAGGCGTTTATTGTTCTTAGTTCCGGAAGCAATGACTACATCAACAACTATTACTTCGATCCAGCGCTGCGGGTAAAGTATACCAAGGATGCATTTCGTCAAGTTCTCATATTTTCTGTCGAGAACTTTGTCAAGGTATGACCCTGAAACTTCTCTTTCTTCTCGTGTATGAGCCCCATGCTACTTTCCAGGAAATGTACCAACTGGGCGCTCGAAGAATATCGATTGCAGGCCTTATACCACTGGGATGCATCCCGTCACAAGTCACGCTCTACGGGAAGGGCCAACTCAAGTGTTCCGAGTTTGAGAACCAGGACGCTCGTCTTCACAACCAAGCGTTAAAATCATCCGTACAACGTCTACGAGGAAGTATGACTGACTTGAGAGTTGCTTACATTGACGTCTACACGATCTTCTCCAAAGTGATCCAGCAGCCTGAAAGTTATGGTGAGTGAGAGCAGCATTGGAATAGCTTCTAACGGAGACTACTTGTGTTGCTAAGCAGGTTTTGAGCACACTTTAACGTCTTGCTGTGGAGTTGGACGGCTTGCGGTGTCTCTTCTCTGTAACAAGCTCACTCCTGGTACCTGTCGTGATGCTTCCAAGTATGTTTTCTGGGACAGCTTCCATCCAAGTGATGCCATGAACAAAATCCTTGCAAAGGTTGCGCTGGATCAAGCTAATGCACAGCTCTTCCATTGAAAGCTCTCTTCTCTGGTGGTGACACAGAGAGAAAAAGAAAATGGTAGACATATCCTTTATAAAATGTAAGCTCACATGTACTTCCAAGATCAATGGAAATTGTCGGACAACACTCGAGCTGCATTTGTGATGGCTCTCGCTACTTTCCAGATCTCGTGTTGCAGCACACTGGAGGTGCTCTTGTCCATCTTGGCCAAGGCATTTGCCAGTGCCAGGCTGATACCTGGAAAAGACTGCGAGCCGTAGAGGTCACTTGTTGTTTGTCCATAAATCTGTTCCAGCCAGCCGAATCACTAGACGGTTCAAAGCGTGATCTTGCAAGGACTTACCAAGTGCTTACTAGAAGGATCCTGTGCCAACCCCATTGGGTCTAAGAATGAGCGCTCAGCTAGCATAAGCCGGTCGTTTAAGGATCTGCGCTTTAGAGACGACTGTGTGCTTGTGCTCGTGCTTGTTGCAAGCATCTGGCAAAAACGCTGGTCATAGCATCACCCGGATTCTTAAAGCCTGTTCCTTACACTGGCTTCCGCATTGATTTGCCTAGCAGCTGACTGCAGCTCAGAAATCGCCCGGAGTAATGGTGTAACGTCGATATCTTCTGGCAGGAGGCCTTTCAAGGCCCTTACATCGGCCTAGAACTGCATTGGCTTAACTTCTCTTCGAATAATAGCTCGACTGCGTACCTCCAACACACTTGCGTAAGAGCTGTAGTCAAATGGAATAATATCGTCATTTATAAAATGTATTGAAAGCAGTCCCCATATCGCAGACACTGCCAGAATTACACTAGATGTGGTCACTCTCGAGAGATAAGGAACGGACTTACCTGCAACGTGACGCTGAAACAGAGGATCGCCAAAACCTTTCATCCAATTGTAATCATCGTATAACGAGTGATACACAGGAAAACCTGCAAACAACCTAAGCCAAAAAATTTACGAATTGCACACCTTACTTGTCTGATATCTCAAGTCGTAAGAAGGAATACCGGCACGGTGAAGAAAAGAGGAAAAATCAGACCTACTGCCTCCAAGCCTGCCAATCTGTTCAGACATGGAAAAGCATTTGCATCGCTTACGAAACATTTGCTATGCTTACCACAGGTGTAGCATTTCTGTTCAAAGCACACCACGAATCATACACGCTCTTGAACACTGAATTGGGATCTTTAACCTGAAGAAAACACGAGAAAAGTAAAAATTAGCATCGATCTGTCGACCAGACCTTCTTAGTGACTTGCATGAGTAGATTATCGAGCTGAGGTGTTCCACAACCATCAAAGTTTGGACCACCCACGGATCTATCTACATTGATGTAAGCGATTGCTCTAGCAGTGAGCATGTCCAGATTCTGCTCAACCCACTCCGTTGATCCGATCTGTCAACCAAGAGGCCACTTTCAGCACAAGAAGATCAAGGGCGAACAAGTTACGAACCAAGCCGTATTCTTCCGCGTCCCAGCTACAAAACACGATTGTTCGTTTCGGCTGCCAACCTTGCTTGAGAAACTTTCCAAACCCTCGTGCAATCTAAGAGTGTCCAGAGCGTAAAGTGAATTAAAGTAGAAGAACGTCAAAGTTACCTCAAGTAGGCAAGCAGTCCCACTACTCGGATCTGCTCCTCCAAACGTCCATGCATCTCGATGGTTTCCAACCAGTAGGTACCTGGTAAAAGCTCCACACAAGCAATGTCAAAAAGAACGTTCCAAGCTGAGTAAACCTGTCTGGTTCTTCGGAGCCTTTGATCATCCCGATCACATTTCTAATCGGCGTCACTGTGAGATTTCCCTGCACACACCTCGGCTTTCTTGTTTGCGCTCTTTCTTTTTACTTTAACAGCCTACTTCATAGCTGAAGTTGAGTTTTGCCGGACCCCGACCAAGCCGGTACTCTGGCAGCCGCAAACCACCTTGCCAGTCCGGTGGAGCAACTTCTCCACCCAAAGCCGCGAGAATTGGCAAAGCATCCTGTGCGGAGATCGGCAGTGCTAGAATTTTTGGAAGCTTCGTCTCGGACAAGTCCACCCTCTCGGCATTCGGAGTGCTCGGCCATCCAGGAGTAAGAATATCCCCGGAGGTTAGAAGCACCGATCCTCGCTGAACACCACTGGGTGGCAACCACTGCGAAGATGGATAAAACCCCTCGGTTCCATTCTTTGCGTAGTCGAAAGGATCCGAGAACACCAGCGCAGCCACTGCCCCTGCTGCTGCCGCATTCGCGACGATATCCCCTCGAAAGATCTTTCCAATCCTCGCAAGGACCACCGCACCACGGACATCCACCCCTCGTTGCCTGAGAGTTTCGAAGTCCTGCGCACGGCCATAGTTTGCATAGACGGCCTCTCCACACACTGTCCCAGATGGAACATAGGGGAAAAACGTTGGAATCACGTCTGGATTGCTCGTGCTAGGATCGCCCTCCACGGCCTCCTCTTTCAGGCCCAGCGATAGCGTCGACCCGTTCGGGAGGAGCAGCGACAGCGATCGCTGGAGTGGATACGAGAGTAGCACCTCGAAATCCGCGTAGTGCGTTTGAATCCCTGCCGCCTGGAAACTCTCATAGACAAACCTCGCGGTGTGGAAATTCTGGGGCGTCCCGGCGACATGGGGCTCCCGCGTGAGCTCCAGGAGGAAGCCGCTGATGGAATCGTTGGAGAGGCCGGCCACAAAATCCTCCTCGAGCCGCTGGATGCTCCACCGCGAGGAGTCGAGGCGGCGGAATTGGATGCTGAGGGCAGAGGAGGCGATCAAGAGCACGGCCGCGAAGAGAATCCAGGAATGCGCCCTGGACAGCGCCTCCTCCACCGCCAAAGCCCTCCACTTCTCCATTTTGGTAAACCCCAAGTTCCAGGAAATTTTAAAGGTTAAGGCAACAAATATTTAAATTGTTACCTTTTAACGTTCAATAGAGTACTTTATTATTTTTCTTATAATGATTTCTCTAATTTAGATGCGTGAGGTCTAAGTGATGCCGTATACTAATATTAGCGTAATGAGATTTTGATAACGTTTCAATCCAGACTATTTACTCTTGTATATAAACTAGAGTTTTGGGCTTATATCTATATTTCATTTTCATATTTCATATATTGACAGATGAAAAAACTTTAAAAGTGTTAACAATTACAATTTACATTTGATCTTTTTACTCAGTTTGGTATTTATATATGTTCTTAATGCTATTATGGGTATATTGTCTCTATTTTTTAATTATTTATAGTATTGTTACTGAAAAAATTAATAGCACTTTATAGTCCTATTGATGATATGTTTGCAAGATATGATTATTAAATAAAATTATATATTTTTTAATGTTCCATTCTCAATAATAGAAATAAATTGATAGAAATATAACATAAATTATATAAAGATTAAGAGTATATCCATCCCCCATATGTAAGATTACTAATTTTGTAATAATAATTAATAAAAATATAAGGGTACTTAGTTTTGGAACAAAAAAGCTACAATGATTAATAAAATTTTGGATTTTGATATACGTTAGACAATTTCTTTCAAAAGAACTATGCTATAGATTAAATATAATTAAAACTAATTTTCAGTCTACATTTTTATACTTCCATTATAGAGTAAAATTTAACTTAGTCATTTTTATTATCAAAATTAAGCTATGCATTTTATGAGTAAAGAATTTTTTTCTTTACATATTTAGATTATAGTTTCTTTACTTTTTGATAATATATTATAGGGAGAATAATTAGCCACTAGACTGAAATGAGATATATAAATATATTTTATATTTTATTATATTTTAATTATTACTTAATAAGTTGTATTAATAAAATGATTACATCTTCTATTTACATAATTATATATTATTATTAATAAAAATATTTTTATATTTTACTTTTTTAAAATAGTATGTTAGGAGACTGAATAGTTAACATATGCTTACAAACATTTTTAGAGAATAGAAATGTATATGTAGAAATTTCACTTACAGATTTTTTTGGAGATAAAGTTCTTACACCTTTTGATTTTTATAACATCAAGTTGTACTAATTTTTTAAAATTAAATTAGTAACTGTTATATGTTCATGTCCTTATATTGAACTTGAAGGATTATTTAAATAATATTTTTTTATATTGTTTTAAAATACATTAAAAGTACTATTACTAAAGATGAGATTGATTATTTTAATTTTAATTTTTCTTTTACTATGTTATATTTGTACAAAAAATTATCACCAATAAACATGATATTGGTTTCTCTAATAACTAAGAAATTGTAATTAAGGACAAACTTTTATTAATAATCAAGGATTATATAATGTATTTATTTATTTTTAAAGATATGACTTTTTATAGATTAATTACACAAATTATATAAAATTGTCAATGTATACTAATATTAATGGTGATACACTAATATTAACTATCAAATTGATTTCAATCACTCACTTTTATATATAATTTAGGGTTTTTGAGATAATTAATATGGACATTTTTGTATTCCCTTTCCATATATTATGTTTTATAAAAAGAAAAAAAAAGATTTGTGACTTCTTTTTAATAAATTTTTTTTAATAATCAAAATTTAAACTCTATAAACTATGAGGTCTAAGTGTACAACTATGATGCTATATACTAATATTAGTATAGTGGGATTTTAGTAACTGTCGAATTGATTTCAATCTAGACCACTCACTTCTGTATATAAACTAGGGTTTTTGGGTTAATTGATATGTAGATTTTCTATATTCTCTTTCCATATTCTATACACTTATATTGGTGGAAATGAGGAGTAGTTTTGATTGTGCTTAAGGAGTGTTTGGATTTTGGATTTTAGTTTAGATTTAGGTTTTGCATTGTCTAAATCTAGCTTTTTCTATTTCCTTTCTTTTGTTCTTTCCTTTTAAGATTTTGTTTTCCCTTTCCTCCTAACTTATTTCATTTTTCTTCTTTTGCTCTTTCCTTTTTATTCATCTTTATGGTAGATTAACAATTTCCTCCTCCTTTGACTCTGGAGCAACAGTTGGTACAATTGTTTGATGCTATGTGATTGCAATTGAACAACTAAACTTAATTGATAGTGGCATTCAAGGCAAGTGGTACAACTCCTCTTGCTCTTGGTGCCCATCCTTGTGTTCAGGCAGAGTTCTTTTGCGGGAATTTTGGGGATGATATGTATTATTGGTTCGATCACTTCATGGTAATTGCCACATATCATTCTTGGGATGATGTTCGACGTTTGCATGAGTTTCCCACGTGACTCCAAAGGATAGCTATAAGCAACTAAATTTTTCATTCTACTTTAGTCACTTAACCACACCTCCGACCACTTGGAGGAGTCTCACTCACAACCTCCGTAAATCTTATTTTGGAATTAGGGACTTGCTAGCCCCAAGAATGGCATCCATGCCACTCAACCATTGCACTTGGTCCAAGTGCTCCATGTGTCCAATCCCATAACTGACACCAACATATCAGCCCGTTACACTAAGGCCATACCCATTCACCTTGGTCACACCGGTGGTCTGACACCACTTACATCACAATCCTGTCTTTCAAAAACTGGGCCATCCATCCATGAGTGATCATCCCAAATCCACTCCTTAGCATCCTTAGGATGCTCGTAGACATGGGGAATAGCCTTCCCCAATATCCTTTTTCCGGTCCCCACCAAGTCCCTTTCTACCCATGGTTGTATTCGCTAACACTGCCACTGGATCGGGGCCCACAGGCCTGATGTGAGACACAAAATCCCTAGGCCCCAAAGTGGAGCCGGAAAGGGTGCCACGTGGTAGTGGCTGAAGCGAGAGCCAAACGAGCGTAACACGTTTGGACCAAAAGCTCCGACTTGAAAAGTCAAGAGCGGGAGTGGAACTCCCAACGAAGTGTTCGAGGAACGAGCACGAAGCGAGCAAAAAGCGAGGCTCCAAAAAGGGACCCAAAAGGACCAACACATGACACGTGGAAGTGTCCGAGATGGACTCGAGTTGGAGTCCGAAGTGGAGTCCGAGATGGACTCGAGTTGGAGTCCGAGGTGGACCCGAGATGGACCCGAGATGGAGTCCGAGATGGAGTCCGAGGTGAACCCGAGATGGACCCGAAATGGAGTCCGAGATGGAGTCCGAGATGGACCCGAGATGGAGTCCGAGATGGACCCGAAATGGAGTCCGAGATGGACCCGAGATGGAGTCCGAGATGGAGTCTGAAGTCGAGACCGAGACCGGGACCGAGACCGAGACCGAGACCGAGACCGAGACCGAGACCGAGATCGGGACCGAGAACGAGACCGAGGCCGAGGCCGAGACAGAGCCCGAGCCCGAGTCCGAGTCCGAGTCCGAGTCCGAGTCCGAGTCCGAGTCCGAGTCTGAGTCTGAGAGGGTGAAAGCCCAAAGCGTTCGTCTCCCAGACCCTGGGGGGTTTGGTGAGCTCCAAAAGTATAGTAGGGGGAGGACTGCAGTGGAGCCAGTTTGGCCAGGAAAGGCCAGTTTGGCCCAGGAAGGCCGGACCCAGTGTTGGGTGATGAGCTGCCCACTGGGAAGTCCAAGACTAGAGTGAACACAGACCGACAAGCGGGGTAGCTTGGTGAAGTGTTCAAGAGCCGGCTCTAGTTCCCCCGGGAGATCGACTGGCCGATGCTCCCAGTCCAAGTGTGGGTGGCACTACCTACTTGGATACCAGGCGTGGCTCAACGGAACCTCGCTCTAAGCCCATGGCTAGAGCACCTAAAGGCGAAAGGTGGGGAGAGTACCCAGGTAGCTCGCGTAAGGCCACGGTGTTCCGAAATGGTGTCCCAAAGTCCCAGACTGTGGAAAGGAAGAGGGGTAGCCCTCTGGTGGGGTGACCAAGGACACAGTCACACAGTGAGGAAGTCCTCGAGGATAGTGGGACTTAGTGGTAGGGCCGGTGGGCCTTGATCCAGTGGCAGTGTTGGCGAACACAGCCAAGGACAGAAAGGGACTTGGTGGGGACCGGAACCGAGATATTGGGGAAGGCTATTCCCCATGTCTGTAGGCATCCTAAGGATGTTAAGGAGTGGATCTGGGATGATCCCTCATGGACGGATGACCCAGTCTTTGAGAGACGGGATTGGAATGCAGGTGGTGTTGGACCACCAGTGTGACCAAGGTAATTGGGCATGGCCTTAGCGTAACGGGCCGATATGTTGGTGGTACCTTGGGGTGTCGATCATGGGATCGGACACGTGGAGCACTTGGACCAAGTGCTAAGGTTGAGTGGCATGGATGCCATTCTCGGGGCTAGCAAGCCCCAAGTCCTAAGTTGGACTTATGGAGGTTGTGAATGAGACTCCTCCAAGTGGTCAGAGGTGTGGTTAAGTGACTAAAGTAGAATGGAAAAATTAGTCGCTTACAATTTGGTATCGGAGCTGTTCCTTAGTCCGACTTTTATTGGTGCTCAAGTATATCACCACTAGTGTTGGCATCAGAAGGTCCGAGGAGTGGGCCTATCCTTGAGGAGTAGCAAGTCGGGAAGACATGGCTCTCCATTACGGTTCATGTGTGAACTTGTAGACGAGGTGGTGGATAGAAAAGGGCCAATAATGGAACGACTTTGGGATCTTGGGAACAGTGCAAGGTTTTCCTCATTGAGTTGAGGATGTGATCCGGATGAGCATTTGTCTCAGCAAATTGGCTAAGGTTGTTGTGGTAAACAACTAAAGTTGGGATCACGGGAAAAATAGAGACTCCAAAACAATAAAGGAGTCACAAGATTATCCTCATATAGTTGAGGTTGGTGCTCATGAATGTGAGACCAGAGGTAATGACCGTGGGAGGTCAAATACGGAAGAGGACTCAAGTCCTTGAAATGGTAGCCGGGGCTACCTTTAATAAATGCTG